CCGGGACACGGCCCTGGAGAGAGCGGCAGGAAGGAGCTCCGGGCAGAGTGGTTCCGCCCCTGCACACATCCCCGCACACGCCCTCGCACACGCCCCCCGCACACACGCCCCGCACACGCCCCACACGCGCCCCGCACGCGCCCCCGCGCACACGCTCCCGCACACACACGCCCCGCACACACGCCCCCACACACACGCCCCCGCACACATGCCCTCGCACACTCGCCCCCCGCACACGCGCCCCCCGCACACGCATCACCCCGCACACGCGTCCCCCCACAGGCACCCACCTCGCCCCCGTCAGCCGTGAGGTCCCGGGCCCACGTGGCAGAGAGGCAGTCGGTTCCTAGGCCACGGCACTGCCACCTGCGAGGTGACAATCCGACAGGGTTTACGGGACAGGAAGCCAGCGTTGGCGACAGAGACACGGGCAGAGGGAGAGCTCGCGACCGGGACCGTTACCCAAGCCCTGAGCACAGCGCGGGTCTGAGAGTGAACCCGGCCCGTGGCCCCGTCCTTCCCGGATCCCACGGCCCCTGTCCTTCCTGGATCCTGTGGCCGCTGTCCTTCCCGGAGCCGGATCCGTGGCCCCGTCCTCCCCGGAGCCGGATCCGTGGCCCCGTCCTCCCCGGAGCCGGATCCGTGGCCCCGTCCTCCCCGGAGCCGGATCCGTGGCCCCGTCCTCCCCGGAGCCGGATCCGTGGCCCCGTCCTCCCCGGAGCCGGATCCGTGGCCCCGTCCTCCCCGGAGCCGGATCCGTGGCCCCGTCCTCCCCGGAGCCGGATCGCCGGCGCAGAGCCGTGTTCGCCGCCGGGACAGCGCCGAGCTGCCGCCTCACGTTTAACTTCAGAAAGGCCCCTGGGTCCCAGGAGCGCCTGTGGGGAGACAGCGGGCAGAGGCTGCCCTCGGAGCGGCCCGGGGGGCTTCTCCGCCTCTGTCCAGAGGTGGGCAGTCTCCTGCAAGGGCACGTGGGTATTTATGACATCATCCCGGGCCGTGCCCGTGCCCGCCTAACCCAGGAGCCTGCCCTGTTTGGGACAGTCCCAAACGAGGCCCGCGCCGCCCACCCGGTCTGTTCAAAAGAGGTGAACCTGCCCTCCCTCCAAAGACCTGCTCCCTGCCCCGCTGAGCTGCCCAGCTTCTCTCTGCCGCTCCCGCCCGCCTGTCTGCAGATGCCCGCGCATGAGGCCCCGGGCCCCGGCCTGGCACAGGCCTCCCTCGGGGAGGAGAGGGGTTATCAGCGTCACCTCCGTCCCCATCCCGGCCGGCTGAGGGGGGACCTTCCTCACGGCAAGGCGTGGCTCCCTGCCCCCCTGCCCCCAACCCCTTAATGCTTTGTTTTAAATCAACCTCCGGAGTGAGATCCCGCCCGCCAGGGTCCGAGCCTTCCCCGAGGGGACATGGCTTCTGCCCCAGACACCGTGGTCTGCTGTCGTGGGAAGGCTGGCCGGCCGCTCTGCCCTCTGGGCCGAGCTGAGCCAGGCCAGTCCGGGGAGGCGCAGGCAGACCTCCGCCCGGTTCTGGTGGCGCCTCGGTGCCAGGCCGGCGCGGTGCCAGGAGCCTGGCGCTCGCTGCCCGCGGGGATCGCCCTGGACGTGAGCTGACACAACTCACAGAACATTCCCACCCCCGGCACAGGCGCGGCCCAGGGAGACGGACGTGGACACGGGCCAATCAGGGCTCCCGGGGAGGAGGTGCGTGGGAACCGGAGGCGGTGCCCCCAGCCCTGCTTGGCTGCGCCCCACGGGCTGTTCCTCCAAACACAGACGCCTCCGTGTGAAAGGTGACCCGTGCACGTGAACACGCCCTGCCTCCACCTTCCAGCAAGGAGGGAGCAGGGAGAGGAGCCGAAGTGTGTCCTCTCTCTGTCCTTCTCTCTCTCTCTGTCCTCTCTCTCTCTGTCCTCCTCTCTCTGCCCTTCTCTCTCTCTCTGTCCTCTCTCTGTCCTCCTCTCTCTCTGTCCTCCTCTCTCTGTCCTTCTCTCTCTCTCTCTGTCCTCCTCTTTCTCTGTCCTCCTCTCTCCTCTGTCCTCTTCTCTCCTCTGTCCTTCTCTCTCCTCTGTCCTTCTCTCTCTCTGTCCTTCTCTCTCTTCCTTTCTTTTCTATTATTTCCCTTTTTTGCTTTGTTTGGTTAATCCTCACCTGAGGATGTTTCCATTGATATTTAGGGAGAATGGACGAGAGGGGGAGAGACACAGAGTAACATTGATGAGAAAGAAACAGATTGATGGGTTGCTTCCTGCAGGTGCCCAACCAGGGCCTGGGCTGGGGAGGAGCCTGCAACGAAAGTACATGCCCTTGACCGGACTCGAACCCAGGACCCTTCAGTTCACAGGCTGATGCTCTATCCACTGAGCCACCCCGGCCAGGGCTGTTGCCTTTTTTTTTTTTTTAATGTCCTGTAGGTTTTGGGTGCCGGCGTGGTGGTTCTCCAGGGGACGTTTGGTCACTAAGACCTGCAGCAGCACCTCTGAGGCTCACACTCGCGTTTCTGGGGCGAAGAGGCGGCCGCTCAGCACAGCAGCGGGGACCGGGCCTCGGGTACGGGAGGCGGGCCGGGCGCAGGGCGCCTCTGCCGGGACCAGGCCGTGGCGAGCTCTCCCAGCGCCCTCTCGGCCCTCAGCGGGAACGCTGCGCTGGGCTGAGGCCTGTGAAGCCCCCTGTGCGTTCCGGAGCCAATCCCGGCCGGTGTGGCTCTGGCTGAGCATCCGCCTGTGAACAGGAGGATGCCGTTTGGTCAGGGCACAGGCCTGGGTTTTGGGCTTGATCCCCAGTGTGGGGCGTGCGGGAGGCAGCCTGTCCATGCATGTCTCTCTCCTCAGTGACTCTCTATCTCCTTCTCCCTCTCCCTTCCGCTCTGACATCAATACACACATATTTGTTTAAAAAGCACCGGGACGCCAAAGCCGGTGTGGCTCAGTGGTAGAGCGTCGGCCTGCGGACTGAAAGGTCCCGGGTTCGATTCCGGTCAGGGGCATGTACCTTGGTTGCGGGCACATCTCCGTAGGGAGTGTGCAGGAGGCAGCTGGTCTGTGATGCTCTCTCATCGACATTTCTAGCTCTCTGTCTCTCTCCCTTCCTCTCTGTAAAAAAAATCAATAAAATATATTTTTAAAAAAGTAAAAAGCACCGGGAAATGAAATGACGAGAACTCAGAACTCCGACTGCCCGCGCCGCAGTGGCCAGAGCCCCATGTGGCCCCGTGCGTCGGAGAGCAGCCCTGGTCCTGTGCTCCCGCCGGACAGCTGTCCGCACCGGACGCTGCGAGGCCACAGGGAGGGCGGGGCTGGGAGGCTGGCCGTCCCCGGCGGGCGCTGCGGTGGCCGTGGGCCCGGGCGGGGTCAGGCTGCAGACAGGTCAGGCCCGCGGTGCCGAGGTGAGGGCCGTCGGTCTGGAGGGCACAGGCGTGTTTGAGCAGCGGGCTGGCCGCCAGCTCGGAGACAGGCCGTGTGACTTTGTACCCGGTCCCTGTGCTCGGCACCGGCACAGAGCGGCTAGGACGGCAGCGGAGGCTGAGCCCAGGAGCCGGCCGGCCGGCGTCTCCGGAGCCCTCAGTGGCTCCCTGGCGGCCTCGCTGTCCTCACGCCCCGGTCTCTGGTCCGGGCCTCTCTCCTCCCGAGGACCCCGCCGGCGGGTCAGGGTCCACGCCGAGCACCGCTAGTCTCGCCGCCGCCTCCTCTCCGAGTCCGGCCACGTCTGGGCCGGGCGGGACTCGGGCGCCTGGACCGGGGACACGGCCGGCCCTCGCGGTGCCCCCAGAACCTTCTCTCGCTTGTGAGTCGAACCTGCCTGGCTCTGCCGGGGACGCGCCTACGGAGATTGTTCTAGACTCCGCCGTGCCCGTTGCTGCACACGCATTCTCGGCGTGCTCACGTGAGTGCCCGGGGTGCCGGCGGCCTGTCCTGTTTGCCAACCGCCTCCCCCCCCCCCCCCCCCGCCGTCCCTGGCCCAGCCGAGCCGCACCGGTGGCCTGTGCCCCAGGCCCGGCCCGCGCCTCCCTCCAGCCTCTGCACTTGCTGTCGGCTTGCTGGGACGCTGCCCCCGCCTCCTGCACACTCCCTCCTCCTCAGCTCTCACCGCCCCATCGGGGCTCCCCGGCGCCCGTGTGGACCAGAGTCCACTTCCCGTCCGCTCTCCGCGCCACGTGTCCCTCCGGCCTGCGTGCGTGTGCGTGTTTGTTCCCGGAGAGCGGGGCTGTGTCTGCCAGCCTGGCCGCCTCGGGTCCGGGGCTGAGCTCGGCGTGACGGGTGACGGATGGCTGATCCCGGCCCGGCTGGCCAGGGCGCCGTCAACGCCTCGTGTTTAAAGGTTTCCATTTTCTCAGGGAGCTTATCCAGACCCAAGCGCTGACCCACGTGAGACACAGCCACCCTCCCCCCTAACTGTAAGAAGGCTGGAGAGCGTCTCCAGAAGCCTGCCACGAAAGCCCACCTCCCCGGCCGGCGTGGCTCCGTGGCGGAGCGCGGACCTGTGAACCGGGAGCCGCCGTTCCACTCCCGGCCAGGGCTGCGGGCTCGGTCAGGTGCGGGGTGTGCAGAGGCAGCTGGCTCCCGAGTCTCTCTCCTCATGGATGTTTCTTTCTTTCTTTTAAAGAACATTTTATTGAATTTTTTAGAGAGGAAGAGAGAAGGATAGAGATCAGCTGCCTCCTGCACGCCCCCCCACTGGGGATGTGCCCGCAACCAAGGTCCATGCCCTTGACCGGATTGAACCTGGGACCCTTCCGTCCGCAGGCCGATGCTCTGTCCACTGAGCCACACCGGTTCGGCTCACCATGGATGTTTCTACCGCTCCCTCTCCCTCCCCCTTCTTTTCTCTCTAAAAGAAACCAGTAGAAACATTACAAAAGGAGGACAGGCGCAGGCAGAGGCGGGGGCCGTCCGTGCTGGGGTTCGGGGAAGGACGTTCCCGGAGGGGGCCGTGCCCCCCGGTCGGCCTCACCGCCGTCTCTCCGCAGCTCCGGGCGGGCCGGTGCGGCCGGGCGGCCGGCGCCGCGGCAGGATGGTGGACACCGAGAGCCCGATCTGTGCCCTCTTCCCTCTGGAGGCGGAGGACCTGGAGAGCCCGCTGTCGGAGGAGTTCCTGCAGGAGATGGGGGGCCCCCCGGAGCTGCCGCTGGCCCTGGGCGAGGACAGCGCCGGCAGCTTCAGCTTCGCCGACTACCAGTGCCTGGGGAGCGGCCCCGGGTCCGAGGGCTCCGTCGTCACCGGTGAGTGCGGGTCTGGGAGCCGTTCTCCCCCAGGGAGGCGCCCTTTAGCGGGCGTGTGTGTGTGTGTGTGTGTGTGTGTGTGCGCACTGTGAACACTCACCGCGTCCCCCCTGTCCTCAGACACGCTGTCCCCGGCGTCCAGCCCCTCCTCCGTCTCCTACCCCGCGGTCCTCGGCAGCGCCGACGAGGCCTCCAGCACAGCCCTCAACATCGAGTGCAGAATCTGCGGGGACAAGGCCTCTGGCTACCACTACGGGGTCCACGCGTGCGAAGGCTGCAAGGTACGGGCCCTGCGCCAGGGCCCGCGTGTGGTCCATTTTACTTATTTACTTTATTTATTTTCAATCCTCACCAAGGGTATCTTCCCATTGGTTTTTGGAGAGAGTGGAAGAGAGGGAGACGGAGAGAAACATCGACGTGAGAGAAACACACCAATGGGCCGCCTCCTGCACAGGCCCCCTGACCAGGGCCTGGGCCGGGGAGGAGCCTGTAACCGAGGTGCATGCCCTTGACCAGAATCGAACCCGGGACCCTTCAAACCCAGGACCCTTCTGTCCGCAGGCCGGCACTCTGTCCACTGCGCCACACCAGCCAGGGCCTTTCCTTTTATGCACGATGTTTGTCGTTGCGAAAACAGATCTGCCAGCGGCAGTAGAGGTGGAACTGAGCGAGGCAGCCGGTGCCTCTCCCTGGCGCACGCCGCGCTGGAGGCCCGTCACCGCGCGCAGGGCCTTCCCTCGGAGGCGCGGCTGGAGCTCGGTCCCCATCTCCCTTCCTCGCCTGCACGCCAGAGAGCGGGTCCCATGGCAACCAGAGACGCCGTGTCTTCTCGCTCAGCGGCCACGGGGCAGGGGGCAGCCGGCCTGGTGCTGCCCTCCCCCCTCCCCTCCCCGCGGCTCTGGACCACCCCCCTTCCCGCCACGAGCACCCTCGGCAGCTCCACGTTCTTGGGCTCGGCCAGACCCCACACACACGTGACGCAGGGCCAGGGGCTCAGCAGGTCAGGCCGTGTCCCCGGCGCTCTGCCCACTGGGCCACTTGCCCAGCGTGCCATAGGAAGGACCACTCAGACACCGGCAGCCCCCACGCGTGGCGTCCTCTCACAGCGACAGGCACGTCAGGGGCCTCATGCGTGACGCCCAGCAGAGCCAGTCGTCTGAGTGCCGGTGACAGGGGGCCCCTCCTTGTGCTCGCGGGCGTGTGACTAGCTTTTGGAGGCCACGGCCTCCAGTGGACGTGCAACTGCCTGCTCCCACACGGCACCGCCTCCAGCCAGCCTGGTGCGCAGGACGGCCACGTGGGGCAGCCTGGTGTGCGGAACGGCCACGTGAGGCGGCCTTGTGTGAAGGAGGGGCGGCCACGTGAGGCAGCCTGGTGTGCGGGTAGAATGGGCCACGTGAGGCAGCCTGGTGTGTGGGTGGGACAGCCACGTGAGGCAGCCTGGTGTGCGGAACGGCCACGTGAGGCGGCCTTGTGTGTAGGAGGGGCGGCCACGTGAGGCGGCCTGGTGTGCGGGTGGGTAGCATGGTCACGTGAGCGGCCTGGTGTGCAGGAGGCAGCTGATCCGTGATTCTCTCTCATCATTGATGTTTCTCCGCCCCCCATCCCTTCCTCTCTGAAATCAAGAAGAATATATTTTTAAAGAAGAATACATTTAAAAAGTGTGTAAATTATAGCAGTACCAAGCAGCTCTTTGGGGGTTGGAATTGTGTCCCTCCAAGCCGGGTGAGGGCACTGGGAACTATTTTGAGTTTTGCCTCGTTTTCTCGTTCCTGCTTTCTCCTGGAACGGAATGTAAATGTTTGTCACCGCGTCCCCATTGCCCAGACCCCCCGCACTCAGTCCCGGCTGGGCCTCTGCGCGTGCACAGGGCTGGCTGCGGCTCAGGCTCCCGCCCGCCCCACAGGGCTTCTTCCGGCGGACCATCCGCCTGAAGCTGGCCTACGACAAGTGCGAGCGGAGCTGCAAGATCCAGAAGAAGAACCGCAACAAGTGCCAGTACTGCCGCTTCCACAAGTGCCTGGCGGTCGGGATGTCCCATAACGGTAGGTAAGGCTGCGTCGCCCTGCCCCCCCCGGCCCCCGGCCCCCGGCCCCCAGCCCCCGGCCCATCCGCTGCCGTCCGAGGGGCTAGTGGAAAGCACGCGCCGTGGCCGTCCGTGCCCGGTCACACCGGGCCGTCAGTGCCCGGCAGGCAGCACCGCGGGCAGTGGACCAGCCCCGCCGGGAGTCCCTGTTGGACGTGCCAGACACTGAGGTGTCAGCGGCCGACGGCAGACAGGGCCGTGGGTTCACGTCACACACGGGAAGCGCGTGCTGTTGTGAGCAGCCTGCCTGTTGGGAGCTTACAGTTACCGTGTGAGAGCGAACTTAAAATAACGAGGTCAGCCCTGCCAGGTGCTCAGAGATAGAGCGTCGACCTATGAACCAGGAGGTCACGGTTCGATTCCCGGTCAGGACCCAGGCCTGAGTTTTGGGCTCGATCCCCAGGGAGGGGCGTGAAGGAGGCAGCTGGTCCGTGATTCTCTCTCATCGGTGAAGTTTCTCTCCCTCTCCCCCTCTCCCTTCCTCTCTCTGAAATGAATAAAAGCATTTAAAAAATAAAACAGCAAGCTCATAAAAGTCGTGGCCTATCTTCTGGAAAAGGCAACGGTGCGAGGCTCACCTTCACCTCCTCCGCCACAGACGATGGCGCCGTGGCAACAGCCGAAGCCTATCCTGCCAAAGCAGGGGTTTATGCTGTTGAAAAAGTTTTTTGTTTAAAATAGATATCTGTATTGAGCTCAGAAAGGAAGAGAGTTCAGGAGAGAGAGAGAGAGAGAGAGAGAGAGAGAGAGAGAGAGAGAGAGAGAAACATCAGTGAAGAGAGAAAATCATTGATCAGCTGCCTCCTGCACACCCACAACCCAGGGCATGTGCCCTGACCGGGCATCTAACCGTGACTTCTGGGTTCACAGGTCGATGTTCAACCACTGAGCCACCCTGGCCTGCTGGCCCAGCTACTGTGATCTTTACAGTAGCGGGGCCTGGGTTTCATTTTCATCTCCAAAGCAGAAGGGGGAGCGGGGCTGAGGCAGCGCTGACCGGACCTGTCCATTCCGTCCGGCGTGCCGCGGCCAGCCCTCCACTCGCCAGCTGCTCACCTGTGTGTGTGTGTGTGTGTGTGTCCCGCCCCCAGCAATCCGCTTCGGGCGCATGCCACGATCCGAGAAGGCGAAGCTGAAGGCAGAGATCCTCACGTGTGATCACGAGGAGGACGACTCGGAGGCGGCGGACCTCCGGTCGCTGGCCAAGCAGATCTACGAGGCCTACCTGCGCAGCTTCACCATGAACAAGGCCAAGGCCAGGGTCATCCTCGCCGGCAAGGCCAGCAACAACCCGGTGGGTGCCTGCGCGGCTCCGGCCCGTGGGCCTCAGCGGTGTCGGCCCGATGGGAGGGGGGCTGAGACATGGCCTCCGGGCGGGAAAACATCACCCGAGGCGGGCAGGGCACGGACACTCAGTCACAGACGCTGATGTGTCGCTCCCCGTCCTCTCCCCTCGCCGCCGGGGGCTGGACGAGGTCAGTGGGGGCAGGGCGGGACCACCAGGGGGGGGGGGGTAGGACGGGGCTGGCGGGGGCAGGATGGGGCCAGCGGAGGCAGGACGGGGCCACCGGGGGCAGGATGGGGCCACCGGGGGCAGGACGGGGCCGCCAGGGGCCGGACAGGGCTGCCAGGGGCAGGACGGGGCCGCCAGGGGCCAGATGGGGCAGGCAGGGGGCAGGGTGGGGTCGCCGGGGGCCGGATGGGGTCGGTGGGGACAGGACGGGGTTGCCGGGGGCAGGACGGGGCAGGACGGGGCCAGCAGGGCCAGGATGGGGCCAGCGGGGGCAGGATGGGGCCACCAGGGGCAGGACGGGGCCGCCAGGGGCAGGACGGGGCTGCCGGGGGCAGGACGGGGCCGCCAGGGGCTGGACGGGGCTACTGGGGGCAGGACGGGGTCGGTGGGGGCAGGACGGGGCCGCCGGGGGCAGGACGGGGTCGCCGAGGGCCGGATGGGGCAGGCAGGGGCAGGACTGGGTCGGTGGGGGCAGGACGGGGCAGGACAGGGCCAGCGGGGGCAGAATGGGGCCACCAGGGGCAGGACGGGGCTGCCGGGGGCAGGACGGGGTCGCCGGGGGCCGGATGGGGCAGGCAGGGGCAGGACTGGGTCGGTGGGGGCAGGACGGGGCCGCCGGGGGCTGACCGCCCGCTCTCCTTGCAGCCCTTCGTCATCCACGACATGGAGACGCTGTGCATGGCGGAGCGCACGCTGGTGGCCAAGCTGGTGGCCAACGGCATCCAGAACAAGGAGGCGGAGGTGCGCATCTTCCACTGCTGCCAGTGCACGTCCGTGGAGACCGTCACGGAGCTCACCGAGTTCGCCAAGGCCATCCCCGGCTTCGCCGGCCTCGACCTCAACGACCAGGTCACGCTGCTCAAGTACGGCGTGTACGAGGCCATCTTCGCCATGCTGGCCTCCGTCATGAACAAGGACGGCATGCTGGTCGCCTGCGGCAACGGCTTCATCACGCGCGAGTTCCTCAAGGGCCTGCGCAAGCCCTTCTGCGACATCATGGAGCCCAAGTTCGACTTCGCCATGAAGTTCAACGCCCTGGAGCTGGACGACAGCGACATCGCCCTCTTCGTGGCCGCCATCATCTGCTGCGGAGGTGAGTGGGCGGGGCCCCGGCCCGTCAGCTGTCACTCAGGGCTCCGGTTCGAGGGGCGGGTGGCAGGGAGGGGTCGGCCATGGTAGGACTGATTGGGTGGTGCCATCGTGGAGCAGGCACTGGCAGGGGGGAGGGGACTCTGGGCCCCATATTGCCACCAACCAGAAGCAGGTGAGTTACACCAACACGGCATCACATGCTACTACGCGTGAATACATGCTATCCGCTATGCATGCTCTGATAGTCATGTAGGAATCTCTTTCACATGGAAAGGGTTCCAATTCAGAGTTCGGGTTCTGGAGAAGGCCGCACACAAATGAAAAGAGACTTAAAGAAATTCAGTTTGGCGATATGGGGGGCCAGGCGGTAGTCCAACTCTAGCGGGAGAACTACTCCCTGCTCTGGCCCTGCCACCCCTTTTATGGAGGCTTTGGGGAAGACATCTTGGGCAACATAAACAGGAATTTACATGTGGCCCTTAGGCAGGAAATAACAGACACACGGGACAAACAAGGTGGAGGCTGCTTCAGCTAACCATGTCTCCACTAAAGGGTGAGTGGTTAGAGCAATGAAGGTTGTTGACCAGGCTTCCTGTCTTCCTGTCCACATCTCTCTTTTAGTGAAACTGATCTGTTTCTGGCAGTTATGACATCACACAGGCGCACAGCCGTGTGTCAGGTCTGGTGACAGTCATGATGTCACACGGTGTGCGGTGTCCATTATGACACAGGCACACGCCGCCTGCACGTCAGTCCACAAGGACCCGCAGGTGGTGGGCCCTCAGGTCACGTGGGCTGGAGGCCTCCTGTCTCGGGGAGGCCGGGGGCTCGGCGCTGGTCCCTGCGCGGTGGCCGTCGGGGGGCGCGCCTGCTGGCTGCCGCCACGGCGCAGGGCAGCGGGCAGAGCGCGGAACGCCATGCGGCGGGGCCCAGCTCAGCACGCCTCACTGTGCTGTGAGCGAGCTCCCTCGGCTTTGACACAGAATCTGCAGCCGGGCCGGGCGGCCTCACGCCCGCGTCCGTCTCTTCTCCTGCCATTTCCTGTGTGTGATTGAGCCTCTGCGGTTGTTTTGTTTTAGTAATCCTCACCTGAGGCTGCTTTCCCATTGGTTTTTAGGGAGAGTGGGAAGAGAGGGGGAACGACACAAACATCAATGTGAGATAAACACATTGATTGGTTGTCTCTTGCAAGAGCCCCAACCAGGGCCTAGGCAGGGGAGGAGCCTACAACTGAAATAGAACCTGGGACCCTTCGGTCCGCAGGCCGACGCTCTATCCACTGAGCCACACCAGCTAGGGTGAACCTCCAGTTGTTTTGTACAGTAAGGTGCATGCAAGCTGGGAGCCCAGGGGCATTGGCCTGTGCCATACAGCGAGGTGTACAGGGGCCCAGGTGTGCAGGCACCCAGGACCGCGGGGCATGTGGTTTGTCCCTCTCCCGGGCCACAGCCTGGCTGGTCCCCATTCCTCTCTCCCCAGTGTTGCGTGTCTGAGCCATTACGGTGTGACAGCGTGAGGACGTGGTGACCATTTGCATGTTAGCTCTTTATTATATAGGATGTCCCCTCTGTGCACAGACAGTGTTCTGTGTGTGCCACACACAGCTCAGACAGCTGCTGTCACGACTGGCATGTTTACGCCGTTTCACGCTGAAAAGTGCCAGCAGCTCCCAGCAGCCGGCCAGTTCTCTGCGGGAGGAAACGGTCCGGGAGGGACCTGGGCCTCTGCAGCCCCGGCCTCTGGCTCGGCGTCACGTTCCTTTAAATAGCCCGTCCCGGGTCTAAGGAGGTCAGCGCGCTGCTGTGAGGCCCGCGATCCCGCCCTGCCTGCCCCACGCTCTCCTGGGAGCTGTGCGGCCCCCGAGATGGACTCACTCACAGAATGAGGGGGGCGGGTGGGGCAGGTGGGGCCAGCCCAGCCCCACGAGGCTGTCTCTGTGCCACCCGCTGGGCAGTCGGAGAGGGAGTCCTCCCGCTCGGCAACACGAGTGCAGTGGCAGCAGCCGTGCTGACCTGTCACCCCCTCAGACGCTCAGGACGCGGGGACAGAGGGCTGGAGAACTGTGTACAGTGACCACAGATTCACAAAGGAAACTCCGGTCACCATCAACCCCACGTAGGAAGATGGCCAATGGACAGACAGTGAGCCTGCAGGGCGGGGTTAACACGCCGAGGGGCACCCTTGTTTTAAGTTTCTGTTCAGTAAGTTGGAACCGCGGCGACCCTGGACAGCGGGGCTGACTGCGGGGAACACGCCGCTCGATGGGTAAACACACGGCTGGCCTCCCATGTCCCTGGCTCTGTGTCCAGGGATTCAACCAACCACGGACCGAGAGCAGCAATTTATTTATTTATTTTTATTTTTAAAAATATATTTTTTTACAGAAAGGAAGGGGGAAGGATAGAGAGAAACATCGATGAGAGAGAAACATCAGTCAGCTGCCTCCTGCACGCCCCCCACTGGGGATGTGCCTGCAACCAAGGTACATGCCCTTGACCGGAATCGAACCTGGGACCCTTCAGTCCGCAGGCCGACGCTCTATCCACTGACCCACCCCGGCCAGGGCCCACTCTGGTCCCTTGTGGTCAGGTCTACAGGATCTGAAGCTCATGGCTTCAGGGGAGAAAGGCCAGGCAGGATGGGGGCTCCGTGTCTTGGGCGTCGCCGTGGTGACCGTCGACTCAGCCGAGTGTGTGTCTGTGTGTGTGTCTCTCCTTTGGGGACAGATCGCCCGGGCCTCCTGCACGTGGGCCAGATCGAGCAGATGCAGGAGGGCATCGTGCACGTGCTCAGGCTGCACCTGCAGGGCAACCACCCGGACGCCGCCTTCCTGTTCCCCAAGCTCCTGCAGAAGATGGCGGACCTGCGGCAGCTGGTCACGGAGCACGCGCAGCTGGTGCAGGTCATCAAGAGGACCGAGGCGGACGCCGCGCTGCACCCGCTGCTGCAGGAGATCTACCGCGACATGTACTGAGGCCGAGGGGACTGCTCCGCGGGCCCGCCGCCACCCGCCCCGGGCCGGGCCCATCGCCGCCGCCCGCCGCCACCCGCCCCGGGCCGGGCCCATTGCCGCCGCCCGCCGCCTGCCGCCCGCCACCTGCCGCCCGCCGGCCGCAGCCCGGGGCGTCGGGGCGGCTGGGAGAAGCCGCCCAGCGTGAACCCACCAGGTGGCCCGGACGAAAGCGCCTTTTGTCCCACCGAATCCCCCGGACCTCACGGCAGTGGCCGCCCTCCGGTCCCACGGGGCTGCTGGCTCCGTGTGACCAGGGAAGCTGATGGCACTTTTAACCTTCGGATCCTGTGCATCTAGATGTAGCCAAAGGGGAGGGGCTCTCAGCAGCGGCGTATTTATTCGGAGGCTTCGGTTCTGTTTCCTGAGCTTGAGGAGAGACGTGCTCGTGTGGGTAGGGCTTCGCGTGCGCGGAGTTACGGACAAGCTACTGCAGTCGACGCCTGTCGCGTTCCGTCCCTTGCTGAGGCCTGTGTCCTCTGGACCACGGGCCTGTGTGCAGCCGGCGTCCGTGGGCCGGACGGACAGACTCAGAAGTACCTCGGGGTCCCCGTCCCCTCGCCTGGGTCCCCTCACGGCTGCAGTACCCGGGGCGGCCTGGCCGGTTACCTGCAGGTGCTCCGTGGCCGCTCCCCGGAGTGGATAAGACAGGCACCTGAGACTTCGGGGGGCGGTCACAGGAGCACAGCGGTGAGGGGCGGGCGAGGTCTGTCAAACGGCTGCACCGGGAGCCAGGACACGCCCAGGGTGGTCTTTACGAAGGCTGGCAGCTAAGAGTCCTCCTCCACACCCTCCGCCAGGGGCCTTCCCGGCGTCTGAAAGGTCTGCCTTCCCAGCCCGGTCCCGGGAGAGCCAGGCGGACTGGGTCCCCAGCACGTGGCCTGAACACCCTCTCCCCGTCACCGTGGCGACCCAGTGTCCCCCATTTCAGCAGCCCGCCTGCCGGGCGTCACAGGCAGGGGTCCCCAGACGCCTCGCCCTCCATCCTTACCCCCTCCCTCCACGTACCCCCTCCCCCAGGCCTTGGAAAACGTGGCTCTTCAAGGCCATGACAGTGTATGGGGAAAGGAGGAGTCGGGCCGTCCTGGCGAAGGTCCCACGGTCAGCACGGGAAACAGCAGTCACTCAGGCCCCTCAGAGGGGCGAAAGCCGCTGTCTGCCGTCCTGTTAGCGCTGCCGTGCGCGGTGGCTTTTGAAGATTCCACCGGAGGGCCAGCGGGAAGCCAAGACAGCGCCGCCATGGTGAGCCACCCAGCGGGGGGTCCAGGCCGGGACTTCCGGCCTCGGGGAGTGAGCCTGGAGACAGGCTTTCGGAGAGCCGTGCGTCCCATGCAGCAGATGGTGTAGCCCGGCTGCGAGCACCTAGTGACCGGCCCGGCTTCCCGCAGCGGCCAGCGGAGGGCGCTGGTCCTCCGGGGCCGCGACCCCGGACTTGTTCCCATCCGTGTTCCCATCCGTGGTCTCGCCACGGCCACTCCGGCCTCACGGGTCTGCTCACCGATTCCCCGGTTGGCACGGCGCTGACAGCTTGCGCCCTGCGGCATTTCACGCTCCCGGGGGCGGCAGGCGTGCTTGCTGTGTCCCGGGACTCACCCGCTTGCACAGAGGACAACCCACGCGGCCTAGAAGGTTCCAGAAGCTGCCAACCAGAGTGTGAAGCCGCCTCTTCTGGGGGATGCCCCCCAGGACTCCGCCAGCAAGTCTGCTCAACCTGCGCCTTCAAGGCCTTGACTTGCCACCGCAGATGCCAGCCCTCGGCCACGGGGCCACCTGCCACCTAAGTCCCCTGCCCAGGCCAGGAAGGACCACCCGGCTCCCGAGACCGGCCTCCCCTCTTCCCAACCGTGGCAGCTCCGGCTCCCCACCCTCGGGTTCTGCACCTTGTGGGTGAGACCCTGTGGGTGCCGCACCCAGTGCCGACTTCCGTGGGGCTGTGATGGTGACTGCCGAGCGGGTCCTCCCTCCCGCCCTGCTCCCCGGGTCCCAGAGACCTCCCCGAGCGCACCCCCATTCGACGGGCCCTTGCCTTGCACTCAGGGCCCGGACGGCCCGGCCGGACCTGCCCCGCTGCTTCCGGGGCGTCAGAGTCTCAAAGGCAAAGGCCGGGACCAAGTGGACGGCTGGGCCTGGCAGAGCCCGAGGCACAGGCCCTGCCGGCTGTGATGGAAGTAACCAGAGCCACCGCAACTCAGCTACCTCAACCGAGAGTCTGCAGGCGCCCCTCGGCCACGGTGCTCGACCCCCTGCCGGACCTGCTGATGGGCGCAGGCTGCAGCCCGCCCTCCCCGCCCGCCGCACCCAGGAACGGAGGTTACTGCGGTTTAAAGCGTTTGCTGTGGGGCATCACAGGGGCGTGCACAGAGCTGCCGTCCGTGAGGCGGAGCGGAGCGGCCGGGCTGGAGAGGCAGGAAGCCAGGGCCTCGGAGGCGCCCGAGCGCCTGCTACAGCCACGCAGAGGCCTGGGCACGGGCTCCTGCTCGGGCACCGGGCACCGCACAGACGCCTCCGCCCGGCCTCGCTCAGATGTCTGCCCGGCTCGCCGCCTCCTGCGGCGTTTTCGGCCTTTGCCGGGGCCCCTGCCCCTGGAAGGTTCAGGAACTCCTGTCTGAGTGCAGGGCCACTGCTTCCACAGCGAGGCCAGCACGCCCAGCTGAGACGGACTTGACCTGCGGCCAGGCCTTCAGTAGGGGGCCTCCAGGGACCAGGGGAGCCAGCCCCTTCCAATACCTCTCATCCCCCGTGGCCTCTCACAGCGCCCCCCGCAGGAAGGCGGCAGCGCTGGCAGCCCCCTGCGTGGCTGACTCAGGCTCCCGGGGCGGCCACGTGGCCCTCGGAGGGCCCTGCGCTGGCGGCCCGGGGGACGGGCTGGGGGTGCCGGGCAGGCACAGTGCTGACGCGGCGGGCGGCCCAGGCCTCCTGGGCTGGAGCGCGGTTCCTCTCCCCACGTCCAGGGCGTTTCCCGGCGGCTCCTCCTCAGCGGGGCCCGCCCGGAAAGAGCAAAGCTCAGGCTCAGAGGTCGAGGTCTGTGTTTTTGCTGAGGTTTATCTATATATTTTTTAAGTGCCATTTTAATCGAATTCAAGAAAATGGTCACTGACAAAGCAGTGCATTTGGTCTGAATCAGGCGCTGTATTTCCCTGGAGCGACAATCTGACAACTAAATGTGACAATGGAAGTTGATTTTTAAGAAAAAGGAAAAAAGACTTCTTGGTCTAGTTTTAATAATTCCGCCGTGCTTTCCATTCCGCTGTTTTGGCGGAAGCAGCCATTTCTCACACTTTGCTTCAGCAGAGTGGGCTGCAGGCACAGTAAAAATCAAACACACAAAAAGCCGGCTGAGAGCAGGAGTGAGGCGGCCCTCTCCCGTCCGGAGGGGGCGGCCCTGCCACGTGCTTCTCGCAGTTTCAGCGTGGGGCACGGGAATATCGCCGTCTATGCCCCCGGCACCCCAGGGAAGGGCTGGCATGCCACATGGTGAGGCCCAGCTGAGCTGCAGCTGCGTCCCTGGGAATCCTTCAGCAACTGCAGGCCTGGTCCAGGCAGCCGGCGCCTGCAGCACCCGGTGACATCGGGACGTCGCTGGCCCCGTGTGAAATGCATCGCCCGCAAAACATCGAGCAACAGCCATTCCTACGTCAGGGACAGCCGTCCAGACCTGAGTCTGGTCCTTCCCTTCCTCCCTCCCTCCCTCCGGTCCTTCCTTCCTCCCTTCCCTCCTTCCCTTCCTCTCCCCCTCCCTCCCTCCTTTTCTTTCTTCTTTTCCTTCCTCCCACCCTCCCTCCCTTCCTTCCTTCCCTTCTTTCTCTCCCCTCCTCCCTCTCCCCCCCTCCCCGTCTCTCTTCATTTAAAATAGGTCCGGCCTCCCCTCTCACCTGCCTCCCCCCCCCCCCCACCTGGTCCCCATGCACTACAGTGTCCCGCCTCGGGGACTGGAGGAGCTGGGGAGGAGCCTCGGCCCTGAGGACAAGGCACGGACCCACCTTCTTGAAATGTCTTCATGAGGCCGGCCGCTGCCTCCTTCAGGCCTAAAGAATGCGCCTCAGGACAGACCCTGCCACGCGCAGTTGGTGACACGCCTCCCTGCTTGCCCTGCACCGTCTGGTGACAAGAGCCACGCCGATAGCGTGTCCTCGATACTGTGATTCGAATTTTTTTTTAAATCCTAACATAAATGTTTTACTAACGTACAATCAGGTGTCTAACACAAACGTCTGGGTATTTGGAATCAGTGTTAATGGACAGATCCCCTTCCCAGCCTGGCTTGGGGCTTCCTGGGAACAGGAGCCGAAGCGTCAGGGCCCAGATAGACCCGCACGCACACGCCCTGAGCACGCACACGCCCTGAGCACGCACACGCCCGAGCACGCACACGCCCGAGCACGCACAGCCCGTGTTTGCCTGGGTCTCCCCTGCCGCTCAGCCCGCACAAGCAGGCACCGCAGCCGCCTCGCCCCGGGCAGGCCGCCGGGCTGGGGCTCCGAGGGGAGCAAGGGCTGTGGTTATAACCAAAGACTGTGCCCCTCCCGTGTCCTGGTGGGACCTAGGCACCGGCTGGCGGCCTGGCAGCCTCCGGTGGCCCAGCCCGAAGCAGGAAGCAGGAGCCTCAGGCCAGCACCTCCCACCCGTGTCCCGTCCCCCGTGGGGGCCTTGGCAGAGTCCCCCTGGGTGTGCACCTGTCTGCCCGGGGCCCCAGCAGGACGTGGGTTTCCACAGACCCCGCAGCGGGCACCGAGTCCACCCACAGTGCCCGCTCTCTGGTCCGGGTGGGCCCGGGGCCGCGGGCAGCTGGGTGCCGGCACAGCCGAGGGCACGGGGCACCCTGCTGGCCGCACCACCTGATCGTGGGGCCAGGCAACTAGGAAACGGCTATAAATAACTAATTTTTCACAATCTTGGGTCTTATTCATTTCCCATTCGGAAATGGAACTGGTCGTATGTATTGATTTATAGCCTGAACTTGTGGTAACTTCCATGTTTGGAATGTCCTACTGTAAGACTGATGAATGTAAGAGTTAATTTCAGGGTACCATTTTGCCTTAATGGTTTTAAAAATTAAACTATTTTTAAACATTATTGGTTGCGTTTGAGTGATGCTGTGAGACGAGGTGTTGGGTCTGAAACCAGACCCCTGGCGGTGCGGCCTGCCCTCGGCCGGCCCGTCCCCTCACCGAGCGTCCCTCGGCCCGAGTACCCGCCACGCCTGCAACAGCCTGGCCCCAACAGGGCATCCATTTGCATGAAATGCCACGAAGCAGGAAAAGCTTATAAAAGCGTGACTTCAGAATAAGATGGGAGGGCTCTTTATTCGGAGTTCTCACACGCGGGCTGTGAAAGGAGGCAGGCAGCCCCGCCCCAGGAAGCAGCAGGCAGGAGGCAGCTCCACACGCAGCACAGCACCAGGCTGGGCTTGGCCTCCTCGGGCTGCGGCTGAGTTCCTGGGGAGAGGCAGGCGGGCGGCAGCAGGCTGGGGGCGGGCCTGGGGGAAGGGAGCCGAGGGGCCCCCCGGGGTGGAAGCAGAGCCAGAGGGAGCCGAAGAGGCTGGGAGCACACACGCGACCCGCCCGGAGGCCTGCACACCGGGCCAGCTCGGCGCGGCGGCCTCCACCCGCGTGCAGCTGTGTTCGGGGCCAGCAGAGCAGCGCGGCCCGTGGACAACCCCTGGAGCCGGTCCATCATGGAAAGGATGCAGGGCCCTCCAGCCCAGCCATGTGGCGGGACACAGCCCGGAAGACTTGCAGTGGGTGGACTCCGCCCCTCAGGATCCTGGGCACCTCCTGGCTCCTGCCCGTCCGGCACTGAGCGAGCTCCGGAGTCCAGGCGGGTCCCCAGGTGCCTCCTCTGCCGCGGCTCTATCCCTGGAGCTCCAGCCGCTGCTTCAGAACAAGGCCCCACGGCGGCTCCCAGCTCAGCAGTCGCCCAGGCCTCCATGCTGTCAGGCCTCCATGCTGTCTGGCCTCCACACCGGCCCAGGACTCCACGCTGTCAGGCCTCCACGCCATCAGGCCTCCACGCTGTCAGGCCTGTGCGCTGGGCTGGCGGCCGGCCTCTTCGATGGGACTTTCCTCTTCTCCAGGTCCTGCCGGATCTCCTGGGGGAAGGCCTGGATGTTCTTCTGGACACACGGGAGGCAGAACCTCTTGGAGTAGAACAGACTGCAGTCCTGGGGGAGGAGGGCAGACTGAGGGCCGGGGCGCAGGCCCAGGCGGGCAGGGGCTGGGTGGGCCCGGGATGCACGGGCAGCTGAGGGGAGGTGGGAGGGTGCAGCTGGAGCCAGAACAGCAGGAGGGAGGCCCAAGGGGGTGGCCCAGGGGAAAAAGAAATGGGGGGAGGGGGGCCAGGGGCAGCCCTGCAGGCACGTGTGTCGGGTTTTCACATGTGGGAACCATGAGCCTCCGCGGAGGCCCGTGGCAGTGGCCCTGTGCCTCTGAGGGACTGGGGGGCTGTTTCAGTGCAGGCGACCAGCCCCGGGCAGGACGCTCAGGCCCCTCGGGCAGGCTCACCCGGATCACAGGGCCACACTCAGCTTTCCCCCACCATGCGCCTTCTTCTCAGACACCAGGCTCAGCCTGCTGGGCTCTGGGCCGCAGCCTCTGGGCCCCCGGCTCCCTCACTGTAACATGGGCGCAGCCTGACTGGGGCTGGGGAGAGGGACTGAGAAGCCCCATGGCTAAGGCAGCCCCCAAGCAGGCCTGGCACACAGATGTGGGGAGGCCCGATGACCCCCGAAAGAAGGTCCCCCCCCGGGGATGGGGAGGGCCTGTGAGGGGCCGCTGGGGTGGGGCAGAGCCTCCCAGAAGCTACCTGAACCCCTCGGGCCCTGCAGAGACCCTGGCTGGCCCAGCGGGCCTCTGCCCCGTGCTGGCTGCAGGACCCCCAAAGGGAGGCAGGCCAGCTGGCCTCCGAGAGCCGCCTGGGCCTGGTGACTGAGGACCGGGACGCTGGGCAGAGGACGCCGTGCGCTCGCCCTCGGGAACGGCTCCCGGGCCCCCTCTCCCGTCATGCCTGTGGGGTCCCAGCCCAGGGTCCGGGGGGAGACGGGGGACGGGGGACGTGGGGGGCAGATAGGGGGCGGGGAGGAGGGCGTGAGGGGGAGGAAGGGAGGCAGTGGCGCTGGCTTACCCACCGGGCCCACACACACCAGCCGGCCGCAGACACTGCACCTGGAGCCCAGGACCAGGAACCTGTCCTTGTCGGGGCTGAAGGGGTCCTTCATGACGTAGCTCTCCTCCAGGAGGCTGCGGGCAGGGAGCGAGGCCGGCTTGGGGTCTGATGGCAGGTCAGCGGGAGGGGCTGGCCCTGCTCTGGGCTCTGGAACCGCTGCGAGGGGCCACCACCCTTCTCAGCCGACGGAGGGGCCCTGACCACCTCACAGGTGGGGCCGGGGCCACGAGGCCTCCCTCCCTCACCCCAGGGTCCCGCCCACCCCACACTGCCTGCTTCCGCGCAGGTCCACCACCTGAGTAGCGTGCGGCCTCTCGCCGCACACCCAGAGGGAGACCCAAGGGTTTCCAGGCGATGCCCCTGTCCCGGCCAGCAGGGAACCCCGCAGCAGGAGGAGCCTGCCCCGCCCCTCGCCCTGTGTGAGGATCGCATCGGTCCACTCCCCCGTGACGTGGCATCGGGTGAAGGACAACTTGAAGGTCAAGAACCAGGCGCTGGGCCCCCGGCTCTCCTCCGGCCTTCTCGGCCGATCGCAGGAAGCTGCTCCCGGGGACTCCCTCCCACAGGCCCCGGACACGACACTCACATGACAGACTGGGTGTCGGGGGGCTTCTGCCCCACGTAGCTGTACGGGGCCGTCAGGGCGCAGAGCTGGCACTCAAACACACCCGAGGGACGCTGCTCCGCCCCGCACGCCATCTGCAAGATCAAGGGGCAGGCCCGCCACCTTCAGAACCAACCTCTACCCACAGCCAGAGCTGGCGGCATGCGCCCACGGAGCAGACGAAGGGTGCCCCGCAGACCGCGGCCTCAAGTCCAACGTCCGAGACCTCCTCAAGGCCACTCGTTTCCGAGTGCACGTGAGACGCTTACCAGGAGGGGCTCTGTGCTGAGCCACGACGTAAGCCCCAGACAACGAAAAACAACTGAAACTGCAGAGTACGTTCTCCAATCCCAATTAAAGCCATAGCAAAAAAGTTACCCTAACACCCTCCCAATACTTGGAAATGAAACAGTAACATTTTAACTAAATCATAGTTCAAAGAGGCAAATTAGAAAATATTTTATCTAAAAAATGGCTTAACTTCAAATTGTTAAACATTTAAAGGAGAAATAGTACCAACATATAGAAGGTATTTCAGAATGCAAAAAAAGAAACAGCTTCTCAGTGATTTTCTGAGGCCAGTATTACATGGACACCCACACTGCCCGGGTTACCTTCACACCGCTAACCAGACAAAGCCATGGCACAAAAACTACAGCCCAGTAGCCTTCATGAGCCCGGATACAAAAATATTTGGCAAAATATCAGCAAACTGCAATAGACAGGAAGCCTAATGCTCCCTGCCTGAGTGGGTTCAGTTCCACCAGACTCGAGGAATGCAAGGTTGGTTTAACGTCCTGAATCCAACGAATGCAGCTTTGGACTGGAACAGGAAAGAAACCAGGACTCATCATTTCAACAGTGTGACAAAACTCAACAGGGTTTTATAAAATTCAAGACACAGCGTGGTGCGTCCAACCCCACAGGCTCCCCTCCTGACTACAAAATAAACTCCCTTCCTTGACGGCGGAGACCCACTGAGACGGACATTACCTTCTCCCGTCACTGCCGCACCCACCAGGCTCGCCACTCACCTCCGGCTCTCCTGTGGTTGATAACCCCGCCTCTGCTCTTGCCATTCCCTCCCCGGACGGCTCCCCCACATCTGCCCGGAGTTTCCCTCCGGCTGCCTCCAAGAATTTTTGTCTTTGGCTTTCAGCAGTTTGAAAAAAAATTAAAAAGTATATATATATATATATATATATATATATATATATATACACACACACACACACACACACACATACACACACACACAACGTATTTTCCGGCGTATAAGACCCCCCTAATTTTACAGTTAAAACATAGGTTTGGGCCTATATTCGCTGTATAAGACTTCCCCCCACTTCAAAGAAAAGGCTTACTTTGCCGTCAAGATCTGCAGGTAATTTTTGTGCAATTTTGGTCTTTTGCCCCCGATTCTCGGTTGACTTTTTTTCATTTCGAAAGTCGTCTTATACGCCGGAAAATACTGTATTTTAAGTGTTTCATCCTGCTTGTGCTTCTCTGAGCAGTGTTTTGAGAACTCGCATTATTTTTGGAAAAGTCTTAACCATGGAAACCCCATTCTTTCTCCCTCTTATTCTGTTGGGATTCCAAGTGCAAATGTAAGGTGTCCCCCCAAATATGTATACACGCACTTTGAAGCATTATAAGGGCGGTGTTTATTAAAATACATTTCCTGCCAAAACCGGTGTGGCTTAGTGGATAGAGCTTTGGCCTGTGGAATGAAGGGTCCCAGGCTCGATTCCGGTCAGGGGCATGTACCTTGGTTGCGGGCACATCCCCAGTAGGGTGTGTGCAGGAGGCAGCTGATGGATGTTTCTCTCTCATCGATGTTTCTAACTCATTATTCCTCACTCTTCCTCTCCGTAAAAAATCAATAAAATGGCAGAAACCGGTTTGGCTCAGTGGTAGAGCATTGGCCTGTGGAGTGAAAGGTCCCGGGTTGGATTCCGGTCAGGGGCATGTACCTTGGTTGCGGGCACATCCCCAGAAGGGGGTGTGCAAGAGGCAGCTGATGGATGATTCACTTCTCATCGATGTTTCTAACTCTATCCCTCTCTCTTCCTCTCTCTGTAAAAAATCAATAAACTATATTAAAAAACTTAACAAGATCAGTAGAATCTGGAACCATAAAAAAAATCAATAAAATGTTTTTTTTTAAGTACATTTCCTTTGCAAAATGGAGCAATCAGCTGTCGGTGTGTGTGCATTTGTACCCGTACGTGAGGCTGCTCGCTATGCCCCCCGCTCCTCTGGGCCTGACCGTCACTCCTTCCCTGTTCCGCGTGGGGGTGTCTATGGGTCAGGACCAAGTTCACGTATTTTTTGTTCCTTGGCGGGGTGAGCTGGGCCGCCACTTCGGCGTGCCCTCTGCAGGCACCCTCCGTCCCTGCTGCGGTTTGTTCCCACCTTCACACCCGGCTTTTTGCCCCTCGGGGTCCGGAGGGCCCCGCACGTCCAGGGCCGGCCTCGGGGCTGAGCCCCCGGCCCCGCACCCGCCGTCACCGGGCGGCCTCCCCGACCGCCCCGGAGGCGCCAGATCGGCCGGCGAGCCACACGCGCCGGTGGGACGCGCGCCCCGCCACGCCGCCCGGCCGCTCCACTCACCTCCGCCGCCACCCGCGGCCCCCGCCCTCCGCGCCTGCGTGGCCCCGCCCCCAACTGCCCACAGCGCCTGCGCGGCCCCGCCCCGGCCCCGCCCCCGCTCTATGACCGCCCACAGCGCGTGCGCGGTTCCTCTCCCCGGCGCATGCGCAGCGCGGGAGGGCGCTTTGGTCGGACTTCCGCTCCCGCCATGGCCTCTGGGTCTCTGGCCCGTGGGGCTGCCTGGCCTGCTCCGGCCGGGGACGCCCCCTGGGCCTGCGGTCTGGCTGCTCGAAGGTGCCCAGCTTCTTCCTGAGTTTCCACCGGGTATTGCGGAGCCGAGGCCGCTGGTGCGCGGCCGGCAAACAGCCTGCCTGCGCGGAGGTGCCCGCGCCTGAGGCCGGAGCGGCCTGCTCTTCCCCACCCCGTCCCCCGGGCCCGGGCCGCAGGCAGGGCAGCTGAGAAGATGGGCTCTGCCCGGGCCATGCTGTTACCGGGACCGTTAGGAAGCCGTGTCTCCCTGCGCCTGTCACGTGCTCCTCCGAAACCCCAAAGGCCTGCGGAGCCCCTGGGGTCTGGGCCCCGCCATCCTTCAGCTTCCAAAGGTTCTCCTGGCGCCCAGGCTCGGCCTGCCCCCAGCCTCGGACAGGCCCCCCTGCCCCTGCCGCCACCGGACCCCCCTCACTCCTGGCCTTTCCGGAGTCATTCTGGTTTGTCGGAAGCCCGTAATGATTTCACTTGGGAGGAACTAACTTCACTCTGCTGAGTAGCTACTTGAAGTGTCCATCATGTCCTTAAAGCTTTAGGTGCAGAATTGAACCATGAATATTGGGCACGCACGCCGGCACTCACCCTGACTGGGACAGCGGAGACAGGCCCGGTCACCTGCCGCGCAGTTTAGGCGCCGGGCGGACCCTGGAGAACCCGCCCAGCCCGGGAACACGCACTCCGCACCGGCAGGGCCCCCCTCATCAATGTCACAACATGACGTTGGGCAGAACAATGTTATTTGAGGACCTACTGTGTGTGTTGCCAATGGATAAAGGGCCGTTAGCGTTGTATATAATAGTTTCTAAGTGTCTAAGAGTGTGACGTACAGAAGCAGGCCTTAAAGCAAGTCTCCGTCATTAAGACAAGGGCAGCCCCCCCTGAGCCACCGGGAGCTCCGCATGCAGACTTGTTCAGAGGGGGCTGGATTGGGAGCATTTGTCTTGTCTCCATGTGCGAAGCAGACTTGGGAAGGAGTTGGTTTAGAACCGTGGGCAGCTTGTTCTGGAATATACCTACCCTCTTCCTGGAAATAGGATGAGAAAAAGGGAGTTCCCAAAAGACTCTTAGGAATTGTTGCAAGTCCTGTGAAAGTGGCCTCCAAAGTTTTGACTTGTGTCCCTTGTCAGCTTGTCTCCCTGATAATGCTGTAATTCCCGTCTGTTTCTAAAGGACAAGTACTGGCCCTGGCTCTACCTGGTCAGGGCCCGCCGCTCTGCTCTGCCAGGGTGTGGCACAGGCCCCGCCACCGCTGGACTTGCCTGGAATCCTCACAGCACCTAAGGCCACCGTCCTGGACCTCACTCAGACCACATGCTGGGACCAGCCCCGTTCCAGGACTCCCCAGCAGGACTGTGGGCTTGGGCCTGTGTTTGTGACCCTGTAACTCCCTCTCTGGCACAGCTCCGAGTCCCAGACACTATGCTGACCTGTGCGGGAGGACCCTCCCACCCCTGGAGCTGTCTTCCTGGGAAGGGAGGCCAACTAGTGTGCCCCTGGGGCCTCCAGAGCGCCCGGAGAGAGGCCTCAGTCTTAGGGGCCTCTCGGAGGGGCTGGCCCTGCACAGTGGCCCCTCCCCCTTGGTTACTCTGTCTTTCAAAGGAAAGGTGGTGAAGAGAGGAGCTGATGCAAACAGCCAGCTGGTAGAAGCAGCGTGAAGCCTGGGCCTCCCCTAAGGGCACTTAGAGAATCCAGATCTCACTGACCCTGACGGTGTGAGTGGCTGTGGTGGGTTTCTCACTTGGCAGAGGAACTGCAGCCGCCCAGGCTCTCAGTGGCCCCAGCAGGAGCCCTGGGTGCTCCTAGGTGCCTGCCAGGGTTGCAGGGCCGCCTGGCGAGTGATGAACACTTAGGACTAAGCACCCACAGGCTGCTTTCCAGGGCAGAAGCCCCCCACGCCTCCCGGAACTCTCATCTCATTCTGATGCAGGACCTACACAAAGGAGCGCCCTCCAGAGGAAAATACAGCCGCTGCCAGTTTGTCTGAAACCAACACCGTTGTCTTTATTCAGGAACCACCCACCAGGCCGTGGACAGCAGCAGGCCCAGACCTTGGGGTACAGACCGCCAGGTCCACACACAGCACAGGTGCCGCCGATCCGAGGGAGCCCACACATACCCCTTGTTGTCTAACGCAAACTGCGTCTCCTGGCCAGAAAACAGCCCTGTTTCCCATCTTTAATCTGAAGGGGCCTTAGGGAGTAGGTGGAGAGCTTCAGACTTCAGACTGCCCTCATCCCTGCACCCCCAACTCGGCACGTCCAGAACTCCCCACAGGCCCCTCCGGCCCTGGCCCAGCTGGAATGTGGGGGCTGCCGGGGACAAGGGGCAGGGAAGCTCTGATCTGTGAAAAGAACTCCCAGTGAGATGTGTGTGTGTGTGTGTGTGTGTGTGTGTGTGTGTGTGGAGGGGGGGATCTTTAGTTCCCTCCCCCAAACTGCTATGGGCTCCAAAGGCCCTCAGTGCCCCCAAAGGGAGCTCATCCGGGTGTCTGGCAGCCCCCCACCCCTCTCCCCTGCCTGCTGCTGCTATACTCCCGGCTGTCACGTTCCTAAAAGTGGCGGCCAAGAGTGGGAACCTTAGCAAATGCAGGGTGTGCGTCGTGCAGGACACGGGCCGGCAGGGTGACGGAGCCTGTGAACTGAGCCTGAGGCGGGAGAGCCCTCCTGCAGCCGGCGGCGTCACACCACCAGGTACACCACCTTCCTCTCGTTGATGTTCCTGGTCTTCAGCCCCCGGTAGTGCCGGCTGTGCTTCTCCGGCTTCCCGTACAGCATGTCCACCAAGGGCTGCCGCTCGCCTGGGTCCTGGGGCTGGGTGGACAGGAAGCCGAAGCCCGTCCGGAGCTTGTCGTACAGGTAGACGATGGCTTCCGCTTCCTGCGAAGGCTCCTCGTACACGGGCTGCCGCAGGGCCCTGTGGGCAGACAGGATCACAGCCGAGAGCAGGTTGATCAGCACACAGATCAGCAGCAGCACAAACGCTGCGAGGAACAGGATGCCGAGGGCCCTGTTGCTGGAAAATTCCTCGTCCCGCAAAGCTGCGGTGCAGTAGGAGAAGACGGTCTGCGTGGCGTGGACCACGCTGCTGTAGCCCCATTCGTGCTGGCCGAACACCAGGTGGCCAAGAGCCACGAACAGAAGGACGTACACGCACACCAGGAGCGCCGCGTGGCACATGCCGAGCAGGGCCGTCTGGATGACCCCTTGGGCCAGGCGCACGTGGTAGAAGAACCTGAGGTAGCGGAGGGTCTTCATGATGGTCAGGAACAGCAGGAGGCCCAACGCCATCTCCGTGTAGCGGTCCGTTTGCGCCACGGCGCGAAAGGGAATGAAGTCCATGGGGTTCGATGTGTAGAACTGGATGACGGCAGTGGCCAGGAAGTACTTCCTCAGGAACAGCACGATCCACACGGCAAAGATGCTCACGTGCGCCAAGTTGGACCAGTGGCTCGCACTGGCCATGTAGAAGAGTCCCTTCTTCCTGAGGACGTAGCCCTCGTATACGACGTAGACAATGAAAACCACGAGAACGGCCACGTACAGGTAGGCCTCCGCCGACCTGCCTATGTTGAGATCAGCCAGGGCGAAGGAGTGCACGGATGTGCTCGCGTTCACCACGCCCAGCTGGGAGACCTCAAACAGGACGGCCGCGCTGCCGAGCAGCCCCGCATCCGGGTTCAGGGTGGTCAGCTCCAGGATCACCGCCCACGTCTTCTCGTCCAGCCAGCGGCTGCTCTGGAGGTCCCTGAGCCTCAGCGTGGAGTTGAAGCGCTGCTGGTCTGGGAAGAAATAGAAAACATACCCCCCCGAGCCGTAGGTGTGCAGAAGCCCGTAAGAGTGGTACACCCACCGCTTCTCCGGAGGCTTATAGGTGAAGCCATTGGCGTTCTTGTCTGCCTGCCGCTTGTCCACTTTCTTCCAGAAGCCGGGGTGGTCGGCGGTGTCCTCCGGGTCGGCCCCGTGTTTGGGATGGCAGCGAATCTCTCCTTCGATGCTGCTGGGCGGAAAGTGCCGGGCAGGCCGACAGGCCCTGGGGCCAGGCGCTGCCCTCACCTGCCTCATCAGCGGGAGGCCGAGGATCTTGGAGGAGCTGTCGGGAAGGAAGGTTGGGCGGGGGTCGTTGTGGAGCAGGGGCAGCAGCACGCTGTCGAGCCAGGGGTAGATGTCGTCCAGCTTGGTGACGGCAGCGAGCTCCGCAGAGAAGCGGCCGCGGATGAACTGGTTGTAGCGGAACCTGTCCGTTTGGCGGAGGAAGGTGGCGAGGCCCAGCAGGAGGGCCAGCAAGAGGCAGTGAGCGAGGAAGCGGCCCAGGAAGAGCAGGGCTCTCCTCTTGATCGCCCTCTTCCTTCGGAAAATGTCCACTTCGTCTGGCGTGAGAGGCTGGTACATCCTGCTGGCCCGGAGGTAGGCGACGTACAGGTGCCGCTGGCGCATCTCCTCGGGGTGCAGCCAGAGGTCCTGCAGCTGGACCTCGGTGTAGCGGTAGCTGCTGATCCAGGGGAGGTTTTTGCAGTACTTGAGCCTGTTGGTTCGAATGCTTGTCAGGAGGATGATTTTCAGCGGCTGCACCAGGAAAACGGACTGGCAGAAGGAACAGAACGAGGCGAAGACCCACTCAATCGACTTGTGATAGCCGTAGGTGAGGCCGTAAAACACAATGAAGAACGAGGACACCCCGGAAGTGGCGAACACCAAGAACCACGCGATCCACTTGCAACACGGAGGCAGCATGGTCCTGGATTTCCGTGGCGACAGCGACAGCGGCGGCGGGGGCGGCGGCGCTGGCGGCGGCCCGGAGGGTGCCTCGGGACTGCCGCCCACATTTCCGGTGTTGGCGTTGGTGTCCGTGTGCAGGGTGGGTTTGGGTGCGCCCTTGCTTTCTTTTTTCTTAGGCGGGAGCTCTGGTTTGGGGGCCGCCAGGGGAAGAGACTCCTGGCGCCCCTTAAGCCTCTGGGACGGCTGGGCTTTTTGGCCGGGGGCCTCCTGGGAGCGCGCCTCCGCGGCCGTCTCCTGGGCGTACCACTTCTCCAGCCGCTCCTCCCAGTGGCCGGCCGCCTTTTCCGCCTCGGGGTGCTCCTGAGGTGCCACCTCGTCCAGGGTGGCCTGCGGTCTCCTCTGGGAGTAGAAGAACAGCCCCCAGATGATAAACTGCACCGGGAGGGTGATCATGACGCTCTGCAAGCCGATGACCATCGACCTGACGTATTGGCTCTCCCGGGACTTGGACTTGTCCTCCGCGTCCAGGTTGAAGAACATGATGTTGCACAGGAGGGTGGACAGCAGCATGGTCAGGCAGCAGGACAGCCGCTGCAGCCGGTTGAAGCCGCGGGCAATGACGCCGGCAAACACGGAGAACCATATGTGATTCTTCCCCAGCTTGTACGTCCCATCGATGAGCAAGAAGTCCATTCTCCGCAGCGGCGCGTTGGGGTCGGTGACGGGAAACGTCCTGTCCAAAGAGGTCTCGATAGAAAGCCACTCGCGACACATGAACAGCCAGATGTGCCTGCTGAACAGGTTCTCCACTTTGATGCGACTTAAATACCAGCTGGGGGCGCGGCCCTCGTTGTTGTGCCACACGCGGATGGACTGGATGTCCCCCAAGTTCCTGCTGGTCGTCAGGAGGAAAGTGTTGACGCTGCCCCGGTAGAGAGTTTTAAACTGGGGGTGACTTAAACAATGCACATCGCTGGTGTTCCGGGTCCCGGTAAGTTGGACAAAGACATTGGCCCTGGTCCCGGACCCACAGCGACTTCCTGTGAAGACAGTGACGAGGTAGCATGTGTTGTCGTAAGGGTCGTTGTCCGGGAGGACGATGGCATAGTCCCGAAGAAACTGGTCCGTTTCGTCTCTGTGCAAGGCCCAGAACGCCAGGATGGAGTACATGAACAGAATGAAAAGGACGACCAAGAGGGTCACGGGGTTGTGGGTGACTTCCTTGATGACCTCTAACCGGAGGTCCACAGGGTTCGGCGGCACGACCATCTTGGCTGTCAGGTGGCGGAAGTGCAGGGGGATGGTGGCCAGCTGCCGCCGGGCCCGCCTGGCCTTCCCGCAGACACAGTGCACCCGGTCCCAGGTGGTCTTCTCCCCAAGGACACAGATGTCTTCTCTCCAGTCGCTCTGGATCCCGTTCATGTCCAGGCAGTGGACCCCGAAGAGAGAAACCCTCACCAGCTTGTTACTGGGCTGCAAGACAAAATGAGGCGCCTTCAAAGCCACGATGATGACGCACTCCGGCGACTGGCCCCGCTGAGCTATGACCTGCAGCAGGGACGGCGGGAGGCAAACGAGGCGGGCCACGCTCACGGCACAGGCCAGGTCCAACAGGTCGCTGTGGTTGGCGATGGGAGGGATATCGTGGGGCACCAGGAAGGTGGCGACCAAGGCGGAGGGGGTGATCTCCCAGCCGGCGTACACCAGCACGGTGAACTGCACGGTCACCTCCGTCACGATGTGAACCAGCAGCTCCCGCACCTCGCGGCTGTCCACTTGGAAGCGGAACGCCCCTGTCGTCTGCCTGGCGGACTCGTTCGGGTTCTCGGGCTCCTGGTCGGGGCCCACCGTGAGGTTGAAGGCCGCGGAGCTCAAGTTCCGCCTGCTGACGTACACGTCCACCACGTCGGGGGTGACCTCCGTTTCGTCCCCGTTGGCCATGGTTCCCGTCAATCGGAATCCAACCACGTCTAGCGGAAGGCTCTCCTGGTAATTCAGCCACGGGAAGGGGTCATCTGCAAACTCGCAGAACACCATGGAGACCGGAGCGTTTGCCGGCACAAGGGGATTGCTGCTCACGTTGAGTGTCGGCTGGAAACAATTTCGACAGTCTCTCTCGCTGCCTAGGACTTTGTTGGAAACAGCCCACTTTTCCACTTTCCCGACGTACGCGATGAAGCTGGGGCTGCTCATCACGGTGGTTCCGTCGTCCGGCACTTTGCCGGCCAGGACCGTCTCTGCCAGAGACTGTATGACACGGAAAGGGTCGACAAAAATCACGTAACGATCGGCCATTTTAAGGACATTGGACACGACCGTTAGTATCCCGGTGCTCATGGTTTCTATTTGTTCCGAGTACAAGTCCTGACCTCTCTGCTGATGCTGCCGGAAGGCTTGGTTTGCCTGCCAAATCCTGTCCGTGGCAGGTTTCCGAGCAACTTGAGGGAATTCAGACGTCCTCTGGGTTACTTTGGCGAGAGCCGTGACCACCTGGTTGATGCCATTCAGAGTGTCCATGGCGAGGAGGAAGGACTGGTTGACCAGGTGTTCCCAGAGCATGGCCTTGTCCTCGTGCAGCGCTGGGTCGGGTTTCATGCTGCTCAGAACGGAGGCCACCACGTACATTAAGTAACCTGCGGGCAGAAACTCCTGCTTTCGGAGCAAAGTAGAGATCTCTGAATTTTGTCCCCTGCTGACATTGACTAGCTGGTTCAGTATGGCCCGGGGGGAGGCCTGGACGGTAGGAGCCTGTACAGTGGCGAACAGAGTCACCTGAGAAAAGGCTCCCAGCGTGTCATACACCTGGACAAAGAGCTTCGTGGCGAACTGACTGCTCTCCAGCCCGACGGGGAGAAAGGAAGGGGGGCTCTGGAAGTCGTTGCCCACATACAGGATGGTCCCCAAGGTGTTGTCTGTTAAAGAACTGATTTTGCCAAAACCATCGTACAAATCGGACACTATCATCTTATATGTCAGAGGGGTGTTCTGATCCTGAAAATTTTTACACTGGACGACAAACTTAGTGGAAAACGAAACCCCGCTCGTTGGATTAATTTGGCAATCTCCGATTTGAGGGGCATAGTTCACAATAAAGGGATGCCTGAGGGTCAGGTTCACTCCACCCCAAGTTTCTAGATTTAAAACAAGCCAAAACTGAGATTCAGAAAAATTACTAAAAGCAAAAGCTTTTATAGACAAAGAATCGCTGTCCCTCCCCGTCGAAGTCTGCCCCGGCCAATCAAATGGGATCTCTTCCCCCGAAGCCCGCTGGAGGGACCACCTGTAGGCGTCCCGGCTGCCGACACAATTGGGACAGTTTAGAGACAAAGAGAACCGATCCGACACAGCCAAATTCCTGCCACAGTTTTCCACACACGAAATGCTTGCTGCGGGTGCTGGCGCTGGGAGCACGTGGACGGTTTTTTCCGTGTAGGCAGTCCTGGGAGCCTTCGTTACCACCATTCGGAAAAAATACACTTTGCCTCCCCTGAGTGTCTCTGGGGAAATTGTCAGGACAGGGTCAGAGGCCCAGGTCAGCTTGAGGTCCACCTGCTGCGGGAGACACACGTCCTTGCTGATCACGTTTATGTGGTCCCCATTGTAGTTGTTTGTGTTGGTGGTGCAGTACCAGGAGAACACGAGTCCCTCCAGCGGGTCGTCCGAATCTGGGTCCGCGGATGTGGATCCGTTCAGAACCAGCGGGTCTGAGAACTTCACTGTCTCGTTGGTGTCCCCGAGAAGAACCGCCTTCAGGAAGTCACCGAGGACAGAGACGTGGACGCTGTCCGAGTCTTTCACGATAGCGAATACTGGCGAGTAAGTGACCAGGGTCAGTGAGAAATTTAACACGTACAACCCCAAAGCTAACGACTTTGGGGGGATGTGCACGAATGTTGGATCCTGTCCTAACTGGAGGTCCGGCACCACCAAAGGTTTCTTCCAGTCCGGCTGGTGGAAGAGAGAGGCCACGGGGTAGACCTTCCAGATAAAATAAGTGCCCTGAGCGTTGGGGCAGTGGTAGTCAGCGGTGGCGTTTAGGTCGATGCTCATCCGCCGGGTGTACACCACCATGGGGTGGCCCGGCGTCCTGTTGATGTGCACCCTGCTGATAGAGCAGTCAACCTGCCTGGAGGCCTGACGGGGCTCTGAGGACTCGCCTGCTTGCGAGCTGCTGGAGTTGACATCTCTAGGACACTTGGTTTGGGCCACGAAGCCCACGAAGGGGTGAAGGCCACTGGAGCGGGGGGACACCTTGGAGGCTGCGGAGGCATCCGTGGGGCCGAGCAGCCCGGGGTGAAGGGTCCGTTCCAGAGGCCGGAGCCACAGCGGGGATTGCGGGTCCATGGGGGTGGGCGCCGCGCGGCGGGCACGAAGTGCGCCGAGCCGGACGCGCACGTGGAGGCAGCGCCAGGGCCACCGCCGCGCGGGGCCGCGGCCGAAGCAGAGGCCGCGGTCACTACCACTCAGGCCGCCGCCGCCGTCGCCGCCGCCGCCGCCGCCGTCGCCGCCGCCGCCGCCGCCGTCGCCGCCGCCGCCGGGGGCCACGCGTGGCCGCAGGCTGAGGCCGCGGAGCAGACGGAGGCCCAGGTTGCGGGGCGCGGAGCGCAGCGGGGCCGCCTCTCCGGGAGCCGGGGGGCGGGGCCGGGCCGGGGACGCGTCGCCAGGGGCAGCGGCGGGCGCTCCGGGAGCCAGAGCCGGGGTGGGGGCGCCGCGGGGGGCGGGGGGCGGAGGGAGGCAGCCGCAGCGCAGGCCCAGGCCCAGGCCCAGGAGCAGGAGGAGCGCCGGCGCAGGCCGCATGGTGCCGCCGACCGTCGGGATCGGAGGCGCAGGCGCGGCCAGGGGTGCGCCAACGGCCGCTGAGCGCGGGCCGCGGGGTCGCGGGGCCGCGAGGTCACGGGGCCGCGGGGTCACGGTGCCGCGGGGTCACGGAGCGGCGGGGTCACAGGTGGGGAGGGGATCAGGGCCTGCTGATGGGATTGATGTGGCCTCTTGTCTTGACCCCCGGAGAGGGCCCCCTGGCACTCCCACTGCCAGGGAAACGGGGCACACCGGGGACCAGGGACTGTGAGCGCCTGCGCGCCCAAGGAGGGCGGACTTTGGCTTTCTCACTTTGCTTTGCTTTTTCAACTTTTTATTTTTTATTGACTTCAGAGAGGAAGGGAGAGAGAAGAGAGAGAGAAAAACAACAGCGATGAGAGAGAATCATGGATCGGCTGCCTCCTGCACGCCCCACACTGGGGATGGAGCCCACAACCAGGGCCTGTGCCTTTGACCTAAATCGAACCCGGACCCTTCGGTCCGCAGGCGGATGCTCTATCCAGCGAGCCACACCAGCCGGGCTTTTTTCTACTTTCTCCATGTGAAACCCCGATTTTAGATCTCTCCTCCTGCGCATAGAAGTGTTTGCTGCTCTGAGTTTCCTTCCGAACTCTGCTCCCGCATCCGCAGGTGTTGTATTTCATCCTTCAGTTAAAAGTGTCTTTACCTCCCCCGTTAGGGTCTGACCCGGGAATTAAAAGGGCGCCGTTCAGTTCCCGCCCATTCGAGTTTCCGTGAGACGCGTTTGGCCGTTGGTCCGGGTTGTGGTCAGAGAGGCTGTCCTGTGGAATGGGTCACTCCTTGGCGTTGGCGGCGGCTTGCTCGCGCGCCTGTGGCGGGGTCTGTCCGGCTCCCTGGCCCGTGTGCACGGACAGTGTGTGTCCTGCTGCCGGGAGCGGGCGTTCCGGACACGCCAGCGCGAGCCCCACGCTGTGAGCACAGTCTTCCCGAACTCTGTCTGGCTCTGCCAGGCGCTGAGGCGGTGCGGGCCCCTCCTCTTGGCACCGGGCACTGGTCCTGCCGGCGCCCTGGCTGTCCGTTTCGGCGTCAGGCCCTCGGAGCTGGGTCCGTTAGGGCGATGCTTCCTGATAAACCGCCCCTCTTATCGGTATGAAATGTCTCTGTTGCTGGTAATGATGCTGTTTGAAGTCCATTTTACCTGATAATAAAGTAGTCACATGACATGTCAATTATGCTTGAATAAAACGGGGTGTGTGGCGGGCTGGAATAAAATAGCCACACGGGCTCTCTTACGTACTGTCTATATGACCCATCTTTTAAAAGTAACTTCGTCTTCAGATTTGAAGTGTTTTTTGGTAGGCAGTATTTAAGAGGGTTGGTTTTGTTTTGTCCGCTCAGTCTATCTCTGCCTTTTCATTGGAATGTTTAAACCATCAACATTTAATGTAATTATGGGAAAGTTTAGATTTCAGCCTGCCCCTTTGTTGTTTTCTGTGTTATGCCCTCTGACTTTTTTCTTTCCTTCCTCATTCACTAACATACATTTCTCGAGTGTCCTAGCCCCTCACGTTCCCACCATCCCAGCATGAGGGTTTCAGTTTCTCCGCGGCCTTGCCAACACCTTATTTACCTTCTTTCTGGTCAACCTGCCGGTGTCAAGTGGCATTTCACTGTGGGTTTGATTTGCATTTCCCTGATGACTAATAAGGATGAGCATTTTTTAAATCTTCACCTGAGGATATGTTTCCATTAATTTTATAGAGAGAGGCAGGGAGAGGGAGAGGGAGAGGGAGAGGTAAAAGGAGGGAGGAGGAGGGAGGGGGAGAGGAAGGAGGAGAAGTGGGAGGGAAGGGGGAGGTGAGTGGTTAGCGTACATTGGGAGTTGGGGTGGGGGGCGGTGGCTAGAGGTTTGGGGCTGAGGGCAGAGCTCAGGCTGCAAGTCCTGGAGGCAGCGGGCGGGGACCCGGATCCTGGAGGGGTGTTGGCCACGCCTGGCTTCCCAGTGGAGCTGCCGCTGCCCCGGGCTCCTCTGCCCCCAGGGACTCAGCAGTCCCTCCGCAAGGGGGCCCCCCCCTCGGTGTCCGGCGGGGAGGGCCCTTGGGTGGTCGTGGGGAGCCGGAGTTGGGGGGGCAAGACGAGCGCACACCGAGGCTCAGGCCGAGTGTGCCCCTGGAGCCCGGCGGGCTCCTCCGGCGCCTTCCGGGCGGCCCTGGGGCGGCGGCGGGCGCTGTCCGGCCTCTGTCCCAGACCGCCCGCGAGCCGGCCCCGCCCACCTCCCCTCCAGGTGCCGCCACCTCCCCTCCAGGCCCAGCCCCCAGCGCCCCGCCCCACCCTCCAGGCCCCGCCCACCCCCCTCCCGACCCCGCCCACCCCTCCAGGTCCCGCCCCGCCCTCCAGGCACCGCCCATCTCCCCTCCAGGCCCAGCGTCCCGCCCCGCCCTCCAGGCGCCGCCCACCTCCCCTCCAGGCCCCGCCCACCTCCCTCCAGGCCCCGCCCCCAGGCCGCCCCGCCCCGCCCGGAAGGCCGCGGGCAGACAGACGGAGCGCACCATGGCCGTGTGTCCGCCGCTGCGGGACTGCCAGGTACGGAGGACGCGGAGGACCGCCCGCGGCTCCCCCGAGGCAGCGGGGCACCAGCCCGCGTGGCCGGCGGCAGCCAGGGTCTCCGGGCACCTGCCGGCGGGGCCGCCCGGGCAGAGGAGGCGGTTCGGAGGGCGCGGGACCGGTGTTCCCCGGAGGGGCCGGCGGAGAGGACATGCCCGCCCCGGGGAGTGGGGGGGGACATCGGGGAGAGGAACACCGGGGCCGGACACCGGGGGAGGGACACCGAGGGGCGGACACCGGGGCCGGACACCGGGGGGCGGACACTGAGGGGCGGACACCGAGGGGCGGACACCGAGGCCAGACACCGGGGGAGGGACATCGAGGGGCGGACACCGAGGTGCGGACACGGGGGCGGGGCGGACACTGAGGGGCGGACCCCGGGGGGCGGACGCCGAACGCCGAGGCCAGACACGGTGGGGGCGGACACCGAGGGGCGGACACCAGGGGGCGGACTCCGAGGCCGGACACGGGGGCGGGGGGGACACCGAGGGGCGGACACCGAGGCCGGACCCGGGGGGGTGGGGGGGACACCGAGGGGCAGACACCGAAGGGCGGACACCGGGGGCCGGACACCGAGGGTGGACACCAAGGGGGGGACACGGGGGGGAACACAGGGGGGCGGGGGGGACACCGAGGGTGCGGACGGCGGTCCCACAGGCGGGAGCGGAGGGGCTATTTGGGGGTTAGCGGCGCCCTCCCCTGCCCGGCGGAGCCCACCCCGCCCGCCGTGCCCTCCAGCCGGACCGCTGCCCTCCGCCTGCTCCCCGGACGCTCCCAAGCACCCGGGTCCGAGGGAGGGCCTCCCGGAGGGCACAGAGCTGAGAGGCGGCGGGCCGCCTGGACAGCTCCCCTGCTCCGCCAGCTGTGAGGTCTGGGAGGCCACGGGTCCCTGCCTGCCCCCGGGGCCACCCTCCTGCCAGGCTGGAGGCCTCCGTGCAGGGGGGGGGGGTGTTCATGTTTGGGGGCCGCGGGGAACAGCCTGACTGCACCCCCTCTTGCTGTGCAGGCGTGGAAGGATGCGGGCCTCCCGCTCTCAACCCCCAGCAACGAGGCCTGCAAGCTGTTCGATGCCACCCTGACCCAGGTGATGCCCCCTGAGCACGGCAACCCCTTCCCTAAAGGTCCAGGGCCGGGTTCTGAAATCGGTGAATGCTTTAAAAAAAAACAAAACAAAAAAACGGTATGTTTGTATTAACTTCAGAGAGAAGGGAGAGGAGAGGGATAGAAACTTAAATGAGAGGGAATCATGGATCGGCTGCCCCCTGCACACCCCCCACTGGGGATCAAGCCGGTAACCCGGGCCTGTGCCCTTGACCGGAATCGAACCCTGGCCTCCTGGTTCACGGGGCGACGCTCAGCCATGGAGCCACGCGGCCGAGCTGGGGACGCCTTTAATGAATTTCCCTATTAAATGTCAGGTGCATCTCACAGCCACGTCCGCTCCTCCTTCCCTGTGCCCGGGTGCTCTGTGCCCCTCGCTTCCACGTGCACCCTGACGGGCCGGGGCCTCCGGGTGGGGCGGGGGGCCGTGAGCACTCCTGGAGCCTCCCGCCTCCGTCGGCTCCTGGTTAACCACAGTGGAGTCCACGGGCCCTTTCCCAGGGCTCCTGGGGAACTCGGGGGGAGCGGGGCTTGGTGGGAACCAGGCATTCTTCATAACGCTTCCTAAAAACTGTTCTTTTTTTAGAGGGAGAGAGAGGGAGAGGGAGAGAGAGGGAGAGAGAGAGAGAAAGACGTCATTCAGTTGCCTCCCGTATGCACCCCAACCAGGGATCGAACCCACAACCTGGGCATGCGCCCTGACCAGGAATCAAACCGGTGACACTTCAATGAATGGGACGACACCCAACCATTGAGCAACACCAGCCAGGGCTTGGCCTGACTTTCCACAATGCTTGTTTACTACAGTTCTTCTTTGTTTAAACTATTTTATTTTTTGTTTATTTTTATTGTATAATCCTCACCCGAGGGTATTTTCCCATTGATCTTTTAGAGAGAGAGGGAGAGAGGGGAAGACAGAGAGAGACATCGATGTGAGAGAAACACATCGACTGGTTGCCTCCTGCACGCGCCCCAACCAGGGCCTGGGCCAGGGAGGAGCCTGCAACCAAGGTGCATGCCCTTGACCAGAATCGAACCGGGACCCTTTGGTCCGCAGGCTGGCGCTCTACCCACTGAGCCACACCAGCCAGGGCTCCGTTCTTCTTAAGAGGCTTGAACGGGGCGGAGAGGACGCCCCGGGTGCCCGCCGCGCCCCTCGAGGCTGAGGCTGAGTGGCGGCAGGTGCGCAGGCGGACTCCCCGCCCCCCAGAACGTGCCTCGTGCGGCGCGTGTTCGGTCTCCCCTCTGAGGTGCACCCAGCCCCGCTCCGCTGGGCCCAGAAAGCCCTGCGTGTCCGGGGGGAGCGGCCAGGCCCCGGCCCTCCCCGCGGGCGGCGCGGTGAGACCCCGCTGTTTCAGTACGTCACCTGGACCAACGACAAGGCGCTTGGTGGCATCGAGGGCTGCCTGGCGAAGCTGAAGGCCGCAGACCCCACCTTCGGTGAGCGACGCTCCCCGGCTGGGCCCTGGGTCTCGCTGGCAGTGCCGGGCGGGCATCGGCCCGGAGGGGGGGAGGTGCCAGTGTTGTGGTTGGAACACCAGCTCTCCCATAGCGACGCCGGGTTCTGGAGAAGGCACCTTTCCCCCTAATTGGGTGCCCATTCTGCCAAAAAGATGCCACTTCTCAGGGGAGAACGAGGTCTGGAGAAAGGTTCAGCTGCCCTGGCTGGGATGCTCAGTGGTTAGAGCGTCGGCCTGGGGACCAAAGGGTTTCGGGTTCCATTCCCAGTCAAGGGCGTACGCCTTGGTTGTGGGTTCAGTCCCCAGCCCCAGTCAGGACACATGCAGTGTGTCTCCCTCACCTCGATGTTCTCCCTCTCTCTCGCTCCCTCTCTCCTCATCCCCCCTTCCTCTCTCCCTTCCGCTATGTCTGAAAATCTATGGGAAAAATATCCTCAGCTGAGAATTAAATTTTATTTTATTCTTTTTTAAAAATATATATTTTATTGATTTTTTACAGAGAGGAAGGGAGAGGGATAGAGAGCCAGAAACATCGATGAGAGAGAAGCATCAATCAGCTGCCTCCTGCACAGCTCCCCACTGGAGATGTGCCCGCAACCAAGGTACATGCCCTTGATCGGAATCGAACCTGGGACCCCCTCAGTCCGCAGGCCGACGCTCTATCCACTGAGCCACACCGGTCAGGGCGAGGATTAAATTTTTAAAAAGGTTCAGCTGGTGATGAGGTGCTCCAGACACTGGCCCTGTGCAGGGCTTTTTGGGGTGTGGCCTGCAGGTGGGGGCGAGGGCCCAGGCTGAGCTCTGCACTCGGGGGGGTGGGGGGGGGCGGGCAGCCACAGCCACCTGCCGCCGCGTGCCCCTCCTGGGCTGCTATGTCACACGGGGGCGGGGACCACGTGACTCACCAGCTGCCCCCTTTCCCCAGCCATGGGCCACGCCATCTCCAACGGCCTCGTGCTGATCGGCACCGGGAGCTCCGTGCGGCTGGACAGGGAGCTGGCGCTCGCGGTGAGGCGCATGGTGGAGCTGGCTGGCACCCAGCCGCTGACGCCACGGGAGCTGCTGCATGTGTCCGCGGTGGAGGCCTTCGCCAAGGGGTGAGGAGCGGAGACCGGGGGCGGCGCCCACCGCCGGCGGCCCCCCCGCCCAGCCGTCTGGTCGGCATCACATGCTGCCCGCTGCCGCCCCACCTGACCGGGGAGGAGGACGGAGGGCCAGGGTCCCGGTAGGCCTTCGGTGAACTGGCTATTGTTTTTTTACAAAACTATAGGCCCACGTCGCGGAAACAAACACAAGAGCGGAGAGAAAACCCTCCCTTCCCCTGCCCTGCCGCCCTTCGAGCCTCTGCCCGTAGCAGCGCTGTGCCCGCTGCCCTGCCGTGGCCAGGCCGAGCGGAGCCCGTGTCGGCGGCCTGGCAGCTCAGGCCGGGGAGACGCCGCAGAGCGGGCGGCGGAGCTGATGGGGAGGTTCTGGCAGCGACAGGAAGGCTGTGGGGTCGGGGGCAGTGCCAGGCTCAGCGGTGGCCGGGCGCCTGCCCCAGGCCTCCTGCAGCGGAGCCCGGTCTCGGCGGAGATTGCCTGGGCCGCTTGCTGAGGCAGCGCTGCCGTTTGGTGTGAGTTCGGGCGCCCAGCTACCCACTGGGGTATCCGATCTCGGAGCACAGCGGACACAGGCACGTGACGTGGGCGGCCGTGCCCTGGCTTTACACAAAGCGCAGGCAGGCAGGGGCCACCTCCCAGCATCCCGTCAGCGCTGGGAAGGACACCAGCCTGCCGCGCGGCTCCGGGCTGAGCGCCGGCCTAGGAGTCGGGAGGTCACAGTTCGATTCCCGGTCAGAGCACAGGCTCGAGTTGTGGGCTCCATCCCCAGAGTGGGGCGTGCAGGGGCCAGTTGATCAGTGATTCTCATCATGGATGTTTCTCTCCCTCCCTCCTTCTGAAATAATCCAAAAAAAAATTTTTTTTAAGGACATCAAACAGAACAATGTCATTGAAAAACCTGCCGTCTGGGTGTGCACATGTGTGTGCACACATGTGTGCATATGACCTGTGCAGGGTGGGTTGCGGGCACTCAAGTGTGTGTGCGTGCATGAGTGTGTGTGTGTGTGTATGTGTAACCAGTGCAGGGTGCACCGTGGAGCTGAAAGGAAGCACACATTTGTCTATGTCTGTGTGCATGTGCATGTGTATGACCAGTGCAGGACGGACCGTGGGGCTGGCAGGAAGTGTGTGTATGTGTGTGTGTGTGTGTGTGTGTGCGTGTGCCTGTGTGACCGGTGCCGGCGGACATGGGGCTGGCAGGAAGCACACGTGTGTGTGTACGTGTGCGTGTGCGTGTGCATGTGCCTGTGTGACCAGTGCCGGCGGACTTGGGCTTGGCAGGAAGCACACGTGTGTGTGTGTGTACGTGTGCGTGTGTGTGTGCCTGTGTGACCAGTGCAGGGAGGACCGTGGGGCTGGCAGGAAGCACACATGCGTGTGTGTATGTGTGCGTGTGTGTGTGCGTGTGCCTGTGTGACCAGTGCCGGCGGACTTGGGCCTGGCAGGAAGCACATGTGTGTGTGTGTACGTGTGCGTGTGTGTGTGCCTGTGTGACCAGTGCAGGGAGGACCGTGGGGCTGGCAGGAAGCACACATGCGTGTGTGTGTGTGTGTGTGTGTGTGCGCGCCTGTGTGACCAGTGCCGGGCAGACCGTGGGGCTGGAAGGAAGTGTGTGTGTGTGTGTGTGTGTGTGCGCACGCGCGTGTGCGTGTGCATGTGTATGACCAGTGCAGGGCGGACCGTGGGGCTGGCAGGAAGCACACGTGTGTGTGTATGTGCATGTGCCTGTGTGACCGGTGCTGGCGGATGTGGGCTGGCAGGAAGCACACGTTTGCGTGCGTGCGTGTGTGCGTGTGCCTGTGTGACCAGTGCAGGGCGCACCGTGGGGCTGGCAGGAAGCACACGTGTGTGTGTGTGTGTGTGTGTGTGTGTGCCGGTGTGACCGGTGCCGGTGGACGTGGGCTGGCAGGGAGCACACGTGTGTGTGTGCGCGTGTGCCTGTGTGACCGGTGCCGGCGGACAGGGAGCTGCCGTGCCCCGCTGAGAGCCCACTCTCCCCCAGGAACTTCCCCCAGGCCTGCGCGCTGTGGGAGCAGGTTCTCCGGGACCACCCCACGGACATGCTGGCCCTCAAGTTCTCCCACGACGCCTACTTCTACCTGGGCTACCAGGAGCAGATGCGGGACTCCGCGGCCCGCGTCGCCCCCTTCTGGACGCCGGGCGTGCCCCTGAGCAGGTGCGTGCCGCTGCGGCCCGCCCCCGCTGAGTCCGGTTTCCTCACGCCGCTGGCCATGGGGAGCGGGTGGCGCGAGGCGGGCCAGTCAGCGCGGGAGCTGGCCGCCAGGGGACGGCAGCCAAGGTCACTGCTGGTCCCGCCCCCAGCCCAGGCGCCGCGCTGTGACCTGCGTGGCCTCCGCCGGGACCCGCGGTGGCGCCTGCTCTCTGGTCACGCCAGCTGCCAGGAGGGCAAAGAGCTCTCCCGGGGACCCGTGAGGGACGCGCTCAGAGCAGTGGGGCCCGCTGAGGCCCACACCCCACAGGGGGCGATTTGATGTTTAAGGGGGCAGCTCGAGAATGAGTTATTTACAGTGACGTTTTTGAATTTCTCACAGTCTGGGGCCTCACGCACAGCATGTGAATATATCGTGACATTTCTGCATTTCCGTTCTCTGCTATGTTCTGAAACGTTACTTGCTATTTTTTCACATCACTTCACATTATTATTATTTTAACAATTTCTTAGTGATTCCTCCTCCGGACTTCACTGTCCTTTCCTCTTTCTTTCTCTCTTCCATGGAGCCGCGCCCTCCGGAAGCCTGTTCGGACCAAGCGGATGCCTCAGGCTTCCCCCCTCGGAGGTGTCACTCCAAGTGACGGAATTCCATGTCCCGGGGGCGGGGGGGGGGCATCAGGACTCAGAGATGCTCGGGGGGGCTCGGCCAAAAAAGGGTGGGGACCGCTGGCTCAGTCATTGGCCAGAGCCGGTTCAGAATGCTGGGCTCTGGGAGGCAGTGCGGACCTGTTGAGGCCCACAGGCCGAGAACCACTGCTGTGGAGCCTACGACCATGGGAAAACGCGGGTATTTACGTGACGATTCATTAACAGGAGCAAAATCACAGCTGTGAAGTAGTAATGACAATGATGTCATGGCTGGGGTCACCGCCACATGAGCTGAGTTACAGGGCTGCTGAGAGCCACTGCCCTCAGGGAGGTTCAGGCCCCCCCAGCTCCTGCGGGGCTTCCTCGCACCCCTGGCTCACAGCCGCGCTCCCCGTCTCTGCCGCGGTCCTCACTCGCTGTCTGCCCGTGCGAGCCTGAGTCTCTGTGCCATCAGGGCACCAGCCGTCGGGGTTGGGCCCACCGGCTCTGGTGTGACCACATCCGCACACCCGGCTCCGCGCTAGGACACGTGTCCGCCTGGTCGCTGGCCGGGCAGGGGGCAGGCGTGCTGAGGGTGAAGGATCCGGCCCCCTTTCTAACAAAGCCTCTGCTCCGTCTTCAGCTACGTGAAGGGCATCTACTCGTTCGGACTGATGGAAACCAACCTGTACGACCAGGCGGAGAAGCTGGCCAAAGAGGTGGGTGGCCCCGCCGAGTGCCGGCCTCAGGGCTGGCGTCTGTGGGGTAGGGGCACAAGGACCCCGCTTGGGGGCGACCCCGGCCAGGTTCCCCACTCGAGGGTTCGGGGAGGAAGGGCTCGTGGGAACAGCAGCTGCCGCCTGTCACCCGCGCCTCCCGGCTCCAGCCCACGGTGCCAAGATGCACACACCCCCTCCATAGGAGGGAGGCGGGCGAGGCCGGCCCCGACCCCTCGCTCCCGTTGCAGCCGCTCTGCCTGCCCCCAGAGCCCCCCTGACCCTGTGGAGCCAGAGCTTGGGAGGCAGGGAGCGTGTGCAATGCCGGTCCTCCCACCTCTGCTGTCACTGCCGCCTCGGGGAGTTGAGCCACAGTTGCAGCAGAGGCTGCTCTGGTGGTCCTGGCGGGGAGCGGGTCCCACGGCCAGCCCTTCCCTTGGCCACGCCCCCTCAGTGAGGAGCTGCTGGGCTTTGCAAGCCCTTCTGCAGGCCCAGATCCTCCTTGCACGCCCCCTCCCCAGGCAGGGCTGGAGCAGAGGCTGGGAGGAGGCAGGGCGAGAGCTGCTGGAGGGAGGCCAAAGCGGACAGGCGACCAGTATGGATAGAGAACAGACAGAGTTCTGAGTAGGGGCGACGGGGATTGAGAAAATGAAAGAGACAGACACAAAGACAGCCGGGAAAGCTGTCAGGGTGGGACAGGGTGGGACAGCTGTCCTCTGATGGAGAGACGGACCCAGAGCCTGGGACTGAGGGAGGTGTCCTTGCCCAGAATGGAGCCCGGGCCCCCGGGTGCGAGTTTATTTTATACAGTAAGATACCAGGAAGTTTCACTAAAGTTTAAGATAAAGAAAACATGTGCATTCTTGTGGCTTCTTCGTAATTGTCACTCCTGGGTGGACCTGATGCCCGGCTGGATTTAGATAATGAACCCCCCCCACCCCCTACCACAGCGCCTAAAGGTCAGACTGACAACACACTTGCCTCTGGCAAGGCATGTTTCCAGGGCCAGGCTCTGCCTGGCACCACTGATTCAGAAGACAGTCAGCTCAGGGGCCTTTCCCAGGCGCTATCTACAGTTGACAGCTGCCCCAGAATCTGTTTGGAGTGAGAGCAGCGTGCTTAAGGGGTCCCTTCTCAGGGCCCTGGCCCCCAGCCTGCCCCACGGTGCCCCTGCCATCTCTGGAGTGTCCTGGCCCTTCAGGTCTTTGCCCAGCTGCCACTGTCCCTCCAGACAGGTTCTTTCTTACAGTGCCCCCATGTGGACGGGACAGGGCCCACGGAGGCCGGGGCCAGAGCATGGGGCCAGGGGCAGGAGCATGGGGGCTGGGACAGGGGCATGGGGGCTGGGACAGGGGCAGGGGGGGACAGGGGCAGGCTAGCTGGGGACAACCTGTCAGCATAGACCCCTGCGGCAGGTGTCAGGCCAGGGGTACCAGGCTTCCTGACTCTGCCTCTGTGAGAGGCCTGGGGTCCAAGGTGGGGCTGGGGGAGACTGAGACCCCGTGTGTGGTCCTGGGCACTTGTCAGCCTCTTGCTCCACGTCTGGCGCTTAGTAGGCGCTCAGCTTGCGTGAAAGCACAAGGCCTCCGAGGTCAGATGGCAGCCTCGACGCCTGCCTTGCTGTCCGTCATCACGAACAGCGGTGACGTCAGTGATGACGTCCGAGCTGCCAGAACCTCGGGCGAGGGGCCACCGCACGGTGTTGGTGGGGAGGGCTGTCTGGACACGTGCAGTGGCCCAGCATTGGCACAGGCCGCGTCCCAGGGTGAGCAGGCCCCAGAGGCTGGAGGGCAGGGAGCAGGTGCGGCGTACGCAGGAGGCTGCGGGCAGGGGGCGCCTGGCGCTGGGGAGACGGCTGTGTGGTCCGGGCCAGCCGCTCAGTCCCATCTGTGAAATGGGTGTGCCGCCCCCTGGGGAGCACGCGGGTGGTCAGCAGGCTGGCCTTCGGGCCGTTACTGTTTGAGGCTGAGCCCAGTCCCAGGCTGGCCCACCCGATGCCCGGCCTCCAGCTCAGGCCGCCTGACTGACCCGTCCCCTCTTTCCCAGGCGCTGTCCGTGACCCCCACGGACGCGTGGTCGGTGCACACCGTGGCCCACATCCACGAGATGAAGGCGGAGGTCAAGGCCGGGCTGGACTTCATGCGGCTCTCGGAAACCCACTGGAAGGTGCGTGTGGGGCGGTCGCCTGCCCGGGCGGCCCGGCCCCCTCCAGCCGGACCAGGCCTCGGGGCACCCACCAGAGGTGGTGGGTGCAGCTTGGCCGTGGGGGACTCGTGTTTGGGTGCCTCTAGCATCGGTCCTGGCCTGAGGCATTTGGGGTAAAGAACGGATGAGAAAGTGCCTGGGAAAGGAGCCTGGCACGGGGGGAACCGTGAGGGTGTGGGCTGCCCTGTGCCCCCACCGGCCCGTGGGCTCCACGTGGCACCCAGGAGTGGGCTCCGAGCGCCGGGTCGTGCGTGGGGCCGGGAGATGGCGAGGGAGGGTCTGCAGGGCTGGCCTGCGGGACGGGCCGCCCTCCTGGCATCCTGGCCGTGGTGGCTCGGAGCTCGCCTCCCTCCTCGGTGTGCGCCTGATGCCCCAGGCTTGCGTCTGGCTCAGCCGGCCACCTGTCCAATGTGGGTGCTGCTCTGCCCCTCTCTGCCGTATGGGCTCCCCAGGGCACCACCAGCAAAGTCAGAGGGTCTGCCCGGCTGGACCGAGCAGCAGGCACTCAGTGACTGAGCAAAGCACAGAAGCACCCGGAACCAGGCAGGCAGCTGCGTCCAGAGTGGCTCCCGGCCTGGGCCGTGCCTGTGGGAAGTGCAGGAGGCCCTGACTCCCGGGATGAGGGTTAGGGTTAGGGTTAGGGTCAGGGTCAGGGTCAGGGTCAGGGTTAGGGCTAGGGCTAGGGCTAAGGTTAGGGTTAGGGTTAGGGTTAGGGTTAGGGTCAGGGCTAGGGTTAGGGTTAGGGTCAGGGTCAGTGTCAGGGCTAGGGCTAGGGCCAGGGTCAGGGTTAGGATTAGGGTTAGGGTCAGGGCTAGGGCCAGGGCCAGGGTCAGGGTTACGATTAGGGTTAGGTTTAGGGTTAGGGCTAGGGCTAGGGCTAGGGTTAAGGTTAGGATTAGGGTTAGGGCTAGGGTTAGGGTTAGGGTTAGGATTAGGGTTAGGATTAGGGTTTGGGTCAGGGCTAGGGTTAGGGTCAGGGTCAGGGTCATTGGTTTTTAGAGCAAGGGGAGGGGTAGGGTTAGGGTTAGGGCTAGGGTTAGGGTCAGGGCTAGTGTTAGGATTAAGGTTAGGGTCAGGGTCAGGGCTAGGGCTAGGGCTTGGGTTAGGGTCAGGGTCAGGGTCAGGGCTAGGGTTAGCGTCAGGGTCAGGGTCATCGGTTTTTAGAGTAAGGGGAGGGGAGGGAAAGAGAGAAAAGCATCGATGTGAGAAAAAGACATTAATTCGTTGCCTTCCGCACATGCCTGACCTGGGCGGAGGGTCGAGCCTGGGACTGAGGGAGGTGCCCTTGCCCAGAATGGAGCCCGGACCCCCGGGTGCGGGCTGGCACTCACCACTGAGCACGCATGGCCAAGCCGGGGACACCGGCACTGAGAGCAGGCCTGTGTTGGGCGGCCGCCGGGCGAGGACTGAGGCGGTCCCAGGGCGCGTGGAGGGTGAGCCGCGCTGAGCGGAGGGCCGTGGGTCGGGGGGTGAAACACTCGCACCCTGACGGCGGGGTTTCCGGGCTGGTGGTCTCCGGGGTGCGACCGCCGTCCGCCCCTGGGGCCGCGGGAACTACAGGGAGCGGCCAGGCCTCTTGGCCGCGGTGCTGCAGCAGGCAGATGGTGACAGTGAGGACTGTGACCTTCCTGAGGGTTCCCGAGCTCTGGGGATGGAGAGCCTGGGGGCCGGGGGGGCCTGCCTGGGGCTCCCACACAGATTCCGCTGCCGGTTCCCGGAGCGCTGGGCCTGGGGGAGCAGCCTGCAGCCCTCCCGGCCAGGGCGGGGCCTGTCCAGGCGGAACGGAGGGGGCGGGTGGAGGGCAAGCCAGGGTGTCCCTCTCATTCCGTGCCCGTCTCTCCGAGACCCTGCTTTTCCTGGCAGGCTCTGTCCCGCGTGTGAACGTGACCCCTGAGCCTTGGTGTTCCCCCTTCGCCTGCTGTGGTGACAGCTCTGAAGCCGGGACCCACACCAGCTCCCTGGGGTGTTGGGTGTTGGTTTCAAACACAGAGTGTGAGGCGGCCCAGGCCGGCGGGGTGGTCTCCCGCGGGCTCTCGCCACCTGCCGGCGGTGTCTGACCCGCCGTGTCTGCCAGCGGCCTCCGGCCGGGCACGGCCCTGCAGCTCTGGGTGCGCTTTCCTCCTCCTCCGGCCCCTGGGACCCCGTGAGAGCCCGGCCCGGGCTTCTCTGTCCTCAGAAGACCTGGTCAGTGTCAGAGCAGGCTCCCGGCGGCCCCCCGCCCCCCCGGCCGGGGCACGTGCGGGCGGGGCACCGGAGGAGGCTGGAGGGGGAGTGGTCAGCTTTGAGCTGGGTGGTGAGGACGTGTGGGAGTTGGCAGTGACGAGGGGGAGGTATGGTCCCAGCCAAGGGCAGCCTGAGCCAAGACACCCGCTGGAAACGGATGGAGGTACCGGTCTCGGTTGTCTGAGATCCCGGGCCGGAGCGGGCGGGCAGCCTGCGTGCTCAGCACAGGCGCAGAGCGGCCAGGCCCTGGGGGCTGTCCGGCCCCCTTCCAGGAGGCAGAGGTGGTGCCCAGCAGCCGGTAGGAGGGGGGCTGGCGTCCAGCTGTCCGCCTGGGGCCACCTCCTGCTGGGCCCTGCCAGGACCCCGAGTGGCCAGCCCCCCGACCCGGCGGCTTGGTCAGGTCCTGCGCGGGGGGACACGGGCCCACGGCTGGTGATTCCCACTCACTTCACTCCGCATACAAGGCGGTGGGCGGGCGTGGGGTGATCCTGCAGCATCCGTCCTGCTCCAGGAGGCTGTGGATGCGGCTGACCCTCCTTCTCTCCCCAGGACGCGGACATGCTGGCCTGTCACAACTACTGGCACTGGGCGCTGTACCTGATTGAGAAGGTGAGGCGACATCCGGGGAGCCTGCTTCTCTGCCCTCTGCCCCTCGCACCCTGGAGCACTGATGTGTGTGCGCGTGTATTTATCATCACCCGAGGATACTTTTCCCTTTGATTTATTATTATTATTTTTAGAGTGGAAGGGAGGAAGGAGGGGGAGAGAGAGACAATGATTGGTTGCCTCCCATTTGCACCCTGACCGGGACTGGGGATCGAGGTACATGCTCTGGTTGGGAATTGAACCCGAGACCCTCCGGTCCACGGCCGATGCCCTCACCACCGAGCCAGAACGGCCGGGCCGTGTGTGCACCTCGGAGGGTGTCCCTGTGCGGGAGAGACTTTCCTGGTGGCTTTTCGGCTCCGGCTCCAGCTCCGGCTCCGGCACCGTCTGCCTTGGAGGCCGGGGGGGGGGGGGTGTTGTGTGCAGCCGGCGGCGACACCTCAGACCAGTGTCCCCATTGCGGGGTGACCTGCTGAGCCCCGGGTGCTCCCGATGCGCTGCCCCAGGGGAGCAGGATGGGGGACACCTGGTCCCCACTACAAGGTGCTTCCCGCAGAGCTGCTCCCTAATGCCTCTGAGGAACGCTGGGAAGATGGGGACCTGCAGGGACACGAAGGACGGGGTGTTTGCAGCCGAGGGTGCAGGGGAGAGAGAGGCGGCGGGAGGGGTGCAGGGGGGGAGAGGCGGCTGGAGGGGTGCAGGGGGGAGAGAGGGCGGGAGGGGTGCAGGGAGGAGAGAGGGCGGGAGGGGTGCAGGGGGGAGAGAGGGCGGGAGGGGTGCGGGGGGGAGAGAGGGCGGGAGGGGTGCGGGGGGGGGAGAGAGGGCGGGAGGGGTGCGGGGGGGAGAGAGGGCGGGAGGGGTGCGGGGGGGAGAGAGGGCGGGAGGGGTGCGGGGGGGGGAGAGAGGGCGGGAGGGGTGCGGGGGGGGAGAGAGGGCGGGAGGGGTGCAGGGGGGAGAGAGGGCGGGAGGGGTGCGGGGGGGGGAGAGAGGGCGGGAGGGGTGGGGGGGGAGAGAGGGCGGGAGGGGTGCGGGGGGGGGAGAGAGGGCGGGAGGGGTGCGGGGGGGAGAGAGGCCGGGAGGGGTGCGGGGGGGGGGGGAGAGAGGCCGGGAGGGGTGCGGGGGGGAGAGAGGCCGGGAGGGGTGCAGGGGGGAGAGAGGGCGGGAGGGGTGCGGGGGGAGAGAGGCCGGGAGGGGTGCGGGGGGAGAGAGGCCGGGAGGGGTGCAGGGGGGAGAGGCGGCGGGAGGGGTGCAGGGGGAGCTTGCGGCAGGGGACCCGCTCAGGTAGGAAGGCTGTGCTCTGACCAGCGTTCCCCTCGCCGGGAGAGGCCTCGCTGCTGGATCAGGGCAGAAGCGGCGGAAGCTCGCATCCCTGGACCCGCACCAGGCGCCACCCTCCGCGGCCGGGGCGGCTCCCGGTCACCGCTCCCATCACACCCTCTGACAGTAACCCGGAACCTCGCTTTTGCAGGGCGAGTACGAGGCCGCGCTGACCATTTACGACGACCACGTAAGTCCACCTGGGCACACGGTTCGGTTTATTGCGGCAATTTGGCTTTTAGTCTCTAGACCTTTGAGCCCATCACGGCTCCCCGGCCGGAAGCAGCCGCTGGAGCTGAGCACACTTATGTAAGACTCAGCAAATCCCCCTCCACCGCCCACGTGGTGACCAGCGGGTGCGGACCGTGGGCCGGCAGTGCCCCCTGGTGGGCATTGGTGGAATTACACTTTGGTTGTCTGAAACGCCAGCCTCTTCTCCGTTGATCTGCGATAGGGAGTTTTTATTGTGGAAAACCCCGCCATGTTAGCCAGCGCCAGGCGTCCAGTCTGTGGCACCAAGTCCGTTCGCATGTGTGCATCTGGCCTGCCATCCTCTCCAGAACTTTCTCGTCTTCCCAACTAACATCTGTGCCCACTGAACACCAACTCCCCCCTCTCTCCCCGCCCCTAGATGTGCTTAAAAACATCTTTCTATTGATGTCAGAGAGGAAGGGAGAGGGAGATGGAGAGGAACCTCAATGATGAGAGAGGATCACAGATCGGCTGCCCCCTGCACGCCCCACACTGGGATGGAGCCCGCCACCTGGGCCTGTGCCCTGACCGGGAATTGAACTGAGACCTCCTGGTTCCTAGGTCAGTGCTCAACCCCTGAGCCACACCAGCTGGGCTAGGCAGGCTTTTCAGAGAAACAGAGCCTGACTCCCAGCTCCAGGCAGCCCGGGACAGGCCTCGGGACGGAGGCCTGAGGTCGGGGAAATACGTGGGGGTCTGGGGCCCAGGGAGGACACTCGGGCGCCTTTTCCCGAAGTGGTCCTCCCAGCTGCAGGGTTTCCTGGAGAGAGCGGAGGGTGTGAGGGCCGTGGGCTGTGACATGGAGCCTTCTAGAACCGCGACAGGCAGACAGTGTCCGGGAGCAGGGTCCACGGAGGGCCCATGGCGGGGTGGGAGGTGGCGGATACGGGCGTGCACATGCTCCCCCAGGCATGGATGGAACCTTGTGGGGGACAGGAAGGGGACGAGGGGACGAGGGGACGAGGGGGGTGGGGACTTGAGTTGCTGAGGCCCCGCCCCCTGCCTTCCAGATCCTCCCCAGCCTGCGGGCCAGCGGCGCCATGCTGGACGTGGTGGACAGCTGCTCCATGCTGTACCGGCTGCAGATGGAAGGTGCCGGCCCCCTGCCCTCGCCCTTGGTGTGCCCCCGCCCCCCTTCCCCGCATGATGAGGGGACAGGCCTCGCCACCTCCTGTCCGCTGAGGTCCTGGGACCTCTGCACGCCCCCTGCTGGTGATCCAGCCTGCAACCAGGGCATCTGGCCCGACCGGGAATCAAACCGTGATCTCGTAGTTCCTGGGTCGGTGCTCAACCACTGAGCCACGCCAGCCGTCTTTGAGAAAGATCCTCTGAGCAGTGGGGGCTGAGCCAGGGAGAGCCGAGGCCAGAGGCTGAGGGATGGGGAGGAGGCGGAGGGACAGCGAGGTGGTGGGGCCTGGGGGTCAGAGGGAGCCGGGCCCTGCAGAGACTGCCTCCTGGCTGTCCCGGTGGCGAGGCTGGGACCCTGAAGCCTGGCCTGGGGGAGGCCTGTGTCCCCCGTCACCAGACCCGGTCAGCACCGTCGGGGGCAGTGCAGGGCGGGCGGCGGGAAGGCACGCTGCTCGCTCCCTCAGGCCCAGTGGAGCCGCGGAGCCAGGTCCAGTTGCCCAGCTGGGAAACAGGCCGAGGGCAGCCCCCCGGGTCCGGAGGTGCCAGGGAGAAGCCGGAGGAGCCGGAGCCCCGGGTCGGAGGCCGGCGTGGCGGTGCTGGCGCGGTCAGAGCAGGGGCTGAGGCCGCGGGACGGGGACACGGAGGTGGAGGTGCGTGCGAGCACCTGGCACGTCCGGGTGCCGGACAGCAGCTCCGTGGGGAGAGTCCGAGGTGGCTTGGGGTTTATTAAAGCGTCTGGAGACGCCCTGAAACCCTCCCATCGTTTTTAAAACTCGCTTCTTAACAGACACACTGATGGGTTTTACAGCTGAATGAAGGAAACGTAAACTGCCCCGCCCCGGCCTCAGCGCGGGGCCGGGCTCTGCCTGCCGCCCTCCCGGGCAGGGCCCGGCCCCACGTGCGGCGCCTCACACCCGCGCCGCTTCCTCCCGTCCTAGGGGTGCCTGTGGGCGGGCGGTGGCAGGAGGTCCTGCCCGTGACCCGGGAGCACAGCTGTGACCACGTCCTGCTGTTCAACGACGCCCACTTCCTGATGGCGGCACTGGGCGCGGGCGACACCGGGACCACGCAGGAGCTGCTGGCCACCCTGCAGGAGGCCAGCGAGTACGCGGCCGGGCCCTGTGCGGGGAGGCTGGGGGCCGGGCCCCCGTGCGGGAGGCTGGGGACCGAGCTGGGCACGGCCGTGGGGATGTATGTGTCCAGGGCTGCGCCCTCCAGGTGGGCAGCCGGGGTGGGGGTGCCAGCAAGGGCGCCGTGCTCTCCCAGGACGTGTTGCTCTCACCCTCGGGTGGGCGGGACAGCCTCCTATCCACGGGAGCCTCCCACAGGGGGCGTGGTGGAGTCCCCGAAGCACTTCTTTTGCACGGGCCTCATTTTCAAACCGGGACAGAGCTGCTGAGGCGGCAGTGGGACAGCGACACGCCCGGTGGGGTTCCCGGCGCTGGTGGGGCCACTGCCCATCACCCTGGAGGCGGAGGGAGGCCGGGAGGCGGGGCCACCACGGGGTCCTGGAGGTGCAGCCAGGCCTGGCCTCACCTGGAGCTCTAGCCTCGGGGAGCAGGGGGGCCGTGCCCCGAGGCCTGGTGGAGGGTGACCTCAGCTTGACCTGGTCACCACCATGGCCGGCCTTGCCCTGTCCGTCCTCCACGCGAGGCGCCCAGCGGTGGGCAGGCCCTGAGGGCACCGTCTCGCGGCAGGTCCCCCGGGGAGAACTGCCAGCACCGGCTGGCCCGCGACGTGGGGCTGCCCCTGTGCCAGGCCCTGGTGGAGGCCGAGCGTGGGCACCCCGACCGCGTCCTGGAGCTGCTGCTGCCCATCCGCTACCGCCTGGTCCAGATCGGGGGCAGCAACGCGCAGGTGAGCCCTCGGGCCGCCCGCCCCCCGCCGCCCGGCCCCGGGGTGCGGCACCCAGTGCGGGGGGGGGGGGGGGGGGGGCCGCCCTCGCCCAGTCCCGGGCGCCTGACCCACGTCCGGGTGACCTTTCAGAGAGACGTCTTCAGCCAGCTGCTCATCCACGCCGCCCTGCAGTGCACCGAGGGCCCCCTCAGGAACGTGGCCCGGTGAGTGCACGCCCGCCCCTGCAGCCGGGGCCTCCCATGGAGTCCACATGCTCAGCAGCCCCACCTCCCTGGGCCTGGGTGGTCCCAGCTTTGAGGTTATACAGACCCAAGGCTCTGCTGTGCTGCTTGGTCTCTCTTGTTGCCATGCCAACCTGTCCGCAGGGCACAGCCTAGCTCATCCCAGCCACGCTGAGCGCTGCCCGGACGGCTGCTTTTGCGGCCCCGGGCCTGGGCGCGTGTGCCCTTTGTCTCCAATACGTCCTCCTTTCCCACCTGATGCGCCTACCCAGCCTCCAGGCCTCAGTGCAGTCTCCCGCCCGGCCCGGCTGGTGCTGGGAGGCCGTCGGGGGCAGACCCAGGCCCGGCTGCCCAGCTGCCCCCTCCCGCAGCCTGGGAAGGGAGCACCTCAGCCCCACTGCCTGGGTCCTGCCACAGGGCTGAGTGACCCCTTGGGCCCCCAGTCCCTTCTAGAAGGTTCCACCACAGCCCCATCTCTGTTTCCGCAGAAGCCTCCTGATGGAGCGGGACGCCTTGAAGCCAGGCTCGCCCCTCACGCAGCGGCTCATGCGCAAGGCAGCGGCCGTCCACCTCCTGCAGTGAGCCGGCGCCCAGCCTGGGAGCCACGCCGGCAGGCCTGAGGGCAGTGAGCCGGCCGCCCAGCCTGGGAGCCACGCCCGCCAGGCCTGAGGGGGTCTGCAGCTTTAAACAGAGCCTGTGACCGGCGTCACAGGAAGAGGGGGTGTGACTGTAGATGTGATTCAGAATCTCCTTCTAATCCTTGTTCACGGCCATGGGCCTTGCAAATCCTGTTGTTCCAGGGGGAGCAGGGGTGGGACGGGGCGGCTCGGCGGGGAGGGGGGAGGGGGATCTTCACAGCCCCAGGGGCACCGCCCCAGGCTGCCCCTGGGGTAACCCTCATTGCCTCTGCAGCTGCCTCCGGGCAGGTTGGGGAGAGGGAACCAGTGGGCAGGGACTTGCCCAGGCCTCAGGAGAGGAGGCCCTGGCCCTCCTGGGGGAGGGACCTCACCTCAGCCTCCCTCCTCCGGCACCGCCCCCTCCATCCCTCCCCCCCCCCCCCCCCCGGGCGGTGGTGACACTGGGAGGGCTTGCCTCTTTGTCCTAAGCTGCGCGTCCTGAAGGCCCCACGTGGTTTCCCCCGTGGGCTGTGACCGTCCGACGGGCACGGTGCTGAGCTGCCTGCTTTCGGGGTGAGGGAGCTCGGGGTGCCCTGTTGAGGCTTCCACAGGCGTCTCGGCGCCTGCTTCCCGCGTTCACCGGCCCACGGCCTGAGCCAGGCTTCGGTCCAGTGTGCGGACAGAGCCGCCCCTGGGGGAGCAGGACCGAGAGGGGCGGGAGATGGTGCAGCCCCCCTTGGAGCTCTCTCACTGGGCCTGGGGCAGGGCCAGGCCGGGACTTCCCTGTCCCTTCAGCCAGCACCTTCTCCTCTTCCTAAAGCTGGTGTGGCCCGGCAGCCATGGCTCAGGGGTCGAGTGTGGACCTAGGAACCAGTTCAAGGTCCCATTCCCAGTCAGGGGCACACGCCCGGGTTGAGGGCTTGTTCCCAGTAGGGGGCTCATGCAGGAGGCAGCCGATCCACGATTCTTTCTAATCATTGATGTTTCTACAGCTTGATCCATGATTCTCTCTAATCATTGATGTTTCTACAGCTCTCTCCGTCTCCCTTCCTCTCTGAAGTCAATAAAATCATATTAAAATAATAATAAAGCCAGCGTGACCCTGGTTGGGGTTTCCTACTCCAAAGGCTCTTGGGTGTGGCTGGGATCTGCCTGGCTCCATCTCCCTCCTCCCGGTAAGCTGGACCCTGAGAGAGCCCTCGCCCGGCTCCGGCCTGGCCCCGCGCGGGGAGGCTGAGGCTGGAGGACGGCTGCTGAGGCCCACCTGCCCTGTAGGAGCTGTCTCTTGAGCCCGACTTGGGATGAGAAGGGAAGGGGACCACGGCCACACGCAGTGGTGGGTGTGGATGGTGGGGAACCAGGGCCCAGGGGATCCGGGAGGCCTCTTAGTGGAAGCCCGGCCACAGGATGGCTTCCCTGGACAGATCTCACCTGCCCTGCCCACATCGATGGCTCATCGTCACCCCTGAAAACACCGTCTCCCTCCAGTACCACCTTTCCCGGAGCCGAGCCAGTGGGTCACCGGCTCCTTCCCCCTGCCCGCTCCTTCCCCCTGCCCGCTCCGCCATCCTTCAGTCCGTTCATCAGAGCCAGGCTTCCAGACCCTGCCCTGGGCAGCGCCCCAAGGATCACGTGTGGTCATCTGAGCTGCCTGGCCTGCAGTCAGCCCCTCTCAGGTCAGGGGTGTCCTGCTGGCTCCAACACGTGCACTCCCCATGCAGACCCGTCACCTGGCCACCGGAGCCTGCCTGGAGGCGCACCCTCCTCCCTGCACCCCCCCCCCCCCCCAACTAATCCAGCTGTGGGGGACGAGAGCCCAGGCAGGCTCCGGCCACAGCCTCTGGCCCTGCCAGGCTCCGGTCACTGTCCCAGGCCGGAGAGCTGCTCCTGCTCCAGGGCCACAGACCAGCGTGTCCAGTATCGAGTGCCCGGTCCTCCCACTGGACTAGGAGCCACGTGCAGCTTTACAAAGCCGGTGGAGAGCCCACCTCGCCTAGTCCTTTTTTTTTTATTTTAATTTTTTTATGAGTTTATTTGAGCCAAATTGATGACTGGCTGGGAATCATGATTTTTTAAAAAAATATATTTTATTGATTTTTTTACAGAGAGGAAAGGAGAGGGATAGAGAGTTAGAAACATCAATGAGAGAGAATCATTGATCAGCTGCCTCTTGCACACCTCCTACTGGGGATGTGCCCGCAACCAAGGGACATACCCCTGACCGGAATCGAACCCAGGACCTTTCAGCCCACAGGCTGACACTCTTTCCACCGAGCCAAACCGGTTTTGGCCTCGGCTAGTCTTTACAGCACTCCGTGGGAGGAAGTTAATTGCCTCCATTTACAGCTGAAGAGCGGGGATCCGAACCCACATCCGTGGCCCGAGGCTAAGCCTGCGGGACGGAGCGGGGCTCGGAGCAAACCCGCCGGGTCTGCACTGACCTCTGGCCTGCGCAGCTCGGCCGCGCGCCTGAGGCAGTGCGCACGCGCGCCGCCTCCCAGGCGCGCGGACTACAATCCCCAGGATGCACCGGGCACGGCGACCTCGGAGCCCTTTTCAAACCGGCCAATGGCTGCGCGCGGCGCGCCCACCGCGCCGCGTTTAAATCCGGGGCGGAGGCGTGTGTGTCGGGCGTCGCGGCGGACACAGGTGGGGGTCCGGGGGGTCCGGGGTCCGGGGCCCGGGCTGGGGCGCGGCAGGGGGCGGGGGTGAGGTCCCCGCGCGTGCTTGTCGGGACTGTGGCCACCGCAGCCCGCAGCCCTGCCGGCCGGCTCCGGCTCCGGCTCCGTTGCCGCCGAGTGTCCAGGCTCGGACCCGCGCCTCCCGCGCAGCCGCCGGCGTGGAGGTGCGCGGCCTGGGGGCGGGGGCGTCCGGAGGGTCTGGAGCTGCGGCCCAGGCGGCCTGTGGGCCCGCGTCCCTGTCCGCGCTGCCAGGCGCACGCCGCTGGGCGTCCCCGAGCGGAGGACCCGGGCCTGGGCCGGGCCCTGCTCACTTACCTGTCCCCCTCCTTCCCCCTCCTCCCTCCTCCTCCTCCTCTCCTGCCCCCTCCTCCTCCCTGCTCCCCTGACCCCCTCCCTGCTCCCCTGCCCCCTCCTCCCTGCTCACTTACCTGTCCCCCTCCTTCCCCCCTCCTCCCTCCTCCTCCTCCCTGCTCCCCTGCCCCCTCCTCCCTGCTCCCCTGCCCCCTCCTCCCTGCTCACTTACCTGTCCCCCTCCTTCCCCCCTCCTCCCTCCTCCTCCTCCTCCCTGCTCCCCTGACCCCCTCCTCCCTGCTCACTTACCTGTCCCCCTCCTTCCCCCCTCCTCCCTCCTCCTCCTCCTCCTCCTCCTCCTCCTCCTCCCTGCTCCTCTGACCCCCTCCTCCCTGCTCACTTACCTGTCCCCCTCCTTCCCCCCTCCTCCCTCCTCCTCCTCCTCCTCCTCCTCCTCCCTCCTCCTCCTCCCTGCTCACCTGCCCCCTCCTCCCTGCTCCCCTGCCCCCTCCTCCCTGCTCACTTACCTGTCCCCCTCCTTCCCCCCTCCTCCCTCTTCCTCCTCCTCCTCCTCCCTGCTCCCCTGACCCCCTCCCTGCTCCCCTGCCCTCCTCCTCCCTGCTCACTTACCTGTCCCCCTCCTTCCCCCCTCCTCCCTCCTCCTCCTCCTCTCCTGCCCCCTCCTCCTCCCTGCTCCCCTGACCCCCTCCCTGCTCCCCTGCCCCCCTCCTCCCTGCTCACTTACCTGTCCCCCTCCTTCCCCCCTCCCTCCTCCTCCTCCTTCCTCTCCTGCCCCCTCCTCCCTGCTCACCTGCCCCCTCCTCCCTGCTCCCCTGCCCCCCTCCTCCCTGCTCACTTACCTGTCCCCCTCCTTCCCCCCTCCTCCCTCCTCCTCCTCCTCTCCTGCCCTCCTCCCTGTTCTCCTGCCCCCTCCTCCCTGCTCACCTGCCCCCTCCTCCCTGCTCTCCTGCCCCCTCCTCCCTGCTCACCTGCCCCCCTCCCTCCTCACCTGCCCCCCTCCCTCCTCACCTGCCCCCCTCCTCCCCTGCCCCCTCCTCCCTGCTCTCCTGCCCCTTCCTCCCTCCTCCCCTGCCCCCCTCCTCCCTGCTCACCTGCCCCCCTCCTCACCTACCCCCCCCTCCTCCCTCCTCACCTGCCCCCCTCCTCACCTGCCCCCTCCTCCCTGCTCCCCTGCCCCCTCCTCCTTGCAGACACAGCCTTGCTGGTAGCTCCGGGCATGGAAGGAGGTGGAGGCGGAGGCGGCAGCGGCGGGCCCCCAGCCGGCCAGGCAGGAGGAGCGGAGACTGAGGCTCCCAGGAAGGAGGGTACGTTCTGGTCCCTGCGGTGCCCTGGGCCCTACAGCACCCCAGTCCCTACAGCACCCCAGTCCCTACAGCGCCCTAGTCCCTACAGCACCCCAGTCCCTACAGCACCCCAGTCCCTACAGCACCCTAGTCCCTACAGCACCTTGTGTCCCTACAGCACCCTAGTCCCTACAGCACCCCAGTCCCTACAGCACCCCAGTCCCTACAGCACCCTAGTCCCTACAGCGCGTGGCCGGCGGAGGTGGGGGGGAGGGGGCGGGCTCAGTGGGAGACGGTGAAGGATCCTCCCTTGAGAACTGAATATTCATGAGGTGCTCACTGTCATCCAGGAGTTGGCCTCTGTCCACCTTATTATTTTTTTTTGAAATCACCCGAGGACCAGCACGTGTTACTGGTCTCCGTGTTCCCTCGTGGGGCTGCACTGCCACTGCCTCCCTGCGTGGGGGCTGTGGTCCTGCTGCCAGAGCTGCTGCAGCAGACACGGGGGTGGGCGCCGGGGCCCCGGGGAGACACTGCGGGAGGGCGGGCGCCTGCGTTTTGGGGGTGCTGCCGTAGCCCGTGTGACAGACACCCCCTTTCCCGCAGCCAGCCTGGCGGGGGGGTGGGATTTCACACTGTTTATTTTGCATTACTTTTAGTTTTTGGAGGGAGGCTGAACTGGCATAGGTCTAAGAACACATTTTATTCCCATACGCTTTCTTTTTTATTTCCTATTTCTTTATTTTTATTTTATTCCCATACGCTTTCCCTGCCCATGCTCTCTGTCCTTCTTGCCGTCCGTTGTGGATTGCCTTCTTACCGGAGAGCAGGCACCGCTCAGGAGCCGGCCCTTCGTGACGGGAGTGCAGATACGCTTGTCCCCGTGTGCGGTCTCTTGGCATGGCCCGTGGTGGCGTGTGCAGCGGAGGTGTGAGACCTTTTACATATGGATTGGCAGCCTCTCCTGTGTGGCTTCCAGCTGGTGCCACAGCCTGCCACACTTCATTTTTTATTTATACCTTTGACTTATTTGAAATTTGTCCTGATGTGGTGTGAAGTGTGGATCAAATGTCGCATATATTTCCCCCACAACTCAGTACCCTTTACTGAACAATTCATTTTCTCCTTTTACTTGGCTATCAGGCCTGGTGCGTGAAATTTGTGCACAGGAGAGTGTGTCCCTCAGTCCACCTGCACTTTCTCCAGTCTGGGACCTCTCCAGGGATGCCCGACGGACCTGCTGGGATTGGGCCTAAACGGGCAGTCAGGCATCCCTCTCACAATCCAGGACGGCTGGCTCCCAACTGCTCTCCTGCCTGATCACCCCCTAACCACTACCCTATCTGCCCGATCAATGCCTACCTGCTCCCCTGCCAGCCTGATTACCCCTAACTGCCCTCCCTTGCCAGCCTGGTCACCCACAGTTGCCCTCCCCTGCAGGCCTGGTTGCCTCTAACTACCCTCCCCTGCTGGCCATCTTGTGGCAACCATGTTTGACCATGCAGTGGCAGCCAGCCATCTTGTGTATTGAAGTGATGGCCAATTTGCATATTATCTCTTACATAGGATTATATAGGATGTTACTTTTATGACATGCTAAATGTCTTTTATATTCATCTTGTCTACTTCTTGCTAGGTTTCCTCATAGGTATTTTGTATTTCTTGCTGATGCTGTAAATGGGGTCTTTTCTCCCATATATTTTCTTCTAAATATGAAAGCCATTGACTGCTGTGTGGCGCAGTTGGTTGCAGTATCGTTCCCATACACCAACAAGGTCGTGTGTTCGATTCCCAGTCAGGGCACATGCCCAGGCTTCGGGTTTGATCCCCAGTGAGAGCACTTATGGGAGGCAACCAATAGATGTTTCTCACATCAGTAAAACATCCTCGGGTGACCATTGAAGAAAAAAATGCTAAATAACAAAATACTACTAAACTGTTTTCTAGAAAATTATCCATTTCAATCAAATCCTTGTTTATGTGCATGGAGTTGAACAAACTAGCCTATGAGTCTTTTAATATCCTCTCTCTGGTTTTGTTTCTTTGTGCGTTTATGTTTTTACCTTTCCCTTGATTGGGTGATTAGGACTAATTAAGTGGACTAATTTGAGACTAATTAGGGTATTAGTATATTTTAGATTAGAGGCCCAGGACACAGATTCGTGCAGAGGTGGGGTCCCTCAGCCTGGCCTGTGCCCTCTTGCAATACAGGACCCTGTCGGACTGTCCTGTGGGGATCGGGCCGAGTCCGGCAGTCTGACATCCCCCTGAGGGATGTAGCAGTGCCGAAGCAGCAGGCGACCGGGGGAGCACTCGCCGGGCCTGCCGCTGCCGCTACCGCTGCCGCTCACCCCATCTGTCCTGCTGCACCACCGCTGTCTCTTGGTAACACTGCCTCCGCCGAGGCTCCGACCGCGGCTGCACTCACCAGCCATGACCTGCTTCCGGCTGAGTGGCCATCCTGCGGTGGGAGCACACTGACCACGGCGGGCAGCTCCTGTGTTGAGCATCTGCCCCTGGTGGTCAGTGCATGTCACAGCGGCCGGTAGTTGGGAGAGATTTTACGGTTTTGCTGAGCATGCTGCATTGTTTATCAGGGACGAGGAGGGCAGACGCTGTGAAGTCCTGTGTGGATCTGAGTGAAGCACCAGTGCAGTGCACTTGGTGAGGGTCTAGCTGTGTGTTCAGGCCCTCGCGGGACATGGGGACGCAGGCGAGTTGGACATTAGTCTCCGAGGAGCTCGCAGTCTCGCTGGGGCCGCAGGAAGGAGGGTCTGGAGACATTTACAGAACGGGAGGCGGAGCCCCGGGGAGGGGCGGAGGAGCACGAGGTCCCCCAGCAGAGCGACCGGCCCAGAGCCTGTGCTGGGGGAGTCGGGCCCTCAGACGCACCGGCTCTGGAGGCGCCGGGGGCAGCGTGAGCTGGGGGTTCGGAGGGGCCCCGGGAAGGGGGGGCGGCAGCAGATCCGTCCACTCGGAGTCCCTGAGCGCTTGAGCCACGCGGAACGGGTCTCCGAGGGGAACGGCCGCCGGGGTTGGGAGCGGGCTTTCCTGGAAGATGCCCTGTGGCTGAGGCTGCCTGGCGAGCCAGGAGGCCGCGGGGGTGGCGTGCGGTCAGGCCAGGCCGAAACCCAGGCCGGGGCCTTCGGCAACACGGAAGAGCTGTTATGCTTTAAAAAGAAAATGGAAAAAAAAAAAAAAATACGGTAACCTAGAGCCCCTGGGAACGTGACTGTTAAAACGTGGTGGTCAGGGACGCCCTGGGGGTTCCGTCCCCGTGCGGGCGGCGGGAGGGACGGTGTTTCCGGTTCGCCAGCCCTCCCTGAAATAACGGTCACTCCCCCAGGCGTCCTCCTGGCCGACGAGACGTTCGACTTCGACCTCTCGCTGTCCTCTTTGAGGTGAGGGCGGGTCCTCCCCCGCCGGGGCCCCTCCCACGCAAACGGCCCCTCACGGTCCTCTCCCCGGGCAGCGCCAGCGAGGACGACGAGGTGTTCTTCGGGCCCGTCGGGCACAAGGAGCGGTGCGTCGCTGCCAGCCTGGGGCCCGGGGGCCCGGGCCCGAGCCCCCCGCGGCCGCCCGCGCCCGAGGGCCTCGGCTGGAGCCCGCTCGCCGGGGAGGCGTTCGTGGAGGTGTACAAGGAGGCGCGCCTGCTGGCCCTGCAGATCGAGAGCAGCGGCCGCAGCGCGCCCGGCCCGGGGCCCGAGGCGGGGGGCCGGGGCGTGGAGCGCTTCATCCAGGAGTCCCGGCTGAAGGTGCTCCTGTTCGAGAAGGAGAACGAGGCCAGGAAGAGCCCCCGCTCGCTGAAGAGGGAGACCTACTGCCTGTCGGACAGCCCCGCGGGGGGCCCCGCCCTGACCCCGGGCCCGCCGCCCCCCCCTCGGCCGGCTCTGCCCGCGGAGCCCAGCCCCGCGCCCCCTCCGCGCCCCACCGGCCCTCAGAAAAAGGGCCTCAGCAGGCTGCCGCCGCCCCGCGCCGCCTCTGTCCGGGGAAGGGGCCTGCACGCCGCGGAGAAGGTGGGCACCGCCGTGGGCACCGCCACACACTGGTCTGGCCTGTTCTCCCAGCGGGTGCGGCCCCGGGGGCGGGGGGCAGGGGAGGAGCAGTGCCTGCAGGGACAGGGCTTGGGTGCACGTGGGCCGGCGCCTGGCTAACTCCTCCGAAAGCCTGGTTGGCGCCTTTTCTTTAACTTTGTTACAACACTGGACGTCCACCCACTGGGGCATTCGTTTACATTAACAAGCAACTTCCAGAAACTCCCCCAGGGGATGGCCCCGCGCCCTCCTCACTGTGACTCCGTTCCGATGGTTCCTCGGGGGAGTTAGCAGTGGGCTGTCAGGGGGAGGCAGTGGACGGGTGCCTGTGGGTGCGGAACTGGCAGCTTGAGGGGCAGCAGGGAAGGTGGGGTCAGATGACACTGCTTCCAGGTCCAGCCTGCGGGGGCTGTGGGCCGGGGGCGGGGTTCTCTCTGAGGAGTGGCCTGCGCCTGGCCCTCTGCTCCCGCCCTGGCCAGCCCAGAGCACGGACCCTGTGGTGAGCGGTTCAGGTGAGCAGGCGCCTCGCCAGGGCCTAGACACACACACCTTCTGCACCTCACGACCCCCTGTCCACCCCGGGGGGTGGCTGCAGCGCCCGCAGGGCCTGGACCAGGGCGGAGGGGTGCCTGTGGCGGTGCTGAGCGAAGCCTGGGTGTGCACTTCGTTAACCACCTGCTCTCTCACCCCGTGACCTTTCAGCCTCCGAAAGAGAAACCAGCCAGTCCTTCCAGGGTGACAGTCCCAGGCGAGCAGGAACCCCACGGGGACAAGCCCCCTGACAAGGCCAGGGCGGCCCGGGACACCCCCACCCTGCCAGCCAGCGGCAGCCACTTGGTCCAGGGCAAGCGATCGCTCCCTGCTCCCAGCAAGGTGGGTGGCAGGGCTGTGGTGGCGGGGCCTGAGCGGGAGGAGTGAGGGCTGCGGGGGAGCGAGGGCAGTGTGGTGTGTGGGGGCCTGTCTCTGAATTACAATCAGGGGAGGGGGGTGAAGGGGGCGCCCGGGAGGCAGTGGTGAAATGCAGAGAGCAGCCGGCGTGCCGAGGGGCCTGGCCTCTGCCCCCGGGGCTGTGCGGGCAGGAGGTCGCCTCCCGGCACCGAGGGCCTGACCTGGGGCTGCCCCCGCGGTCCTCAGCGCCTGGCGGACGGCGGGGGCGTCCGTGCCTGCGGCCGGGCTCCCGCAGGCCTGGCCTCGCCGACGCACTCTGTCCGCTGCTCAGCGCGGTGGCCATGCGCTGTGTGTGCTCGTCCCCGCCCCCCGCTGGGCGCGGCATTTGACCTCTGGGCCCGGGGGGCCCCATGTCCACGTCCCCGCCCCTCCCCACGGCGGCTGAGGCCAGACCCGCGTGCTGCTCGGCCTCGCTCTGCTCTAATTGCAGATGATAATTATTCAGTGGTTAAAGTTTAATTAAATTAAATTTTAAACAAGAGCGGCAGCTAAGGAGGTGGTTGATGGCTTTGACGTCTCGTTCCAGCTGGGGCTGAAGAAGACGCAGCTGAGGCCGCCGGGCTGCACCGTGGCCCCCGCACGCCGGCCCTGCGCCCGGGGGTCCGTGTCCGGCCTGAGCGCAGGCCCCTGCGCCTCTCCGGCCGCCGGCAGAGGTAAGGCGGCCACGGCTGGCCTGCGAGGCCTCGGGTGCTGGCTCCTCTCTGAGACAGGTCTTCAGACCCGCTCAGGCTCAGCAGAAGGTTCTGGAAGGCTTGTGGTCTGAGGCAGGAGACGGTCAGGGTCCCTGCCCTCGGGGTGCTTCCCCTCCCCAGGGGGAGGCTCCCGCAGAGGGCATTGCAGTTCGGGGTGCAGCCGGCCCAAAGGGGTGCGTGCCGGTGCCTGAGCAGCGGGGAGGTCAGGGTGAGGGAATTAGAACGGCCCTCCCGCCCCTGGAGGAAGGTGGAGCCGGGCTGCCCCCTGGTGGTGCGGGCGGGCACCTGGAGGCGGAGGAAAGGCTGGTCTGTGGGGGCCGGCGCCCCTCGGGTCTGTGCTGTGCGGGCTGCCGCTCGCCGGCGCGGTGGACTGTGCAGAGCGTGGGCGTGGAGCTCTGATTGGAGCTGACCGGGTGGGGATTGCGGGAACCTGTTGTTTCCCTGTCTTGAGGGCTGAGGGGGCATGCCCCCCCCTGCTGTTCTGTGGGCGTCAGCATGGGAGGCACGTGGCTCGGGGCAGCTCTGGGACACGGTTAGGGCGGGCGGGCGTCAGCACCCCGGCTGTTGATGGTGTCTGCACCCCTCGCTCTGGGGAAGGCGGGCGACTGCCTGGGGCTCTGTCCACAGCAGAACCCTGCGGCCCGACTCAGACCCCGGAGTGTGGGGCGGCCGGGGGCGGGACCCCGGAGTGTGGGGCGGCTGGAGGCGGACCCCGGAGTGTGGGGGCGGCCGGGGGCGGGACCCCGGAGTGTGGGGGTGGCTGGAGGCGGACCCCGGAGTGTGGGGGCGGCTGGAGGCGGACCCCGGAGTGTGGGGGCGGCCGGGGGCGGGACCCGGAGTGTGGGGGCGGCCGGGGGCGGGACCCGGAGTGTGGGGCGGCCGGGGGCGGGACCCCGGAGTGTGGGGGCAGGAACGTGGTATAATGTGGGCTATGGCACTAATCTTGCTCTTAAAGGGTTTTTTGTTTGTCTTTTGCTAGTCCTCACCCAGGATAGTTTTCCCAGTGACCTTTAGACAGAGTGGGAAGGAGAGGGAGAGCGAGGGAGGAGAGGGACACCCGGCTGGGTGTGCTCCGGCCAGGGGCCAGGGGCCAGGGAGTGGACTTGCAGCCCAGGCACACGCCTCTGACTGGGAGCGGGCCTGGGACCCCGCGCTCTGGCGTGCACGCCTGGCCAGGGCTCAGCGCCCTTTAGGCCTGAGCCGAGCAGCCGAAGCCGTGGGCCCAGGGCAGTGCGGCTCGGCCCCGAGGGGTGAGGCGGAGGGCGGGCTGGAAGTGAGCCTCCCGCGTGCCCGGGAGGGAGAGCGAACACGGCCGGCGCCCAGGAGCTGCCCGACCCCGTCCTCCGCCACGGACAGTGCAGAGAGAGGGTCCGAGGCCGACCCGGGGAGGGCGAGAGGCCGGAGATCAGGGCCCAGGAAGCTTCGGAAGAGAAGCCGGGACGGTCACGGCTGGGCAGCCAGGGCACCGGTGTGGGGTCGGGAGGGGCCGCCGGGGCGGACGGGCCGAGCCTCACCGGCCAGCGCGGCAGCCACGCCCAGCGCGGCTCTGGGGCGCCCGGAGCCCGGGGGTTCGCTCGGAGCTGCTGAAGGACGCGCGGTCCATCAGTTTGCTGAGGCGCAGGTGCGGGGGGACACACGGGACCCAGTGCGACGCCGCCCGCGAGGCGGCCGGCCGAGGGTGGGTCTGGCTCACGGGGAGAGGGGCGTTTCCTGACCACAAACCGAAGGGAGCCTTTGGGCCCAGCACTCAGCCCCGCTCGTCCCCACGAGGAGGTAGCTCCCCTCCCAGCCCCCCCCCCCCCCCGGCGGGCGGCACTGGCCGCGAGGTGACCCTGGACACCGATGGGGCGCAGTGACCTCGAGCCCACAGCAAGGCCACCGGGCCGCTGCCTCCTGGCGAAAGGGATCATGGGAATGTTTACCGTCAGGCACCGAGGCCGCTGCTTCAAGGATGTGGTTGGGGTGTCCTGACCCCTCGGAGGGATGAGGCTGGGAGGTGGCCCTGGGCGGCACGCGCCAGCTGACCTTTCCTGGCGGACACCTCTGAGGGGGGTGCCACCTGGGCACACGCCCACTTCCCGTGAAGCAGCCCGTGTCACTGCCAGTCAGAATGTCTGCCCGGGCTGCCCGGCTGGGGGCTGTTGGCAGCCGAGTGTCCGCGCCCTGGTCTCTGCTGCTGGGGCCCCAGCACTCATCCTGCGGGGGCGGGGGGGAGATGGACACGGGGGGGGGGGTGGACGCAGCGGGGGCTCGGCCCCTCGGCGTCGGCGGGAGCCCCCTCGGCAGCTGGGCTGCCAGGTTGGGGAGGCGCAGTTTCAGCGCCCTCACTCAGACCGGTCTCCAGGTGAATCGCCAGCCCGGAAGCGGGGCGGTGAGCCTGGAAAGCAGGAGACGGAGCAGGGAAGGCTTCTGGGGGGGGCCACTAGTGTTGGGCAGGCAGGTCTGCGTGGTTACTTTTAAAGGTGACCGGGAAAAGCAAAGCAGGAACGGGGGTGGCAGTGCCAAGCTCGGGTCCTGTGTAAGGGCCGGGTCCCGGTGTGAGCGGGGCCCGGGTGTGAGCGGGCCCTGGTGGGATTGTGCCCTGGAGTGAGGGGGCCGGGTGTGGGCGGGGGCCGGGTGTGGGCGGGGGCCGGGTGTGGGCGGGGCCCGGGTGTGGGCGGGGCCCGGGTGTGGGCGGGGCCCGGGTGTGGGCGGGCCCGGGTGTGAGGGGGCCCGGGTGTGAGCGGGCCCGGGTGTGAGCGGGGGCCCGAGTGTGAGCGGGGCCCGGGTGTGAGGGCCCCGGGTGGGAGCGGGGCCCGGGTGGGAGCGGGGGCCCGGGTGGGAGCGGGGGCCCGGGTGTGAGCGGGGCCCGGGTGTGAGGGCCCCGGGTGGGAGCGGGGCCCGGGTGGGAGCGGGGGCCCGGGTGGGAGCGGGGCCCTGGTGGGAGGGGGTCCCTGGTGGGACGGTGTCCTCATTCCGTAAAATGCCCGGCAGAACTCCCAGCTGCGTCCTCACTGTCGTTCCCCTGGGCCGGGCCTTTGCTGACACAGCCATCGGGTGGCGTGGGGCCCGGTGAGCCCTGGCTGAGCCTGGTGGCTGTGGAATGGCCCTCAGCAGCCTGGGCCGCCCTCCCCCATGTCTCCTCGTTCGGAAATGGCCCTGACGGTCAGTCCTCACTGGGAAGCGTCCAGGTGGATGTGTGAGGACAGCGTGTGTCCGTGTGTGAGCTGAGTGACTCCCCGAGTTAAACCAGAGGAGCTGAGCGACCCCATCTGTGTCTTCCAGCCAGACCCAGCATCCCCGCAGACCGCGCCCGGCCTCCACCCCCCGGCCAGCCGGGCCGCGCGGGAGCCCCCGCCGTCCGGGCCGCCCTGCCGGGCGCTGCCGCCGGGTGCGGGCAGAGCCGCCTCCCTGGGCCCGCTGCCCCCGCCGCCCGGGCGCCCCCCCAGCCGCAGACGCCGGAGCAGGGCGGCGGGGGGCCGAGCCCCCGGCCCAGTCTGTCCAGCTCGCAGCTGCCCGGCCCCGGGAGCGCCCGGCGGGACGCCCTCCTGATGTCCCAGACGAAGGCCCCGCCCACCCCGGGGAGCCAGTTCAAAGTCCCCGCGTTCCCCACTGGTGAGTGACGCCTCTCCCAGGGCCAAATCGCGGACAGTTACGGTTAAAGCTTATAACGCCGTACTGGAAGCGGGGAGCCCTGGCCATGCGGCCTCTGCGGCCCTCCCGCCGGTGCCTGGCGTGGCTCGGCCCGTCTGGGCGACGCTGTGGGTGCGCGCCTCCTCCCTCCTCCCTCCTCCCTCCTCCCTCCTCCTGCAGCACGTTTCCTCTGCCGCTCGGAGACCGTTTCCAGCATTGCGATTGTCACACGTTTCCTTTTTAATTCATGTTTTATTGATTTCAGAGAGGAAGGGAGCGGGAGATAGAACACCAATGATGAGCCCTAGCTGGTGTGGCTCAGTGGATAGAGCATTGGCCTGCGGACCAAAGGGTCCCGGGTTCGATTCCGGTTAAGGGCATGTACTTTGGTTTTAGGCTCCTCCCTGGCCCAGGCTCTGGTAAGGGTTTGGGCAGGAGGCAACCAATCGATGTGTTTCCCTCTTTCTCTCTCTCTCCCACTCTCTAAAAATTAATGGGAAAATATTCTCAGGTGAGGATTAACAAATAAAAAAACTTAAAAGAAACATCGGTGATGAGAGAGAATCATTGATCGGCTGCCTCCTGCACTCCCCTCACTGGGATCGAGCCCAGGCCTGTGCCCTGACGGAATCGAGCCGGGACCTCTGGTTCGCCCAGCCCCGGAGCCAGGCCGGCGGGCACTATGGGAGGGGACACACAGGGCAGTGCCTCGCCCGCCCTTGCCCGGGGCACAGCCTCCTCGCCCGGCTTCTCACTGAGAGGGGGAGTCAGTGTTGTTAGGGTGACTCGTGGGCTGCAGCCTGGGGGTCTCGCTCGGACCCTCACCCGCCCGTCGTCAGCGTGACGAGAGGAGCACCCGGAACACTCACCGGCCGCAGGCCTCGCGGCAGCCGCGGGCCCCGAGGAGCACTGGGGTGTCCGGTCAGGGAAATGAGCACGGCGGCTGGGGGCGGGCTGGGGGCCGCCTGGAGCGGACCCGTGGGCGCTGCTGCGCGGGCGAGCGCGCGCCTGCTGAGCCCGAGCCGGCCACGGGGAGTGGAGTCTGCCTCGTCTTCGCCACGTCCCCAGCCCCTCCTGCCTGCGGGCTGCCAGGCGGGCGGCTGGCAGGCCCCTCTGTACTGTGCTGGGCCTGGAGCCCGCCGGGGCCTGGAGCCCCCCGGGGCCTGGAGCCCGCCGGGGCCTGGAGCCCCCCGGGGCCTGGAGCCCTGCCGGGGCCTGGAGCCCGCCGGGGCCTGGAGCCCCCCGGGGCCTGGAGCCCGCCGGGGCCTGGAGCCCTGCCGGGGCGGTGCCGGGGGCTCATCTGAGCGCCTTCTCGCCCCACCCCCGGCACCCTGGGGAAATGGCCGTGCGGCGAGGGGCCGGCCAGGCCTGGCCGCCTGATGGCGGACTGACCGACGCCTCCTTCCCTCAGGCGACAGTGCGACGCCCAGGTCCTCCGGGGCGTGGAGGCCGCAGCCCTCGTCGGCGGGGAGGTAATGACCGATGTGACTCCAGCGCGGCCCCTGCTCCCTGCTCACTGCCCGCCGCGCTGTGGCTTCCCCAGCCTCCAGGGTCGTGGGCACGACTCCCTCTGTGGGCACTCACCCAGCGCTGGCGGGAGGGTGGGAACAGGTGCCGCGAAGCCTCTGTTCCCGTCGGCTCTGGTGGCCTCGGCCCTCTGTCCTGTGGGACCGGCTGCCCGTCGAGGCGGTCGGCTCCGCACCTCCCGTGCAGCTGTCCGCAGGCCCCGGTGCGTGCCGCGCCTCTGACGGGCCCCGTAAGGACAGCGGCAGGCTCTGCCCGGGAGGCACCGGAGGCCGCGCCGGGCAGGGCTGGCGGCCGCAGGGACGGGCCCGCACCGCCATGCTGCCGGGAGCCGTTCTGTTGAAACGGGACTCCCCTGCGTTAGCTCATCGCCCGTGATGGGTGTTTCGGGTCCTGTCTTCCAGGGGGGCCCCCGGCACTCCTGCTCGGCACCCCACGGGGCCGGCCGCCAGAACCCCCGCCAGCACCGCACGCGCGTCCGGCCTGCCCACGCCTGCCGGCCGCCGGCTCTCCAGCCTCCCGCTGCTGACCCCTAACACCGTGCCCAGGACCCTGGCTTCGTCCCTGTGCCGGTCCGCGCAGCGACTGCCGCCTGAGCCCCGGCGGACGGCAGGGAGGTGAGGCGCTGGGGGAGACGTGACCTGCCCGGGGAACAGCGGGCCCAGCACCCGCCACGCAGACCCCCTCACGGCTTCCCCTCCGCAGAGCGGCGCCCGGGAGCGGGGGCAGCCAGGCCGTGGCCCCCGGCTCCGACGTGCCCTCGGACGGGAGCCTCTCCCCGGCTGTGCCGCAGGCGCTCCGCTTTTCCCCAGAGAAGAGGGAGGAGGCCTCGGTTCCGGAAGGCGCCGCCACAGAACTGGCGCTGGACGCGGCTCAGCCCCCCGAGGGGGCGGCCCCCCGGGAGGTGAGGAAATGGACTCCTTGTCTTGGGGCCCCAGAGCCTGCCTGCAAGCCCCTGGCCTCTGCCGGCCCGGCCTCTGCGTGTGACCGCGGGCCGGGCCAACGGCCGGAGGGAGCGGGGTGGCCCTGGCAGGAGGGAGGTGCATGGGGGCTGGAGGGGGAGGGCAGCTCTCCCCGGGCCCCAGCCCGCCCTCCTCCCGGCATCCCACACCACGAGCGCCAGACACAGCCGGCCGGTTCCCGGGTGCCGGGAAGCACAAGTGCCGCCTCGAATCCTGTCCCCCGCAGGCTGTCCTCGTGGACGTCCTGCTGGACATGAGCGTCACTCCAAGCACCAGGTGCCCCCTCGGCGACCCCCCTCTCATCGACGCCCCGCTCATCGACCTGGGCGCCAGCCCAGAGGCACCCCTGGCTCTGGGACCTGGAAGCCGGCCTCTGCTCGACCTGCTGGTGAACACCCCGGACACGGACCGGAAAACCGCGGCCAGGCCGCTCCCCGGGGTGGAACAGGTGAGGCATGGAGGGCCCAGCTTCGGCCCCGGGTGGTCTCTGGGTTCTGGGTTTGCTCCTTGATTCCCAGACATCACGTGACCCTGGAGTGGCCTTGGAGGCCTCGGAGGGCAGCAGGCCTAGGCCCTCCTCATCCCTGGGCGCCAGGGCTCCAAGTTCACGGCCACGGAGGAATCCTGCCCAGAGCCTGGACCCGAGGGGCCAGCGTTTCCACTGCGGCCCCGGGTCCTGGGGGCATAGCTGTGTGAGGGACCAGCGTGCCTCGGTGGGTGGCGTTGTTCCCACTTCCCAGTGCCCCTCGGGGGTCCGTGCGCCGAGCCAGCTTTATGCCGGGCCGTGGCCCGGACTCCGCAGCATGTACACCTGCTCACCCCACTTTCCTGCAGCTCATCGACCTGTGCTCCCCGCTGATCCAGCTGAGCCCCGAGGCCGACAAGGAGAACGTGGACTCGCCGCTCCTCAAGTTCTGAGGCCGAGCCGACCCCACCTGTGCCCCGTGGCGCCCATACCGTCCTAGTGGTGCCAGCACTCCAGCCCGCCCTGTTTTAGATATTACACAGAAGGAAAGTTCCAGAACCTCAAGAAATCCCGAGGCGGGGCTGCGGGTGGGGCGTGGCCACTGCCCTCACTGCCGCCACTCGGTGAGCTGTCCAGTCGGAAGTCCATGTGAACTTTTTGAGTTTTTTTTAACGTAAAATGGCAAATGATTATTTTATGAACTAAGTGTGCATAAAAGTTAAGTATTCTAGGTTTAACTTAAATTGTAAAATAAGTGAACATAAATTAAAGCATATCTTGGTTTCAAACATATATGTATTTATCGTTCTCATCCATATGTGCGATTCACATTGTCCGAACTTGGAGACGTAGTGAGGCTGCGATGGGGGCGAGGCGCGGTGCTGGGTGAGGTCCGGCTGGGAACCAGCGGGTGGTCTCACTGGCAATGGGTCTTAAAGGGGCCGCAGCGCAGACTGCTGGCACCAGAGCGGGCGGTGCGGTGGTGAGAGGGTGAAGATGGTCAGAGGCACAAACCTCAGTTATTAGAACAGTCACGGGGACGTAACCAAAAACAAGGGAATGAAATGGGTGTAAAGGTAGCTGGGATCCGGGCAGCTGAGCGGTCTGCGCTCTCAGTGGGCACCAGGACTCTGCCGAGCTGGCCGCAGACCTGAGGGGGGTGTGTGTGCAGCATGGAGGGGGGCATCCTCCGTAAGGAGGGAGGGCTGGGGGGGCCGTGGAGATGCCAGAGGGGTGCGTTCCTGACGGGACTGGTCCCACGTCACAGACGAAGCAGGCTTGCAAGGGGCACGCGGGCCGCCGAGCTGAGCCTCCTGTGGGACAGCGGCCCCCCTCTCCCCCCCTCTTCTCTGCCCTCTATCTGGGGGGACAGCAGCCCCCTCCTACCCCCCTCTCCTCGGGCCGTAGAGGGTTCCAGGACAGTTAGTGCCTCGAGGGTCCCCAGACGCCTGGCCTCTGTTCACAGGAGACCGAGGCCTGGGGCTGCATTCACTCGACAAGAACTTACGGAACCTCGCTGTGGCAGGCTGCATTCCTGCTGGATGCAGTGTGTGCAAAGCTCATCCCCGTCTCCTGGGGGCTTAGGCTTGGTGGGAGAGAGGCCATTGGGGCTCCCGCCGTCCTCTGCACCGGGGGCTGAGCTGCTGCTCCCCCTCGCCCTCCCTCCCCAGGCTGCCCGGTCCAGCTGCTCTGCCTGCAGTTCAAGTCACTGGACTTCATTCCTTCAGGCAGAAGGGAGAGGCCCCACCCGTGTTAGGTAAAGCATTTCGGCCCTTCCCGCCCGCTCCAGGGCCCTAACCGCCCACAGGGCAGGAGAGGAGGCTGAGCTGGGGCAGCACTTCCTGGGCGGCCGCCCTCCTGGGCTCCACAGGTCCATAGTCCGTGTCATGTGACTATGGCATCTCTGAGCAGGGGCACTGGGCTGGCATTGTTTTTGCCAAGGTGGGTCCACCCAAGGACCTGGATTTACAAGAAGTTAAAGACTTGGCGCTACAAAGTAGCTGAGAGGTCTAACAGAAAAGCAGCAGGAAACGCGTCACCAATGCATCCTGTTTCCTCCCCTTGTGGGCGGGCTGCCACACACGGAAACCCAGAGCCCCTTGCTTGGGCGGGAACTGGACAGCCTCCCCAGGCAGGGAGTCCTCCAGGCTGGGCCCCCAAATTCAGCGACACCAGCAGGGCCACGGCCACAGACTCAGCTGAACGTGCCGAAGGCTGATGTCCAGGTGCTGGGTCTCCCCATCTCTCCTGGGAGAGGCAGGAAGAAATTGCTTCCCTGTAACTCTGTGGCCCACGGGCACCCAGCCACCCTCCAGGTGGGGCCAGGGCCACGACTCCTCAGCCGTCAGTCATTAGAAATGGCCCTGGGGCCTGCCTCGTCTCACTCTCCATCCTCAAGAAAATGGCCTGCCTTGGTAATTACCCACGGGTAAACACGACGTCCGCTGGGGACCTTGTCGACGGCAAAGAGCTAGGAGACCTGCATCCCAGCATTTGGTGCCGACTGCTGTACCATGTCCGCCCCGCATTTTCAAACCCTGGTTCAAATCCTACCGGAAACCAATGTAGGGGCCTGCACCCGCAGTTTACAACATGAAAAAGCGCCCTGGCTGATGTGGCTTGCTTGGTTGGACATCTTCCCACACACCAAGAGGTTGCTGGTTCGAATCCAGATCAGAGCACATGCCCAGGTTTCAGGCTAAATCCCAGGTAGGGGACCTGCAGGAGGCAGCTGATCACTGTGGCACACAAACACGCACGCACACTGTCAGTCCTGAGTAGGGGGCAGGGGTGCGCGCGCACACAGCCTTGGGAGAAGGAATTCATGAATGGAAGCCCAGGAAGGGCCTGCAGGCGGAACGCTACTCTCGAATCCCACGTTTCCGGCCGGGCTTCACTCGCGGAGCACCGCGTGGGGCGGGACTTCCGGTGTGGCCCGGAAGCGGCGGCCGCAGCAGGGGCGGAATAGGCGGCGCGGATGCTGGCGGCGCGGCACGTCGTGTGCGCCCTGTCCGGCGGCGTGGACAGCGCCGTGGCTGCGCTGCTGCTGCGGCGCCGAGGTGAGGGCGCCGCGGGGAGAGCCCGCTCGCGCCTGCGTGGCTGCGCTCCTCGCCGTCCGCCGGGCGGGACCAGCCGGACCCCCGTCCCCCCGGGCGCGCCTCGCTGGCCCCAGCCCCGCGCTCGGTGGCGGCGGCCCGCCGCTCAGCCCGGGCCGCGCGCAGGCGCCCGAGAGGTTCACGGTCAAACTTCCCCGGGAAGCCCCGCGAGCGGTGCGCGGGGACAAGGGAGCGGGGGGCCCCCCGTGAGGCCGCGGCGCCGGCAGCCCCGTGGGGCCGGGCGGGGAGCGCAGAGGGAATGCAGGTTCCCGCGGGCAGGTTCCCTGAAATGGACGCAGCAACCTCACGGGGTCACGGGGAGGACTGGTGACGTCACGCACGCCCAGGGGTCACCCCGCGTCGGGCGCGGCGCGGCGGCAGTGACGTCATCAGGAACCAGCCGGCGGGGGCGGTCTGACGTTAAGTGCGAGACTGCGGACCGCGACCCGGGCCTCGGCCGCAGCGGGCAGGACGGCCTCCCGGAGCGGGCGGGCAGGGAGGAGGGAAGAGGGTCACAGCCAGCACCTCCGGCTGGAGGGAGAAGGGGCCGGGGAGCGCGAGGCTGGTCTGGCAGGAGCCCTGATTGGGGTGGCTGGGGCCTAGATTCTGTGGGTAGACAGTGCCCAGCCCTTGTTCCTGACACTCGATGAGACACGCCTTGGGAGACAGACGTGGAGGATGCCCTGCGGAGACCAGTGTCATTTCACTCTTATCTTGGGGAAGGGGCCCCGGCCCGGCTCACAGCCAGCCTTCCCTGGGGGACGCTGATGGCGAGGAAGAGAAACGTGGGCCTCTCACCTTGGCATCCAGGACTCCCCGCCCCATCCTGTGCCGCTGGGAGTGAAGGACTGACGGGCGCCAAGGCCCCAGCCACGATGAGCCTGTGCCGGTGGCAGTGGGTCCATCTCCACGGGAAGCGTGGCCAGGCAGACAGGCTGGACGGGAGTGGGTTCTAAGCTCCGCGTGGAGTTCCTCGGTCCACAGGCCTGTGAAGCTCTGCGGGGCACAACCAGGCGCGGGGGGACGGCTGCGGGAGAGACAGCCTCGGCCTTCCCAGGGGCGCAGACAGAATCCTGGAGCCCCACGGCGGGTGCTTGGGAAAGTGCCTGATGGGATGCAGTCTTGGCAGACATGGCCTTTCAGTTTAGGCCAAGCCTCGTCCTGGGATCTCTGTCCTCTGAGCACTGCGGGAAGCCTTTCAGTCCGGTGCCGCTCCCGCTCCCTTGAGCCGCCTCCAGGAAACGGGGTTCTCATCCAGGCGGGTGCCTGCGGGGTTTGCTAAGATGGGGTGAGGCTAAGGTTGCTCTTCCCAATGTTGGGTTCGGTGTTTGTCACAAAGAAAAGGGCCAGAAGTGGGTCACAAAACAGCCAGAACCTCAACTGTCTGGAGCCTGAGGACTTGGGGTCTGCGTCTTACATGGTACCTGGGAGTGACTTCAGAAATGAGCTCACTCTTCTGTGAAAGGTGCTTTTGTTTGTTTTGAAAAATTGGGTTGAATTCCTGCTCTCCACTCACTCAGCACACGTTTGCTCAGGGTGGGGTCATGCTGGCAAAGCAGTTCCATTCGCTCAGACAGGCTCAGTGCAGCAGCTGCTGTGACACGGAGGCCTAGGAAGTGCTGAGGGGGCGGAAGGGGGTAGGAGGGATTGTTTGGGAGGGAGCTCCTGGGGGGGGGCGGGAGAGAGGGTGGCTTGCCCTGGGGGGGGCGGCGTGCGTCAGCTCTGGAGGCACAGCAGGGACTGCCGGGCGCAGCGGCGCAGGCACGGGGCCCAGGAGCCCTGCCCTCCGCGAGGCTCACACTGCCCGTTCTCCGCGCTGCGGCTCCCTCGCCCCAGGCTACCAGGTGACGGGGGTGTTCATGAAGAACTGGGACTCCCTGGACGAGCATGGCGTCTGCACGGCTGACAAGGACTGCGAGGACGCGTACCGCGTGTGCCAGGTCCTGGACATCCCCTTCCACCAGGTGTCCTACGTGAAGGAGTACTGGAACGACGTGTTCAGGTGAGGGCAGCGGACGTCCGCAGCCAGCCCACCCGCCCGCACCAGCGCCCTTGGCAGAGTGCCAGAGCCGTGCCGGAGGCCCCGCCCCGCCCTGGGAGCTCTGTGGAGGCCCGGCTGGCTCCCACGGCACCCCGCGCCTGTTCTGACACCAGCCAGGAGTCTAGTTCCTCCTGATCTCGGAGGTGTTTCTGCTGCCGACTTAGCCCGGGAGCTAACGCCGAGGCCTCCCCGTGCCCGTGCCCGTGCCGTGCCCTCGGCCGCTCTGCCGGCACTCGGCCTGCACGTGGGGCGTCTTTTCAGTAATCAAACGAGAGCTCCGTGCGTTGCTGAGTGACGTAGAGACGCTGCGCTAAGAGCTCCGCATCTCAGTTAAGGCTCACCATAACCTTCAAAGGTATTATCCCATTTAAAAGATGAGAAAACCGAGGCTTAGAAAAGCCATGTGAATTGCCCATGCTCAGACAGTAAGTGGTAGAATCAGGACTGAACCTGAACTGAACCCGAGGGCGTCCTGGCCCTAGAGCGTAACACACCCTGTGCACGGCACTGCCCCTTGGACGCCTCCTCCGACCACCCAGGCACCAGCCTGCTCGAGGCGACCATGCCAGCCTCCATCTCCAACCACTCTTTCAACGGTCCCGAGCGCAACATGGCACTTCTCTTCACTGCTCCGCATCCCAGGGAGGGCTCCCCGCCCCCCATGTCCCAGTGAGGGGCTCCCTGCCCCCCGTGTCCCAGTGAGGGCTCCCTGCCCCCCGTGTCCCAGTGAGGGGCTTCCTGCCCCCCGTGTCCCAGTGAGGGACTCCCCGCCCCCCGTGTCCCAGTGAGGGGCTCCCCGCTCCTCTGCTGTTTCAAGGGCAAGCAGCCTCCGAGCACGCCCACGGCAGCCCCCCTCCTGGGAAGTGCAGCTCCCCCCGCACCTCTGCTCTGGAGCTTCCCACCGGCCACTCGCCACCACTTCCTCTTTTTTTTTTTTTTTTTTTTTTTTAAATATATTTTATTGATTTTACACAGAGAGGAGTTGAGAGGGATAGAGAGTTAGAAAAGTCGATGAGAGAGAAACATCAACCAGCTGCCTCCTGCACACCCTCCACTGGGGATGTGCCTGCACCAAATCGGAATCGAACCCGGGACCTTTCAGTCCGCAGGCTGGTGCTCTATCCACGGAGCCACGCCGGTTTCGGCACCACTTCCTCTTTTGAAGATAACGCCCTCCTCCCCTCTAGCCCGCGGATCCCTCCAGGAGGGACCGAGGTTATGCCTCTCCTTGTTCCCAGACGCAGCTCTGCCTGCCCGGCCTCCTGCGGGGTGAGAGGGAGCAGTCCGAGCAACGGGGCCTCGTCTGGCGTTGGGGTGTGTCAGGGGTCCTGGATCAGGGCAGAGTGCAGCGCCTCATTTATTTATTTATTAATATATTTTATTGATTGTTTACAGAGAGGAAGGGAGAGGGAAAGGAAGTTAGAAACATCGATGAGAGAGAAACATCAATCAGCTGCCTCCTGCACGCCCCCTACTGGGCATGTGCCTGCAACCAAGGTACATGCCCTTGACCGGAATTGAACCTGGGACTCCTCAGTCCGCAGGCCGACGCTCTATCCACTGAGCCACACCAGTTAGGGCCAGAATGCAGCGCTTTAAACACGTTTGATGGAAACGCTGGCCCCGGCTGTGTGCCCAAGCGCCCCCCTTTAGTGAAAGCTGCAGTTCGGTGCGGCAAGGAGAAAGCCGAACAGCTCGCTGACCGGATGTTCTGAGTACGCCTTCGCACTGAGATGTGACCCTGTTTCCTTGTGTTCCAGTGACTTTCTGAATGAATACGAGAAAGGAAGGACGCCCAACCCTGACGTCGTCTGCAACAGGCACATCAAGTTCAAGTGCTTTTTCCGCTATGCCCTGGACAACCTTGGTGAGTGGTCAGTGGCTTCCTTGTTTTCCGAAAAAGGTGTGAGGTTCTGAGAGAAAGCCAGAGCCACACCGCGGGAGCACTTTCATCTTTCGGAAGGAAAGGAAGCGAGATCGGGGATGGCGTGTGTCTCCCCGGAGAAGGGGCTTCCTGGTGGTGCCCACGAGCCATGAGGAGGGCGCTGTGGCCACAGGCCGGGCCAGGCACCTGCCCGGGGCCAGCCTCCTCCGCAGCTCCCTCCGAGGGTGTGGTTCTGGGATGTGTCCCTGCCTCGGGCCCAGGAGGTCCTACTGAGACCTTTTTGCTTCCGAAAGTGGTTCCTGCTCTCTGTCCAGTTGCTCTGGTTTGAACCGTGTCTCCATGGTCTGTTTGAAGCCACCTGCGGCCAGGGTCCTGCTGCCGTGGTCTGTCCCCGCTCCTCCTCCTTCCCCAGCCTGCCTGCCGCCGGCCTGCTCAGCTCCCTCCGCTGCGGGGTCACCACGGAGCGCTCCCCGAGGCCCGCTCAGGCCTCCCCTCCGAGCTGGCCATCGCCGCTCACCCGCCCTGTCTGCACACGTGCCAGCCACCCCCGGTGGCACAGGGCTGCTGACCTCTGTCCTGTTAGCACTGGGGACCGCGATGGGGACAGAGTAGCTGGCAGAGCTGAGGTCCATGTGGCCCACAGCTGAGGGCGATGGCGTTGCATCACAGGGTTGGTATGATGGGTGCCCCAAAGCAGAGAATAAAACAGTTGTAACAGGCCTGTGTGTGGGGCTCACTCTGAGACGCGGGACTGAGGAGAGGCACGTGCGCAGGCTCAGCCTCCAGGTCCAGAGCAGGATGGGGGGTCGGGCTGTGAGCGCCTCGAGCTGACTGACCGAATCTGCGTCTGTCCGCCCGGCCCCTGCGGCCCGGACCTCTGCGGGGGAGGCCCACTGTGAGCCCTCTGTGTGCCCGCTGTGTGCCCGCCCTGCAGCCCGGACCTCTGCGGGGGAGGCCCGCTGTGAGCCCTCTGTGTGCCCGCCCTGCAGCCCGGACATCCGAGGGAGGAGGCCCGCTGTGAGCCCGCCCTGCGGCCCAGACCTCTGCGGGGGAGGCCCGCTGTTTGGCCGCTGTGTACTGGCCCTGCAGCCCGGACATCTGAGGGGGGAGGGCCCGCTGTGTGCCCATCCAGTGGGCACCGTTGAGGGGCGCAGGCAGAAAGGAGGGATACTGCAGGGCGTGTTGACTTTGCCGTGAGAGTGTGGAAACGGGCCATTGATGGGCTGAGGGGCTCAGTCATCACAGCGCTGTGCCGGTGTGACCGTCCTCACGGTGCTGTGCCGGTGTGACTGTGCCGGTGTGACCGTCCTCACGGCGCTGTGCCGGTGTGACTGTCCCTACGGCGCTGTGCCGGTGTGACCGTCCTCATGGCGCTGTGCCGGTGTGACTGTGCCGGTGTGACTGTGCCGGTGTGACCGTCCTCACGGCGCTGTGCCGGTGTGACTGTGCCGGTGTGACTGTGCCGGTGTGATTATGCCGGTGTGACCGTCCTCACGGCGCTGTGCCGGTGTGACTGTGCCGGTGTGACTGTCCTCACGGTGCTGTGCCGGTCCGCATTGTACCCCGGAGCTAGTGGACTGGCTAGTGCCAGTCGGTGCTGCGCCTGCCAGGAGAGGCCTCTGAGAAACGGTGTCCGTCTTCACGCGTGAGGGGCGGGGTGCGGGCTTGGTTCCTGGGTCAGTACTGACTTCCAGCGCGGAGCCTTCGCTGGGATGAGTCACGCAGGGGGCAAAGCCATGGACGTGGGAAACAGTGTAGAGCTGTATTATTACTGCTCATTGTGTTACTGATTACTACTAACCTACTGTGCCCACCCTGCCCGCCCTTATTATCAAAGAAGACAATTGTTTAAAAAATATCTTTATGATTTCAGAGAGGAAGGAGAGGGCGTAATAGAAACATCAGTGATAAGAGAGAACTGTGGATCACCTGCCTCTGGCATGCCCCCCACTGGGGATTGAGCATGCAACCCGGGCATATGCCCCTGACTAGAATTGAACCCGGGACCCTTTGGTCCACAGGCGGGCACTCTACCCACTGAACCACACCAGCCGGAGCAAAGAAAATGTAAAACCACAGAACAGCAGGAGGGGAGAGAGTCATGCTGTCACTCCCAGAATCAAAGGCCTGGGCGCGGGTGTTGTTAAAAGTGGGATCACAGTATTAATACTCATGGCCCCGCCCCCAACGCATCAGCCTCTTCCCAAGTCACTGACGTCTCTTTGTAGGTGGTCCGTCATCGCGGTGGTATTTCAGTGTATACCAAGTTTCTATGCTGAATTAAGGACGTATTTCCTTGAGCTGGAATGCGTGGGTGGAGAGAGAGTGGCTTTTGACAGACCCTTGCAGGCCCCGAGGCCTGTGGCCACGCTGTGTCACTCTGGGGCCCCGCCCAGGGTCTCGGCGGAGAGGCGAGCCCTCGGGTGGAGCCCTGGCGGGTGCTGGCCACGGCCCGAGCGCACGGCCAGAACTTGACCTGTGTTTACCCCTCAGGAGCGGACGCGGTGGCCACGGGCCACTACGCCAGGACGTCCTTGGAGGACGAGGAGGTGTTCCAGCAGAAGCATGTGAAGAGGCCTGAAGGGCTTTTCAGGAACCGGTTCGAAGTCAGAAATGGTGAGTGGCGGGCAGGCGGAGCTCGCTTCCCTGGACGGGCTGCGGCCTGAAGAGGGGCCGGGCCTTGCTGAGCGTCCTGCCCCGGCGCGGGGTGCTAAGGCGGCTTGTTCGTTTGGGGCTCCTCGGGGGTGGCATCCGCCACCAGGAGAGCCCGGGCGGGAGAGACTGTGATGTGACCCCTGGACGGGGATTGGCAGGCCCCGTGCCTGAGGGGAGACCCGACCACACAGTGGGGTCAGGCTGGCGATGTGGCCGGCACTTGGGTGATGTGAGCTTCGGCGTCCTCCTCTGAGATCGGGTTTGGGGTCGAGGGTGGGGAACAGGAGCTGCTCAGGCTCAGAGTGGGCAGGCCAGCACTTTCAACCACAGGACCGAGCTGGCCCCGGGGAGCAGTGGCCGGTCTGAGCTGGGGCCACGGGGCCAGGATCGCACTCTGCGCTGTAGTCAGACCCTGGCAGCACCCTCCGCAGGGCCAGCCAGTAGCAGGGGAAGCTGCCGGGTCTGCTGGGCTCGGACAGACATGAGCACCCATCTGTGCAGTCATTGCCCCCAGGGGTGTCCTCAACCACAGCGGGCTCAGCTTGCCTGCCACGCCCAGACGCCCTGCCGCCTGGCTCTGCACTGCCACCCCCAGCTCCCCTCGGGCTGCGTTTATTCTGACCTTGTTTCTCCACGGGAGGAGCCTTTGAAATAGTGCCGTCTGCAGCGGGAGCTGGGGCAGGCTCCTGTGCGCCCGCCCTGCCCTGTAACGTGTGCCTACGGCGGTGAGCGGGGAGGAGGCGGGTGTGAGCCGGCTCTGCCAGGTGGGGCGCCGTGTTTGAGGAAGAGGGCCGCGCTGAGAGCCGCGATGTTCACTGCCGCCCGTCTCTTTTCTTCCTCTTGGCAGCGGTAAAGCTTCTGCAGGCAGCTGACAGCTTTAAAGACCAGACCTTCTTTCTCAGCCAGGTTCCCCAGGAGGCCCTGCGGAGAACCCTCTTCCCCCTGGGGGGGCTCACCAAGGATTTTGTAAAGAAAATAGCAGCTGAGAACGGACTGCACCACGTGCTGCAGAAGAAGGAGGTAGGACCGAGCACGCCCCAGACCCGCACGGGGAAGCGGCCGGCGGCCACCGGGGGAGCTGGTTCCCCGCGGCAGGAGGCTGGGCTTCTCCCCGCCCGTGACCGGCCCCTTGGCATGGGCAGCTCTCCCAGCGGCCTGGCAGCTCCTTGGGTTACTCTTGGCCCTGCACCAGGAGGAGTGGGCAGTGAGGGCTGGGCACGGGCTCCTGGTGGGGGCGCTGTCAGCCTGCATGCGGACCTGCCGTCTCCATTCGGGGCTGCGCGTGCCTGTCGGTGCGTGGGAGCCAGGCGGTGCTGCTGCTCGGTGCTGCCTTCATGAGCTCCAAGCAGGCAGGCGCCGCTGTGGGCTGGGGGCAGAGGGGGCGGGGAGGACGGTGAGGGGAGCTCCCAGCAGGCAGGCGCCGCTGTGGGCAGTGGGCGCTGACGCAGATGCTCACGCAGTGGCAGAGCCACCACACAGGCCTCTGAGAAGACAGTGCCTGAGGCCGAGGTGATGAGTGGGAGTCAGCGTTAGTGGACTGGGGGACTGCACAGTGTGACGAGCTTGCGCAAAGCCCCTCGTGAGAGAGCCTGGCAGGGTGGGCCAGGGTGTGGCCGGGCTGGGCTGGGAGCTCCACCCCAGCTCTGCCGTGAGCCCCCTCCGCCGTCCACTTCCTGTGCCTTTGGTCAGCTAGTCACTGCTCCTTCCGCCCCACCCTGCTCCTCCTGCGCCTGCTCCGGGCCCCAGTGTGACTGGGAGGAGCCGAGGGGCCACCTCAGGACCCATGTTCTAGACAGACCTCAGGAGGAGTGGGGAAGCCGTGTGCTGAGGGGCTCCAGCTCAGGGTGCGCCAGTGGGACCTCGGCCTCTCCTGAGGGGCGCACTCCCGCCTGGCCGGCCCTTCCCCTCAGTGCACGGGCAGCGGCCTGAGGCTGAGCAGCTGTAGGGGGGATGCGTGTGCCCGCTCAGCTGGCCGGCCCCGGGTCCGGGGCAGGACCGACCTGGAGGCGGCCCCCGGCATGCCCACCAGGTGTGCGTGGGCGGGGCCTGGTGTGGGTGCTGGTGGGGAACGGCCCGGTCCGCCCTCCGGCCGTCCTTCACCTCCGGCCGCCCTCTTCCTTGCAGAGCATGGGCATCTGCTTCGTGGGCAAAAGGAACTTCGAGAAGTTCATTCTCCAGGTGAGTGCTCGGGCTGGGACACGCCTCCCGCCGGGGCCTGGCCTGCGGTAACTAACGGTGTGTTCAGTACTTACAGCCGCGGCCGGGGCGGTTCGTGTCCATCGAGGATGACGCCGTGCTGGGGACACACAGAGGTGAGCTCCTGCATGGCGGGGGGCGGCGCGGGGCCGGCGGCTGCGGCGGTCCCGTTGGCTTGAGAGGCAGAGCTGGGCGGTGGGGAGGTGTGGGCGGCGGCGGCGGCAGCATGGACGTGGGTTCCTGCGGTGGGTGACCGCCTGCCAGGGAGGAACTGCAGGTGCTCCCCGTCCTGGCTCCAGACCGGGGAGGCGGCGGGCAGCTCTGCTAACGGGCACGTGTTCCCGGGGTGGCCTGCGCCTGTGCATGTGGCGGGAGGGCGGTGGAGGGAGGCGGTGGCCTGGCCTCTGGTCTTCCATGTTTGTGGCGGGGGTGCCCAGAGGAAGTCAGGGCAGCCCTGCTGCGGTTCGTGGGGGGTGGGGGCCCGCCTGTATAACGCGGCCGCATGCAGCTCAGCCGGGGGCTCCGAACCGCAGGGCCCAGCCCACCTTCTCATGGAGCCGCCTGCTGCCAGGGCCCGATGAGGGAGGGCGCTTGGCCTGTCAGGCTGACCTGGTGGTGGGCACCGGCCCCGCCAGGTGGCCCTCGGTGTCCATGGGCCCCGCCCCTGCTGCTGTCCCCCGTCTGGTGGGTGGCCAGGGGACCATGCCTGCCTCACTGGCAACGTCCCCAGGCTGGTTCCTGTACACGCTGGGCCAGAGGGCCAAGATTGGCGGCCTGCGCGAGCCCTGGTACGTGGTTGAGAAGGACGGCGCCAAGGGCGACGTGTTTGTGGTGAGTGGCTGCCCTGCGGGCGCCGCGCCTGCTGGCAGAGCCGGGGGAGGCTGCGGGGGTCCTGCCTCCTGCACCCCGGGCCGCCCCGGAAGTGCGGGGTGTCCTTAAGCATCCTGGGCTCTCGTTAACACGTCCGTCCTGTGAACGGAAGCCGTTCCGGGGTTTGCGAGCGGACACAGCTCGGGTGGTCGGGGGAGGCCGTGGGGGGAGCGGCGGCGGCCTGGACGGCTTGCCCTCGGGTCCAGCGGTCTCTGCGGAGTGGCGGCAGGTCCTGGGGCCGGAGCGCAGCACCCCTGCTGGCAAAGGGGACCTTGACCGGTGCCCAAGTCTCCTCCTGCAGAACGGGGCCAGGCTCCTGCGGGAACAGGCATTCCCACTGGGGACCGCCAGGCAGCCTGGCTGCTAGGCTGTTAACGAGGGGCAGCGAGGTGGCTTTGGGGCGAGGGCCCTCTGCTAGGGCTCCAGGCGTCAGGTCCGGGTTCCCCGCAGGCCCCCCGGGGGGACCACCCGGCCCTGTACCGGGACCTGCTGCGGACCAATCGTGTGCACTGGATCGCCGAGGAGCCGCCCGCAGCCCTGGTCCGCGACAAGATGATGGAGTGCCACTTCCGCTTCTACCACCAGATGGCGCTAGGTGACTGAGCGGTGGGCTCGCCCGGGAGCCAGATGTAGGAAGGCTTAGCGGGGACCCGGCCGCAGAGCCCCGTTGTTGGGATGGTGGAGCCATTCAGGCCCCTTCCCACCAGCCATGAGAGAGGCCGGCGCATAGAGCCGGCTCGGCTCATTCTGGGAAGGCAGGGCTGGGCGAGGGTCCGAGCAGTGTGCGCCCAGGGCTGAGGCTGCCCATCTTCCTCCAGTGCCCTGCGTGCTGACCCTCAACCAAGACGGCACCGTGTGGGTGACGGCGGTGAAGGCCGTGCGGGCCCTGGCCCCCGGACAGGTGAGTGCCGCCGGCCGGCCCTGGGTGCAGGCGGCTCTGCATCCCTTAGCACCGCCAGGGCTGGGCCAGGCTTCCTGCCGGGGCAGCGCCCTCCTCCACCCGAGCGCCCGGTCACAGGCCCGCCTGCCCCTGGCACCCCCTCCCGGCCACAACCCTCCGCTGCCTCACCGCCTCGGGCACTGGGCCCGGCAGGATGGCCAGGGAGGCCGAGCTGCCCCTCCCTGCCCAGCCCCCACCCCAGCAGCAGCCTCAGGCCCGGGCCTGGTCTCAGCGGTGACGGCCTCCTTTGCAGTTCGCCGTGTTCTACAAGGGGGAGGAGTGCCTGGGCAGCGGCAAGATCCTGCGCCTGGGGCCGTCGGCCTACACACTGCAGAAGGGCAGGAGCAGGTCCAGCGCGGCCACGGAGCGCCCCGGCCACAGCCCCAGCGACAGCCCCAGCGACAGCCCCGGCCACAGCCCCAGCGACAGCCCCGGCCACAGCCCCAGCGACAGCCCCGGCCACAGCCCCGGCCACAGCCCCGGCTCGGGGCCCGCGGGACCCGCGCCCTGAGCGCCGGGGCGGCTGCGGAGGAGCAGAGCCTGGCGGGCGGCCCCCGGGGGGCTGCTGTTGGACCCGGGAGCCTGGCCCACCTGCTGCCAGAGGGGCCGGAAGGACTTGCTGACGGGGCTGCCCCAGTGCCACCCCCAGTGCCTCTTGCCCCCGGGGGGGGCTGCCGGGACCGCGCGGAATAAACTTGCGTCCAGCACTGCATTCTGGCCGCAGCCTGTGGGGGCCGGGCGGGAGGGGAGGCGGGGGTCGGGACCGCGCACACTGGGACTTGCTGGGGTCGGCTGGAAGACACCCTTACGCCGGCACCAGGCCCCTCCAGCCTGGGCAAGGGCCTTGGGGAGGTGCTAGCCTCGTGCCCCCCAGCTGGCTTCGTGTGAGCCTGTGTTGGGTGACAGGCCACAGCTGGGGGAGCTTTGAGACCAGGCCACTGAGGGGGCCAGCAGCTAGGTGCCAGCCCACCCCCCAGAGGCTGGATGCCATCCCACCCAGCAGTGCCCACTTCACATGGGGCCAGCGAGGGGGCAAGCCCTGCCGGGAGGAGGGCACCTCCGGAGGGTCTGAGAAGGCCCAGCCCCAGGAGCCCCTTGTGGGCCGAGTGTGTAGCAGGCAGAGCGGCCGGGGCTGCGGCCGGTTGGGCAGAGGCAGTGCCCAGAGAACAGGTCTCCCTCCACCACTGGCGACGCAGTGCCACCTGCAGAGCCGCCGCCCTCCCCTCGGGCACCGCTAGCCCTCCCTCCCCAGCCCCGCCGTCCACACCCCGCCGCCCGTACCCAGCCTCCCCCGCCCGGGAGAACAGGCCCGGGAGGCAGCGAGTGGCCAGGCGGCCGGTGAGGTGGGGCTCGGCCGTCCAGCTGTGACTCCTCCAGCCGAGCTGGGCTGGACCGGGGGTTGGGGGAGACCCAGCCTGCGTCTCCACGTGCCAGGCAGTGGGTTCGACAGGCAGCCCCTGGCTCTTGGGGATCGTCCGCTCACATGGAGGCCGAAGGGCAGCACAGCTCTGGCTCCTGTTTCCTGCCCCCTGCCCCCTACCCTGGGAACGCCTGAGCCGGGCCTTCCGGAAGCCGCCGCGGCCACCCCACTGCACGGGGCTGCTGGCCAGGGCGTCCCCTCCCACCTCTGGGCAGCTCTGCCGTCCGCCAGCCCCAGGCTGGCCGTGGAAGGAGGGGTCCAAACCTGCCGCTGCCAGTCACCCAGCCTCACTGTGGCTGGTCCTGTGGAGCTTCCGCCAGCAGTGCCACCTGCTCCACTGGGCAGACCTGCCTCCCGTGCCCCCTGGTGGCTGTCCGTGAGAGCTGGAGAGCTGCTGGCGGCCCGCGGGAAAGAGCAGCTGGGACTCAGCCTACCCCCTGCCCCTGGGCCCTCGCCTCGTCTCACCCAAGGTTCTGGAGACACTGGCAGGCAGAGGCCCTCCTGCCCACAGGGCACCCCAGCCGCTGACACAGAAGTGGGGGAGAAGGGACACATTCGGGTGCAGAGCTGATAGGAAAGCATTGCCTGCCCCCGTGAAATGGCTGCACCTGCTCCTCACCTGGAGGCCCAGTGCCTGGACCCTCCAGTGTCGGTCAGCCTGCGGGCGGGGAGCCTGGGCCCCGCTGTGCCCAGGGAGGCGGCAGGCAGCCCCGCAGCCAGACGGAGGGTCGCTTGTCTGGCCTGCAGGCGCTCAGCATCTGCTCACAGCATTCCGAGGGCCTTGTCTGTCCTGACCCTCTGCGTCCAGGAGCAGCCCTGCCAGCTGGTCCCGGGGTGGGGGACTGCCTGCTGCCCCCAGGCCTGCTCCCCGCCTGGGACTCTGTGCCCATAGTTCCAGGCAGCATGGCCTCCGGGCTGGGCCTGGGACGGAGCGTTAGCAGGTGGACGGGAGCAAAGCCTGCCTTCGGGGGCCGGTGCTGTGTGGGTCCCTTCATTCCTCCGTTTGCCCCCAGGGTGGTCCCGCTGTGCGACCAGGGTGGGCGCCATCTCCCCGCGGGCCTGGGGAGGGCCTGTAGGCTGAGGGGGTCTGGTTACTTCCTGTGCGAGTGCAGGCGCTGGCCTCTGGGAACGGGGCCCTGGGTTGAGCATGGGGCAAACCCCAGAGGAGCGAGCTGGAGAACCCCCATCTGCAGGCCCCGATGCAGGGGCCGGCTCACCCCCGAGGGGGGCACATGGAGCAGGCCCCAAGCAGCCTGTGGGAGGCCCGGAGCCCTGAACACCAGCCGGACAGCCGAGGCTGAGAACGTGTCTGAACCTGGCGGTTCTCCCCACGGGAACAAGTGGAAAGTGCCAGCGGCCGAGGATTTTAACAGGAGCCAGAGTCTCGTGATGCCCAGCATGTCAGCACGGGCTCCCTCAAGCTCAGTCAGCCGGAACAGACCCGGGAACTGACCAGCTTTCAGCTGGAGACCCACTTAGGTGCTCAGAGATGGTGCAGCAGCTGTTACAACCACACTCCACCAAGGACACGCAAACACTCTAGAAATGCATGGGGGGCTTGCCAGTGAGGCTCTGGCCAGAGGGTCGGCCTGCAGACTGAAGGGTCCCGGGTTCAATTCCAGTCAAGGGCACATAGCTGGTTGCAGGCTCCTTCCCGGCCCAGGCCCTGATCAGGGCTCATGCAGGAGGGAACCAATCAATGTGCCTCTCTCACATCAGTATTTCTCTTCCCTCTCTTTAGAAAGCAATGAAAAGCATCCTCAGGTGAGGATTAACAGGTTAATAGAAACACGTGGGAGTCGGGCATCCGCAGAGATGGCCTTTACAGAGGGACTGAGTGGAGACCCTCTCTGGTGGGGACGACCGGACTATGTCAACAACTGGAAATCCTCAAGTCTGAGAACAGGAAGGAGAATGAGGACAGGTGAACAGTCTGAGGGACGGTCACTGGGGTCCCAGAGCGGGGAGCCCAGGAGGAAACACACCCTGTTGGCTGACAATTCCCACTGAGGGGAAGACGTCAGTGCAGAGACCACAGGCCCCTGCGGGAGCACACACACTCCGGCCACTCCTGGTCCCGCCCGCCGGGCCCCTCCCCTCCCAGAGAAGGGGGAGCCAGCACAGCGGTACGAACTCAACCATCTTAATTTATTGTAGACTCTCCTCGTTTGGGTCGTGATTCCAGTGTTCTGAACGTTAATAAATATACATTTGTTTTTTTAAAAAAAACCTCCAGTGTCTAATCTTTGCCATAAAGTCTTAAATCACAAAAATAGGTTTCTATTTTTCCTGTCTTCATAAAACTGGCTTTTTGGTAACAGTTCTGATCGGATTAAAAACCGCACGTCACGGGCACAGCCAGCGGCCGGCGGAGGCGGACAGAGGTGGAGGTTCAGAGACGCAAACGTGCGCACGCCCGGCCGCAGGGACGCAGGCCCGGGCCCCGCTGCTCTGCACCTTCGGCCGCACATGAGGCCGTTCACAGTTCGCTCAGCACAGGGTCACTTGTGGGGTCGCATTTCGTGGCAGAAGCCTGTGCCCCAGCCGGCGTCCACCCGCGCTTGCTCGCCGCCAGCAGCTCCGTCCTCACCAGGACAACACGGGACCCTGCCCGGGCCTCACTCTCATCACCGCCTGGTTCCTCCTGCTGGGAGCAGCTGTGCTGGCACTTATTTGGGCACTTGATTTGGAGAACAAAGGGTCTGAGGAATCCGGGCCACGGCGCCTGGGGCCACGCTGTGCGGACTGCCCTCAATGGACAGCCACCGCCGGCCCTGGTGTGCGTTTCCAAAACCAGCCTGGCCACCGCTGAGGGGGCTGTGCTTTGTCCACGCACAATTGGCATTGGAAGCAAAATGAAGTAACGGGCTAGGCTGGGGGCGGGGCTGGGGGGCTAAGAGCTAGACAATTGGCAGGACGGAATGAGTGACAACCGGGAGGGCAGCCCTCAGTCTCAGTCCGGACGGGTGAACACGGAAATGCCATGGCGACCAGCAGGCGGGCGACAGAATCCCTGCCTGCGGAGCCAGGCCCCTGGGAGGGGACCCAGGAGGCTCTGCAGGGCTGGAGTGCCTGCCCCCCAGGGCATGGCCAGGGAAGGCTCAGTGTGACGGCCTCGGCTGGTGTCCTCTGCAGTCTCCTGGGGGCTGCCCAGGCCCAGAGCCCGTCTCGGACCCACCACGCGGGCAGCAGGGAGCTGAGGGCCGTGTCTCCAGTGCAGGCGCAGGGAGCTGTGGCGGGGCTGCGTGCACCTGCCTGGCCCTGCTCAGCTCTGTCTGCGCTCGGCTCCCACTCCCAGCTCCCTGTCCGATGCACACAGGTTCAACTGGCACCGCCCTCACACGAACACCCGCCGAGATGGTCCCATTGGCCTCCCAGCTCCGTCCGGCATCAGGGCCTCAGGCCCTGCCCCTCGCTGATCCGTCCACACGGGAGCACCGCCTCTCTCAGGGCCCGGGCTGCCCAACCGTGGTTCCACTCTGCCCGGCGCCCCAAACCCTGGCGAGCCTGGCCTGGCGGCTCCTGCCGGTTTGTGCCGGGCCGTCCCGGCGAGGCCAGGCAGGTTTTGGCTCCGTCTGCACCTGAGGGGACAGCCGTGCGGCCGGAGTCCGCCTCCTCGTGCCTGAGGCCTTTGGCACTGGTCACGGGGCGGCCAATGGGCCCGAGCCCCGGGCAGCCCGGGCTTCAGGGCTGGACTGGCCCCAGTGGGGCTGCCGCTGGGGCTGGGCCTGCTTCACGCTCAGGGCGGCCTGGGCGTCGAGGGGTCGCGGGAGGAGGGAACGGCTCAGGGTTTCCTGATGGTCAAATGGAGGTTTCGTTACTGCCTCTGCGCGTGGGAAGAAGCCACAGCGGCAGCGGGTCAGCAGGACGGCTCCGCCTCCGACGGGCCAAGAGCTGGGCGCCCTCGGGTGGGAGGGCAGAACCCACGTGGGCGGGGGGTGCCCCGGGGCCCCAAGGACTCGGCCACCCCAGGAGCAGGCCGCAGCGGGACGGGAGCCCCGCCCTGACCGCCAGCCCATCGAGTGCCCTCTGTGTGCGGGGCAGCGCGCCCTGCAGCACCGTTAGGGTCGGGAAGGCCCCCGGAGCCCGCTCCCACTCCGCGCCTCCTGGGGTCAGCAGCGGCCGGGAGCACGTGCCCCCTGGTCTCTGCAGCCGGGCGCCCCGACCTCGGCCCTCAGCCACGGGCAGGAGGACGTTGGGGCTGGGTGGGCAGCGCCAGGAGGGAGGACAAGCTCTGGTCACTTCCTCTCAACCTGGCCTGCAGCCCCTCCCACAGAGGCACCCACCCCAGCCCCTGGCCTCTCCTCCTCCACCCCCCCACTCCCTCGGGGGTCCTGACCACGACTCCCGCCCCCCGGGGCACCGAGGGCAGGCTGGGCGCGGGCGCACTCACTCGGAGTCGGAGCCGTGGGCCTGGGCGCTCCCCACGCACACGCTCATGGCCGCCCCGTTGAGGTGCTCGCGCCCCGGCTCCCGGCGCGGGGCCTTGACGGTGACGGTGACGGTGCTGTGGGGGCCGCGGACGCCGTCGCAGGAGCCCGGGGAGGACGAGCGGGAGGACAGGGGGCTCTGCTGGCACTCGGCCAGCCTCTCCCGCAGCCGCGCCCGGGGGGTCTTCTCGGTCAGCGGGGGCGGGTAGGTGGCCTTGTTCTTCAGGATGCCTGGGGCGGGCGGGAGGGCGTCCGGCTGGCCTCCCTCCTGGGCTCTGTCCCACATGGTGGGGCCGGACCCAACCCTGTGCCCAGGACCCGCCTGTCTCACCCCACCCACCCCTTCCAGCAGGCCCGCCCCGCCTGGCCGGCCCCACTCCACCTAGCACAGCCCCATCCAGCTGGCCCCGCCCACCCAGCACAGCTCCGCCCCACCCAGCTGGCCCCGCCCACCCAGCACAGCTCCGCCCCACCCAGCTGGCCCCGCCCACCCAGCACAGCTCCGCCCCATCCAGCTGGCCCCGCCCCCAGGACCAGGGGCTCCCACCTTTTCTCTGCTCAGGGGGCTGGGAGCAGGGGGCGCCCGCGGGCCTGGGCAGGGCGCCGTCCTCCCCGTCCGGGGGGCGGTCCAGGCAGTGGTTGGTCTGCTGGTCTGGGTGCAGCTCCACGCTGACCTTGGTCTCCACCTTCAGGGGCGGCTTCTCGGCCAGCTCCTCGCTGTCGCTCCCAGCCGGGCTCCCATCCGGCCAGCTCGCAGGCACGTGGTTGGCTGCAGGGTCTCCTGGGCACAGGGCGCCGTCAGCCAGCAGGAGGCCCCGCCCCCGAGGTCTGGACAGCCCCTCCTCCAAGGTGTTCCCCCAAGTGGCCCCGGCCCATCACCCCCAGACCTCCAGGCTCCCATGGGCAAATCCTGACCGTGGGGCCCCCACCAGCTGCAGTCCCCCACCGCACCCAACACCCGGGGCCTCTGCGGCCCCTCCAGCAGGGGGCAGCTTTCCCGGCCCGCTCTCCCTGCGTGGTGAGGGCCTGTGTCCTGGGGGGCAGGCCTGGCTGCTCACCTTTGGGGGTGCTGTGGACGGGGCCCCGGGCCGGGTCCCACTTGTCCTGGGCCCCCGCCCTGTCGTCCTCGCTGTCGGACGAGTGTGAGGAGGCGAAGGAGCTGCTCTGCTCGTCCGGGGACAGCTCGCTGTCCGAGTCCGAGTCGTGGCCTGCGGACAGGAGGGGGGCTCGGCGGACGCTTCCTGCGGGCGGAGCCGCCCGTCCCTTCCGGCGGCCGGGGGGGGGGGGGGGGGCCTCGCCTGGTTGTGCCGCAGCCTCCGCTCTCCGGCTGCACGCGCCCGGCGGCGGGAGGACGGCCGGGCGGAGGGGCTGCAGCCCCACGCGGGGCACTCACCGGGGGGCTTCCTGCCGTTCCTCGGGAGGAGGGGTGGGTCCGGCTCCCCGCGGCCCCTGGCCGGCCCAGAGCACACGCCGAGCTGCTGGCCGGCTTCGTCCCTGGAGAGGGGGAGGGCTCAGTGCGCTGCCCGGGGGGCGGGGGCGGGGCCCCCACCGAGCACCTGCCGGCGGTGCCAGGACGCCGGGCACGGCCAGGAGGGCGCTGCCCTGACTCCGGGCACACGGGAGACCCCCCCCCCGGAGCTGCAGCACAGGGCGGCCTCCCAGCAGGTGACCCTCCGCAGGCGAGTGACCCCCGCGTCTGCCCCGAGCTGGGCCCCCGAGGCCCCGGGCCGGGCTGACCTGCCGGCGCTGTCCAGCGAGGCGGTGGACTCGCCCAGAGCGGTGCGCAGCACGGCGGGCTCCTCGCCGTAGGTGGTGTTGCAGTTGAGGGAGCGCTGGGGGGTGGGGGGGGGAGGGTGCCGGTGAGAACAGAGGGCCAAGGGGTGCAGGGTGCCCTCCCCACAGCAAACCCCACGGCGGGCATCCCGGCACCCTGACAGCGCCCAGCACCCGGCAGGGCCTCACCGCGCCGAGCAGCGCATCCATGGCTCGGTCCCCACTGCGGCCAGAGGACGCCCCCCCCCCCCCCGCCCGCTCTGAACAGGGGTGCTGGCCTGCGGGGCCCTGTCCCCCGAGATCTGGAAACGCAGGTGAGACTAGGCCAGCCCTCTGCCAGGCTCCAGGGGCGGCTCCGGGGCGCCCCCTCTGGGAAGGATGCAGAGCCAGGAGCCAGACAGCCAGCCCCGGGCCGGCGGGGGGGGGGGGGGGGGAGGGTGTGTGGGGGGAGGGCTGGCGCCTCCTACCGTCAGCAGGGTGGCCCGGGTGGTGGCTGAGTCGTCCGGATGCGGCTTCCGCCCGGCGAGCACCCCCTTCAGGTGCCTCCGCACCTCCCCGTTGAGCACGCAGTGGCACAGGAGCACGCACAGGCCCTGGGGGGGGGGGGGGTCAGGAAGACGCTGGGGTCCCACCAGCCAAGGCCAGAGTGCAGCCCGGAGGTGGGCGGGGCCCGGAGCCCGCAGTGGCGGCCAGAGACCCCCCAGGCCACGCTCGCTCCCTGCGGCCGCTCTCCTGGCAGCCGGCTGGCACGCAGGCCGCGGGGGCGCCTGGGCCTCAGCCCTGGGCACCGGGAGCCCCTCCCTCCTGCCTCAGCCCCTTCCCGGGAGCCCCTGCCGTGGCCCGTACACGCCAGCCACGGGCTCACCTGGGAGGGGAGCGGCCTGGGCCGGCTGAGCGGGCAGCCCCTCCGGGTCAGGGCCCGAGGGCAGGCAGCCCCTCCGGGTCAGGGCCCGCAGCTCCGGGCAGTGCTGCGGGGACAAGGCTCCGCAGGCGGCAGGAGGTGCTGCTGAGGCCGCGCCGGGACCGGGCACCGGGGCCTCCTGCGGCCCGGACGCAGGCCCAGGACCTCCCGGGACCCCTCGGCCACTCGGGGGCATTTCAGATGGACACAGCCCCGGGGCCCCGCCTGCGCCTCACCTGCAGGCAGCTGGAGACGGCAAAGAGGTAGTGGAGGGCCAGCGCGTCGCTGTTCACGGCCAGCAGCCCCAGCAGCCAGGTGGCGCCCAGGAGCAGCAGCAGCAGGAAGGAGGGCCGCAGCAGGGCGCTGGGGGCGGGGGCGGGGGGCAGGGTGAGCCAGCCGCCTCCCTCCCGGCCCCCACCCACCCCTCCGCCCCGCCCATCGGGGGCCAGCTTACACGACCCCCTTCCTCTCGTAGTAATGGTGCTTCCGCTGGCAGGAGACTTTGGCCGACAGAACGAAAAGCACGGTGTTGACCTGGGAGAACAGACGAGCGGTCGGCACTGAGCATGGCCACCGCGTCTCGGAGGCGAGGGGACGGGAGGCCCCGGAGTCTGAGTGCCGGGCAGGGCACGGCGTTCCACGGCGGGCTCGGGCGTGAGACCGGCCTTCCCGCCCCAGCGGCCGCTCAGAGGAGCCCCAAGGGCGCCCCGGCTTCCCGTCCTGGGCCTCCCCACCCGGACTCACAATTATAACCGTCCCGATGGGCCCAACGAAGCTCCAGATCAGGGTGTCCCGCAGGGACAGCCAGCAGAAGTCGGGGTTTCCGTAGCCCTGGGGGTCCAGGCCCACAGCGAGTCCTGGGCATCAGAGAGGGGGTGAGGGACACACCGGGGAGGGCGCCCAGAGAGCCCCCTGGGCAGGGGCGTCCAGCCCCACCCACAGGCCCCGGGGCCCAGCGTGAGGGCCAGGAGCCCAGGGGGAACAGCTGGGTGTGGGACACACACACACAGGCACACACACATGCACACACACACGCACAGGCACACACACGCACAGACACACACACAGGCACACACACGCACAGGCACACACACACACACAGGCACACACACACGCACAGGCACACACACAGGCACACACACACACGCACAGGCACACACACAGGCACACACACAGGCACACACACACGCACAGGCACACACAAAGGCGCGCACACACACACACACACACACACACACGCGCGCACCGAGGCCCAGGGCCAGAGCACAGGCCCTCCGGGTCAGCGCGCCAGCCCCAGTCCACCCGGAGCCCCCCGGACGGGGCCGCGGAGGGAGGGGGAGGCCGGGCTCCGGACCGGGCCGCTCGGAGCCGGAGCCTGTGGCCTCGCCTGTGGCGGCCTCACCTGTGAGGACGGCCGGGAGGCCCCAGCCCACGACGTGGTAGAAGCGCATGGGGCCGGCGTCGATGTTGCGCGCCTCGGTCAGCATGCGGTACACGTGCAGGCTCTCCACCAGCGTCCAGGCGAAGGCGCTCATGTACACGTAGTGCAGGGCGATGGCCACCAGCGTGCACAGAAACTGCGGGGGCGGGGCGGCTCAGCACCGAGGGCCGAGGGCCGGAGCGGCAGGGGCAGGGCAGTGACCCGTCGGCCCCTCTGCAGCCTGAGGGCCCGCAGCTCCGAACAGGAAGTTCGTCCGGTTCATGGCGTTTGTATAGATTCACCGAGAGCAACAGGCAGCGCCCGCCGCACAGCGCCCTGCTCCGGGAGGGGCAGGAACCCTCCCCGGCGGATGGTGTCGAGTGCGTGTGCGTGTGTGTGTGTGTGTGTGTGCGTGTGTGTGTGTGCATGTGTGTGGGGGGCACAGCCCGGGGCCGGAGGCGGGCAGAGCCCGGAGCTCCCGGAGACCGGCTTTGGCCACAGGCGGAGCGGGGCCCGGCGGCAGGAAGCCCGCGCCTCGGGGTGCTGTGGGACAGGCCCTGCCTCAGAGGCCAGCGGGCACGGAGCCGCCGCGGTGGCAGGCCTGTCGGCGGCAGCGGGGAGGGCGAGGGGCTGCGGCCACACCACCTGCTGCCGGCCAGCCACCGGCTCGGAGGGGGCAGGGCTGTGGCCGGGCCTTCGGCCACGTGACAAGCAAACCCATAAAACCACTTACCCCGTGGACACAGCGCTGCCACGGCAACGGCCTCAGCACTGCCTCCACGCAAACGGACGGCCTTTCCCAGAACCACCCGGCCACACACGAGCGCGCCAGGGGCCGCCGGGCCCCCGAGCCTGCGCCGCCGGGAGCGGAGGCCAGCACCCTCCCCGGGCGGACGCCAGGGGTGGCCCCGTGCAGGTCCCGTGCTCCCGAGGCCACGGCTGAGCAGCCACGGAGGTCACGGGGCGCTGCACCCCCAGCCGGGCGGACCGCTCACCTGCCGCCCGGGGTCTGGCCGCCCGGGTCCTGGGGCCCCGCCGGCCGGGCACAGCTCCGGCTCCGCCCCAGCACCGTCCCCGTGGCCTGTCCGTTCCCACGGGCACGGCTCCCCCTGACGTGGGTGCCTCCCAGGCTGGCCCCCGGACGGGTGCCTGAGTCCCCATCCCGCTGCCTGCGCCCTCCCCACGCGGCCCCGGGACCTGAGCACCGCGTCGGCCTCCTCACCGGGCTCCGGCGACGCCGCGGCCGCCTCTCTGAGCTCCACCCGCCCCCCCGCGGGGCCAAGGTCGCCTTCCTACCCGGACCCCTGGCTCCAGGCCACACGCTGCCGCAGGAGACGCGGGGGGCAGAGGGGGCTCACCGGGTTTCCCGTCTGGGTGACCCCCACCACGAAGACCAGCTGCGAGAGGAAGAGTGCGCCCACGAGGTTGCGGTGGGTGCTGTGCAGGTTGGAGCGCAGCCGCGCCAGCACCAGCAGCACGAAGGCCACCAGCAGCGCCGCCAGCGACAGCGCCACGGCCGCGTAGGTGACGATCCTCAGGGGCAGGACGTCCCCGAGCTGCGGGCAGAGGGGGGGGCTCAGGCCGGGCCAGGGGGCCGCACGGCAGGGCTCGCCGGCAGACCCGGCTTCAGGGCGGGAAACCCCGGCAAAACCCTCAGGGACAGTTCGGTGACGACGTTCCGGCCGGCCAGGGTGGCTCAGTGGTAGAGCGGACGCCCGCCGGGGAGCCCGAGGGCAGTCCCTTCCTGTCGCCGGGACGCCACCAGCTCAGCCTGCACTGACTCGCGCTCCCCGGACGTGGCAGAGACCCGGCAGCGGCACTGGAGCCTCGGAGGGCCAGGGCCGCGCCGTCCTGGCTCCCGAGTGCAGCGCGGGCCCAGGCTGACCTCACCCCGCCCAGCGCGGCCACTCCCGGGGGGGGGGGCGCGGGGGGGGGGGCTCCGGGCGGGGACGTTAGCGCCGGCGGCCGGGGCTGCCTTCGGGGCCTCGGGGCCTCGGGGCTGCGGGCCGCGTGCTGGCGCTGACGGCTTTTCTTCTTAACCGTTAAAGGGGGTGGAGCTGCGCCCCCGACAGGCGGGCCCGCGGGGATGAGGGGAGCCCGGGGCGGCCGCTCGGGGCTCGGCCTGGAGCGCGGGAGGCGGCCAGGCCTGTGGGGGCGGGCTCGGTGCCCAGAGGGCCAGTGCCGGGACCGTGTGCCGGGGCGGCCGCCGTGCCCACCTCGCGTCGGGAGACGTCCATGAGCACGGCCACGCTGGCGGGGTGGCTGCACTGGCAGGTCACATGCGTCCGGTTCCGCGCCAGCAGCTCGCAGCCCTTGGCCGACCAGCCTCCGGGGCCCCCGGGGCTGCGGGGAGAGGGGCGTGGGTCCCTGCACCCGGCTCCCCGAGCCTCCGCCCCCACCACCGGGGCCGGACCGCCCTCAGCGCCCCTCCCCCGGGCCTGTGCCCGCGCCCCCCCTCCGCCTGCGGGCCGCGGGGCGCCCTGACCGCCGTCCTCGCCGTCAAACCGACGTGGACGCCAGTGCACGCGCCGGACGGTGTGGGAACTCGTGTGGGAACTCGCGTGGGAACTCCGTGTGGGAACTCCGTGTGGGAACTCCGTGTGGGAACTCCGTGTGGGAACTCCGTGTGGGAACTCGCGTGGGAACTCCGTGTGGGAACTCCGTGTGGGAACTCGTGTGGGAACTCCGTGTGGGAACTCGTGTGGGAACTCCGTGTGGGAACTCCGTGTGGGAACTCCGTGTGGGAACTCCGTGGCGGTGAGCCGCTTCCCTCCGGACCCCGGACGGTCACCTCTCAGCCTTCCATCTCCCCTCGGGCAGCCCTCACGGCGCCGCCCGGAGGCAGCCCCGGACGCTCCGTCTGACCGCGGGGGGCCCCACACCGCAAGCGGCTGCGGGGCACCTTGGCCTCAGAGGGGCCCTGCCCTCCCGGACTCCGGGAAAACCCACTCCCTCCTCTGAGCTCGGTTTTCCCATCTGTGAAATGGGCCGTGCTGGCAAAGGCTTTGCTAAGAACTGGGATTCGGATGAGTGCGCAGCCAGGCCGAGGGGGTAACGAGGGCACGGCTACCGCCAGGGCTTGAAGATGGGGCCTCCCACGGCCACGCAGCCCTGTGGGTGCATGGCCATCTCCATGTTGGCCTGTGTGCACACATGTGTGCACATGCACATATGCCCGTGTGTGTGTGTATAACTGCATGTCGGGGACCCTGACGCCCCGGACGGAGAGAAGGTCCCCAGGGCGGCCCCCCAGTGGCGGCGGCGGCGGCGTGGCTCACGTGAGGGAGTGGTTCCAGAACACGCAGACGGGCTTGGTGCGCTCCTGCGTCTCCAGCAGCGCGAGCTGCACGCGGACGGGCCGGGGCGGGGGCCGGGGCAGCGGCGCCCCCTCGCTGTGCACCACGGCGCTCACCACCGGCGTGTTGATGACCGGCCGGCCCGGCAGCCTGCGGGGGAGGGACACGACACGCGTGTCAGGAAACACGTCTACCAGCCCAGCCGTGTGCGAGCACAGAGGACGCCACCACCGCGGCGAGCTCTGCCCCGGGCGGGATCGGCCACGGCTGGGGCGGCGCAGGGTCAAAGGTGAGCTTTGGAAACTTAAACATGAGAAGTGCCCGGCCGGTGTGCCTCCATGGCTGACATCGACCATGAACCAGGAGGTCAGGGTTCGATTCCGGTCAGGGCACAGGCCTGGGTTGTGGGTTCGATCCCCAGTGAGGGGCGTGCAGGAGGCAGCCGATCGATGATTCTATTCTCCTCACTGACGTTTCTACCTCCCTCTACCTTCCTCTCTGAAATCAACAAAAATATATTTTAGGCTGGCACCGGTTTGGCTCAGTGGTAGAGCGTCAGTCTGCGGAATGAAAGGTCCCGGGTTCGATTCCGGTCAAGGACATGTACCTTGGTTGCGGGCACATCCCCAGTAGGGGGTGTGCAAGAGGCAGCTGGTCGATGATTCTCTCTCATCGACGTTTCTACCTCTCTATCCCTCTCTCTTCCTCTCTATGAAAAATCAATAAAAATATAAAATATATATATATATATATATTTTTTTTAAATAAATATAAAAATGAGGAGAGCCCTAACCGGTTTGGTTTAATGGATAGTGTCAGCCTGCGGACTG